CTCCCGTTCCGCACACTCACTCTCGCCGCTCACGCACTCCCGTCCCTCAATGCGTCCCATTGCTCACATATTCGTCCCGCGCTCACTCACTCCCGTCGCTCATGAACTCCCGCGGTGGAATCACTCCGTCGCTCGCTCACCCTCGTCCAGCGCTCACCTTGTAGTGCGCGGCACTCCCGCCTGTCTTCACACCACGGTTTCTCTTCCCCTGCCTGGACCGCATCCTTTCAATATTCGCATGCAGTCACATCAATGGGTCTGCCATCGGTTCCTCGTCGCGCTTCTCCGCGACTTCCGCCTCCCACGCTTAGGGTTTCGTCACTGTGCTGCCGGACGACCTAATATGCACTCAGTGACTACGCGCGCAGCAGCGGCGGAAGCTCTTGCGCTCGCGCTCGCGGCGCAGGCCGTTGCAGGAAGCCGCCGAGCTGTCGCTATCTGAGGAGGCGAGCAGCATGGTGGGCTGGTAGACGGCCCAGAAATCCAGCCTCCTCCTACAGCTGGTGGCGTGCAGGAGAAGAGACGCTGGGGGTGCCGGGGAGGAGAGGTAACGCGCCTGCCTAGTGGCGTTCGTCCATTGGGCGCGGATGGGCGCCAATAGCCTCCACACCACTGCTGCTTCTTCACTGGGTCTGTGCTGGTGAGAAGGGGGAGGAGTCAGCCCCTCTCCTCCGTTCCCTCTCAGCCCCTCTCCTCCGTTCCCTCTCAGCCCCTCTCCTCCGTTCCCTCTCAGCCCCTCTCCTCTGTTCCCTCTCAGCCCCTCTCCTCCGTTCCCTCTCAGCCCCTCTCCTCCGTTCCCTCTCAGCCCCTCTCCTCCGTTCCCTCTCAGCCCCTCTCCCTGCACATGTCCTTGCCGCATGCTCGGCCTATCCAATGCTGAGTTCAACATGCTCAAGACGGTATGCCCAATGCACCATGCACCATGCACCATGCAACGTGCCCCATGCCCCATGCACTGTGAACCATGCACTAATCACAATATCCGCCCCTTCCCCGCTCCACCACTTCCCCCTTCCCCCTCACCCACTTCTCCCTCTCCCCCTCCACCCCCTTATGAGGTGCTGGGTGCGTGAGTAGGCTATATTTCATTTTACCACTCTCCTCACGCCTCTCGCCTCTCCCCTCCCCTCTCACCCCGAACCCCTTCCATACGAGCAGCATATGCCACAGCCACGCTTCTCCTCGCACCCGGGTCACAAGCTTGTGTGGCACCAAAAAGAGCCGCATGAAATCGTGAGGTACATGGCTGGCTGTTCACTCTACTTTCCGCTGCTCAATCTGTTCCACCTTTCACTCACCAAGCATTTCCAACCGTGCAGTGTACAAGTCCCAGCACCATGGCCCAGGGTTTATTGCATGCAGTGTAGCAGACAAGAGTGGGTAAAAGGCATTACATTGCCTAGCTGTCTTCTTTGTGTTGATAGTCATTTGTTCCTAGACAAAAAAAAAGAAAGTAATTTCTCTGTTGCACCCTTTTGTAGTGGTCATGTCATGTGTATGGCCGCTCCTAAGCTCAGGGTTTGTATTATAACAAAGCATCCAACATCAATACATGGCATGGCTAGTCATCGTGGTACTATCAAACACCAACACATCACCACAACCAGATGCATAGAGGGCCTGCAAAAACACAAACCAGGAAATAAGATGTGACATGGCTGAGTAGCAGGTAAGCCATGTAGCAGGTAGCAGGCAGCAGCAGCTTTACAGAGTGGAGAGTGAGCAGGGGGAAACAGAATTAGCAATGGGGAAGAGAGTGACCAGGGGGAAGAGAATGAGCAGGGGGAAGAGAGGGCGCAGGGGGAAGAGAATGAGCAGGGGGAAGAGAGTGCGCAGGGGGAAGAGAATGAGCAGGGGGAAGAGAATGAGCAGGGGGAAGAGAATGAGTAGGGGAAACAGAGTGAGCCGGCGGGAGGAGAATGAGCAGGGGAAACAAGCAAAGGGGAAGAGAATGAGCAGGGGAAACAGAGTGAGCCGGGGGGCGGAGAATGAGCAGGGGAAACAGAGTGAGCCGGGGGGAGAATGAGCAGGGGAAACAAGCAAAGGGGAAGAGAATGAGCAGGGGAAACAGAGTGAGCCGGGGGGAGAATGAGCAGGGGAAACAAGCAAAGGGGAAGAGAATGAGCAGGGGAAACAGAGTGGAATGAGCAGGGGAAACAGAGTGAGCCGGGGGGAGAATGAGCAGGGGAAACAGAGTGAGCCGGGGGGCGGAGAATGAGCAGGGGAAACAGAGTGAGCCGGGGGGAGAATGAGCAGGGGAAACAAGCAAAGGGGAAGAGAATGAGCAGGGGAAACAGAGTGGAATGAGCAGGGGAAACAGAGTGAGCCGGGGGGAGAATGAGCAGGGGAAACAAGCAAAGGGGAAGAGAATGAGCAGGGGAAACAGAGTGGAATGAGCAGGGAAAACAGAGTGAGCCGGGGGGAGAATGAGCAGGGGAAACAAGCAAAGGGGAAGAGAATGAGCAAGGGAAACAGAGTGGAATGAGCAGGGGAAACAGAGTGAGCCGGGGGGAGAATGAGCAGGGGAAACAAGCAAAGGGGAAGAGAATGAGCAGGGGAAACATAGTGAACCGGGGGGAGGAGAATGAGCAGGGGAAACAGAGTGAGCCGGTGGGAGGAGAATGAGCAGGGGAAACAGAGTGAGCCGGGGGAAGCGAGGGCGATGGGAGGGGGAAGCGAGGGCGACAGGAGGTGGGCGCGAGGGCAATGGGAGGGGGAAGCGAGTGCGATGGGAGGGGGAAGCGAGGGCGATGGGCAGGGGAAGCGAGGGCGATGGGCGGGGGAAGCGAGTGCGATGGGAGGGGGAAGCGAGGGCGATGGGCGGGGAAGCTATGGCGACGGATGGGGGAAGCGAGGGCGACGGAAGGGGGAAGCGAGGGCGACGGACGGTGGATGCGAGATTGACGGACGGGGGAAGCGTGGTCGACAACGCTCTAATTTCTTATCTCGTGCCGCACAGTATCTCCGTGCTTCACACTCGCATTCGAGCCACATTCCCTCCCTCGGTCCTCGGATTCCTCCCGATTCCGTCCTAAAAGTATATATCCTCACATGGTATACCTAGCTATTTTAGTCTGGGTACTTAGTTTCCTAACACTGATGGTCTAACTAACTGGTACTTACGCACGCTTTTCTCAGCCTGCTCCAAGAGTGCACTTGTGGACTTCCCGAAAATCTGTGTTGTGAGCTACATGAGAGTGGTTGGGTTTGGTTTTGTCGTTAGTGTTTGCGATACACTGTTCCGCATTCCGCGTTCGCCAACTCCCTCCGGCGAATTTTTCTCTCGTCAACCTTTGCGCAACCCTTTTCAAGTTCAGTGTTTATGAAACATTGCCATTCTAGACTCGGGCTTTAAGATACAACGGAATGTATGCAGGTCGAGGGAATAAAAAATATGCACCTGGAACAGGTGTATCGCATTAAAAAAGGACTGGTATGGTGACGTGACAACAGCGAGTTCGGATGTATTCCCAATCGAGTATGTATGGAAAGGTGTTCTCCATGTTTCACACGTGTCATGAAGCCATTTCCTTGGTGTGGGGAACGTGCAAGAGAATTTTGAACTTCCAATTGAAACCCGATTAGGGCATCAATGATGTGGCGTCTCCCACTCCCAAGCTTTCGGCTGTGCCGTCCAATCATCTATTTCCGGTTCTTGGGGATACTATTATGTGCAAATACCATGTCGCCAGCTCGACATACCTACGATCTACCTTTGTCCAACACCGGCCCCAAGTCTCTACTCCCAGTCCCAAAACATATTCGCCTCACCAAACTACTCATGACAGCGATTCGGCTTCGCTCACTCACTCATCACGGCCCTTGTCTATCGTCCCCTCTCCACCATCCCGCCTCATCGATGTCACCAAGGGCCGCATGTCAGACGACCCTAGTAAGCTGGGAATCGCACTTAGCAGCCAATTTTGCTTTCCAACTGTCTACACTTCACAAGTACGTGCCACTTTCCGTGGCTGCTGGGGAACAATTGCGCCAGCACAGCACAATCTGCGTCGCGGACACAGTTCCCTGAGAACTATTTAGGCTGGTTTTCGAGGCGATCTGGATGTCCAAGAGTGCGGATTCTATAACAGGTTTTCGAGGGACCTTTTTCCGAACCGCCGCACACTGGATACTGGCAATTTGAGTCAGGTTTGAGTCACTGTAGCTGCAGTTTCCACCAGGAAAGAGTAGTTTTAATTCGCTTTTGTTGGTGACTTCAGTTGACTGACTTTCTTTCTGCCCCGGAGCACAAAAAGGTTCTGACCCCTCCACCGCAGACGCAGAGTCTCGTCCAATCCCCCTCCGCCAAACTTGCGCTGACATTCGCCCACACCAAACACGTCTTCAGAAGCTGCCTTCCCCCATTCGCAGGCTGACGGGTAAGCCTCCGAAGCGCGTGCCAGCACAACGAAGCAAGCAACCAGGAGCACCACCCGTGCGTCATCGCCATCTCCAACATCGCAGGTTTGGATCAACCGCCTATCCGACGGTAATCGCAAGCGGAGAGTGCGCGCGCGTTGGAAGGATGCGGTACAGGGAGCGCGGAGCCCCCAAAGGCGGAATTCTTTGGGGATGGTTGGCGTGGCGAGGTGAGGCGACAACATACAGTAGAAAACGCATCCAATTTTCGCCCTCTGCACCACTCCGCTTGTCAGTGAATCAACTGATCCAACTTCTAGCCATCTAGTGCAGACTCGCTCTACACACTAGCAGGACCAGCACCGTTCCTCGATCTTCCCAGTAACCTGCATCTGGAGAGCTGAATACACCGGTCCAACACAGATCAGTCTCAATTTTGTTGTTCAAGTCAGGTGTTTAACAATTCGTCGATATCCCTTTCATCGTTCAGCCATTTTTCCCAAGTTTCGTTTTTGCTCGATAGAATTAAGCCTTTAATTATTAAGCCTTAAACCATCATCGTCTGGCCGACAAGCAACCAAGCCACAATGGAGGCAATGGCAGTCATTCCTGCAAGGGCCACCCTGAACACAGGCTTCGCTGCTTCTAAATCGTCCGTCTCTCTTCGTCAACGCAGCGGACAAGTATGCCGTGTGACAATGATCGCTTCGGCGAAAAGCTCGCCGAGATTCGTCTGTGCTCTTTCAGGCGCTGAGTCCCACGACAACTCTCTCTCCTCTTCTTCCACCTTCGCTTTCCCGCCGTCATCCGAATCCTCCAAGCGGCTCACCCCGCCGGGAGCGGTGGCTTCTGAGAACTTCGTCGAGATCGGCGGAGGCGGTCCGTTCAGTGGACCAAGCGGCAAAGGCGGAGGCGGAGGCGGTGGCAGTGGCGGTGGCGGTGGTAACGGCGGCGGTGGCGGCGACGGTGAGCGGAACCGATCCGAATCCCTTGCCGTGCTGGCTGCTTTGGGGAAGAGCGTCGAGTCCATTCCCAAGGAGCTCGCAGATGCAGTCTTGGCCGGTCGAGTTCCTGGTGCTATTATGGAGCGATTTACCGCAATGGAGAAGTCCGCGATTCTGGGACGCCTGGTGCGCGTGTCTGGGTTCCAAGAACGCCTTCTGGCGGACGACCTTTTCTTCCTTAAAGTCTTCTTCGAGTGCGGCGTCGGAATGTTCACTAAGGTATGTTAGATTCACGATAGAGTAGTGTGATCCACTTTCCTAGCTCAAGTATAATCCTTTCCGGTGCTTGGTTGATATTCCTGACGAAACCGCGAACCCAGTTTGCCCTGTCAAACATGCCTTAGCGTGAATGCTACCATGACACGATACAATTGGTGATCGATAGCGCGCCACATGGATAAGACGCAATCCTTATTTATGATTATTTCCCTAATTGTCACGCTTGTCTCGTTCCGTTGCTGTGCACTCTGTTCCTGTACCAGACTTTGGCCGAGTATGATCGCCGAAAGGAGAATTTCATGAAGGAGATCAACTTCGTGATCGCCGATATCGTAAGTCAAACCCCGATTGCGTGCTTCGGATCGGGTATTCATGTACATTAAACTTTCAATCGAAACAACTCCTTGACTTTGGTCCCACTTGCGTCTCGAGTTCCATCGCTATTTCGTCGTTTTAATGGCGTTCCGATCCAGTTTCTTGCATCTGAACGTTGACTTTTTCCCCGCTCCCGTTTCCCATCAGGTAATGGCGCTCTTCGCGGACTTCATGCTGGTTTACCTGCCAGCTCCCACCATTGCGCTGCGCGCTCCTGCCATTATCAAGGGCAACAAGATCGCATCGTTCTTCGCGCGTTGCCCTGACAATGCCTTCCAGGTATGATTGGTCTGTTACGGTATTCTCTGTTATTAAGGTGGGCGTTTATTTTATCTGAAGCTACCTTTTCGCTACCCATGACTGATCCTTCTACGTCCTTCTGTGTTATCTCATTTCCAGATGGCGCTGGGAGGAGCCAAGTACAATCTTTTGCAACGAGTGGGCTGTGTCGTGGTAAGTGGTTGAATGTAGGAAACACAATCGTCACTTGTACCAAGTCGGCGTTTGCGTGTCATACCGGCTTGACTGTCCTGAAGAATTTTGGTGATTCGGAAACATACTATTCCGAAATGATCTCTCTGGTATTCTTTGCTCCCTTTCTTTTGCAGAGAAATGGCGGGAAGCTAATGGCCGTGGGAACAGTGTCGTCCTTGGTGAGTGATCACAAGCTTCGATGCATGTGTCTTCCATTTGTGCATAATTGGCACTACATTGTGAAACACGCTGGGATGTATGGCTGCTGAACTACGTCCCTCATTCTATGCAGATTGGTACTGGTGTCACAAATGCACTGGTTGCTGCTGGCAAGAAGAAAGAGGCTGCTGCTACTGGCAAGGAGGTGGTGAAGGGCGAGGGGGAGCTTCCTTTGGTGGCAACAAGTGTTGCGTATGGTGCATACATGGCCGTCTCGAGCAACTTGAGGTGAGTTTGTGCTATGAATGGCTACCTCTGCAACTATTGTGGATTGATATTGTAAATGAGGAGTCTTTGATTGTTCAAACGTTACAATTGTGCTTTGCTATTTTGATGTGTGCAGATATCAAATACTTGCGGGGGTAATTGAGCAACGCATGCTGGATCCTCTTCTTCGCAACCACAAGATTGCCCTCTCTGGAGCTTCTTTCTGTATCCGTACCCTCAACACCTATCTTGGCTCCCTCTTGTAAGTTCCAACTGTATCAACTTCCTACCCCATCATCCCTTGTAGAGTCTCTTTGTACAAGCCCAAGAAAATATATGTTTTCTCATTCTCGTCCTCGTCCTCTTCTTCCTTTCCGCAGGTGGGTGGATTATGCTCGCCTGGTTGGAGTGCAGTCCCATGAGGCAGAGGCTCAGGCAGCTTGATTTTTTTAGCTTCACTTCATGCTGGGTTAAATGGCTTTAGAGTAGGGTGCCCGACCTGTGTGGTAACACAGTTTTGATTCAACGTTCTTCATTATAGTGTTGGTCAAGGTAGTGTGCTTTGAAGGTGCCATGCTTCTGATATATGTTGTTGTGCTGGCATCTTCTTTCCTATTGATCTTGCATTTTTGCTGTGAATAATAATTACCAGTTTCCTGAGTCATGACCAAACGATACTCCGTAACAAAGTCTTCTCGATGACTCGAACGAGCAAATCTGCTGTTGACGTTTCCACGTTTTCGAATCTCCACGTGCCATCCCAACCAGCAGACAGCAAGCAAGCACCTGCTGCACCTGCTGCAGCGGTGGCGTTTTTGTCAGGCCCTAGGGACGATCAACCCGGAGAAGTTTTCCCGATCGCGAGTCGCATCGCAATGCATCGTCCGTGTCGAGTCGCCTCGATTCCATGAAATCCACCATTCCTGACACGGTGGGTCACGGGAACACATGCCAGCGCATACTTCCAGGGCGAGGATCACAGAACTAGGAGAACGGGGTATTTTAGTACACATAATGTCACACCAACAAATCTCTTGAACGAGGAGGCTGCTTAGAATTTCGGCCACTGCCACACCTACCGTATCGCCACTGCCTCGTCGACTGCGATCTTGCTCCACTCGTGCGTGTTGCAGCCTCTCACAGGCGGTACTTCTCGGGCAGGGGCGAACGGAGCAGCTAGTGAAACAAGCCCATTAACATGGCTGGCGAGCCTGGCTGCTTCGAGGATGCGGTTTCCAGCGCAAGTGGCGCGGCGTACAGCGTGCCGTGGGCTCTCGGTCCCTGCTCTCAGCCGTCCATGCTGCCTGCTGGCTGGACGGCATACTTCTTCCCGCTCTCACTGCTTCCCTCCATCTATGGCTTCCTGGTGATCCAGGTGAGATAAAAATTCTTGATTTTTTTTTTTTTTTTTTTTTCCGGCCAAGCCAAGCACGCCATACAAAACGCGCTAACCTTGTGCACGAGCCGAACTATTTGCTAGAGTATCGTCGGTTCTTAGTTTATTTCCTCAACAAACTTCTATCGTTGGATGTCCTTGTGGCAACCAAGTTCGTCGCTCTCTGCTGGCTATTTCACTACTAGGCCCATCGCCGAGGCTGTCACTTGTCAAGTTACTCTGCCAGATTAAGCACGCCACCGTGAGCGCACTAACCTTATGTGACAGCAACTCTGCTATTTGCTGTGGTGTTTGAGTCGTCTGACGCCTCTCGCTTGCTCTCTCTCTCTCTCTCTCTCTCTCTCTCTCTCTCTCTCTCTCTCTCTCTCTCTCTCTCTCTCTCTCTCTCTCTCTCTCTCTCTCTCTCTCTCTCTCTCTCTGCTGGCAGCTGGTGGCGACGGCTGCAGTGCAAGCAGCATGTGAGCTGCTGGGATTCAACCTCGGATACTCCAAATTCGCCTCCACTGCGAAGTGGAAGTCAATTCAGGTGACTCCTTACATCATCCTGCCATCATGTGTGCGAGCATACAAGCATGCCAGCAAGCTGAGACACTAGCGAGATCGTGGTGTGCGTGCGTCTCACATACCACACGCACGCCTTCCCGTTCCACTGCATTGCCAGAGTCCCCTCACATGCACATGTTCCTTCCCCACAACTATTCTCGCATTCTTTTTAGCATTTCGGGCTGAAATTGCTACCAACTCTCTCCACAACCCTCTTCCCAACCCCACCCCACCCCTGTCAGATACCCTCTCGTGTGGGCCTTCTCCTCTTCTACCTCCCAGCAGCACTCATCGCTGCTCTCTTCCTTTCAGCCGCCCTGGGACTCTCGCCTGCCCTCCACCTCCTCCGCGCCACACACATGCTCCCTCACTCTCCCTCTCCGCTCCCACCAACCGTTGCCTCTTGGATGCCTGCTCCTGCTGGGACTGGGAAGCCCGGGTGGGAGGGACAGATGGGTGTGTGGGAGCAGCTAGTAGCAGCGATTGCAAGTGAACAGTGGCGCCTGGTGCTGGTCTGTGCGGCCTGCCTGGTGCACTATTCCAAGCGATGCCTGGAAGTAAGTAGAAGGTTGTTTTCAGGGGTTTGTGTGAACAGATTTGTTACCGATCGTGGGCTCTGCTGCTTCTAGTACATTGACTGCTCTTAGCACTTGGTTGATTTGTTACTGTTTTTGCTTTGACAACTGCTATTTGTGATCCTGCTGACCATTCGCACCCATCTTCACTCTCTGTCCTTCTCTCCCCTTCTTCTCTCTCTTCCCACTATCTCTTCCTAACTCTTATTCCCAACTCTCTTATCCCTCTCTCTTCCCCTCTCCCTTATCCTTTTCTCTCCCTCCCCCTGCTTCCCCATCCCGAATCAGACTCTCTTCCTGCATCGTTTCTCTGGCACCACTTGCCTGGTTACAACAGTGTTCATCATGCTTGGATACTGCACCCTTGCCTACGTCCTCCTTTCGTCCCAATGGCTCACCGCTGCTGCTGCTACTCTCCCCTCCCGTGCCACCACTGCTGCTGCAACTGCTGCTGCTGCCGCCACCGTCACCGCTGCTGCTTCTACCGCTGCTGCTGGTGCCAGTGCGGCTGCTCCCTGCAGTGTTGCGCCTACTGTGAATCTCATGCCCCTTGGCCTGCTACTCTTCCTCATTGGCATTGCTGGGAACTTTTACCATCACTGGTTGCTCACTCGGCTGCGCTCTGATGGTACGTCCTTTCCTAACCGTCTCCCTGCCGACTACACTGCCTGTTTTATTGCATGCTTAACCTCTGTGTCAATCCCCGAAGCTGCGTCCATGTGTCTTAGATTCTAAATGAAACGACTCAAAAGTAACCCTCATCAGTTCCTGTAACTACATCTATGTGTCCTACATGTCACCACCAGGCAGTCACGAATACCGCGTCCCTCATGGTGGCTTATTTGAATGGGTGACCTGCCCGCACTACCTCTTTGAATGCATCGACTTCCTGGGGGTTGCCTTGATGTCTCAGGTGAGTCACTTGCTCTCTGCCATGTAAAATCGTAACACACCTTTGTTACATGCTGACGGGCTTATGTTTTGTCCAATTGTTGATTTTCACAATCTCTGTTGCATTTATGTTTAAGTGTACTGAGTTGGTATATTGACTCATTCACGTGACGTCCCTCCCACGTCACTGCTCTGTATCATTTCCAGACTGTGTTAGGTGTGGTGGAGTTCTTGTTCACACTATTCTACCTGTGTGGACGAAGCATTGCAACGAGGCAATGGTATAGAAAAAAGATGGACGACTATCCAGCAAGCAGATGGGCTATCATTCCCTTTCTTCTGTAAAGAGTTTGATTGTATGAAATATACGTATTCGTTACTATGTGTTACGAGTGCAATGGAGTGAACGAACGAGAATTGCACTATCGAAGCAAGAGTACAATGAGCGAAGGCATGAGCGAAGAATATATAGCGAAACTACAGTGGTAACGGTAATGGACTGTGGTTGTCGCGCGACGGGCCTGGGACTGAGGTTGGGAAAAAGTGTCGAAGCGGAGACCCGGAGCGCGGATTACCCGCCGAGCCGTGAGGTCGGGGTGCGATGTGCGAAGGTGGCGGGCAGATTGTCGATGCGAGGGTTGCGAGTGGTAACGGTGCTGACTGTGGTGCTACAGTGATGTACGCGTTGAGCAGGGATGCGAAGTAAGGAAAAGGAATTTTCCTTACACTACCCCCCTCCTTAAGGAGGTCTTCCTTACGAGAGTGCGTGTACATCCCTGAAATTTCGGCTGCGCAGATACTCGGTGAGGACGGGGTGGTTTTCGATTCTGTCCAGGGGAACCCAATTGTCTTCGGTGGGTGTACGGTCCTTCCAGCGGAGTAAGAACTCGATCCTTCGGGCTCCTCGAGGGTCGCGAACTCTGTGACTCAGGATTTTTTCGGGGGTGATGATTGGTTCAGTTGGTGGTCTTGTCATGCTGGTTGGGCGATTGCGTGGCAGTTGGCTCGTGGACGGGACGTAAGGGCGAAGTAGGCTGACGTGGAATGAGGGGCTGACGTACCAGTCAGCAGGGAGGAGGAGGTGGGCGGTGACGGGTGTAAGCATGTGGCTTATGCGAAATGGCCCGCAGTATCGGGGGCGGAGTTTCGGAGTGATGGGCAGTCGGAGGTTCTGAGTGTCAAGTAAAACTAAGTCGTCGGGCTGGTAAGTGACGGGTCTGCGGTGGCGGTCGGCGTTGCGTTTAGCGATGATGTTAGCTTTTTTAATTGCGTCTGCTGCCCTGGTCCGTGCTGCTTGCAAAATTTCGGCGAACTGTTGCGCGCGTGGAACCGGGTTGTCGGGATTCGGGGTCATGGTTACTGTTGGGTCTTGTCCGTAATTCAGGTAAAACGGTGACTGTTGGGTCGTGGCGGATGGGGCGTTGTTGTATGCGAATTCGATGAGTGGCAGTTGCTGTTCCCACGTGTTTGGGTCGTCGCACGTGGCCCGGATGAGCTGTTCCATGGTCTGATTTGTCCGTTCTGTCTGTCCGTCTGTTCCGGGGTGGTACGATGAACTAAACTGTAGTCGCGTGCCGAACTGCTGCCACAGGTTCCGCCAGAAGTTGCTAGTGAATTTCGTGTCTCTGTCGCTGATGATTGATGCTGGTATCCCGTGCAGTCGAACGACGGTAGAGATGAAGAGGCGGGCTGTTTCTTCGGCTGTGATTGATTTTTTGCAGGCTGCGAAGTGTGCCATTTTCGTCAGTCGATCGACGACGACCAGGATCGCGTCATTCCCACTCGCCCCGGCCGGTAACCCCGTGACGAAGTCCATCGTCACCTGCTGCCAAGCACGCTTTGGAGGTGGGATTGGCTGCAACTGTCCCGCCGGCCGCTTCCGTGTTGACTTCATGATCTGGCAAGTGGGACACGATGCCACGTGTCGCTGCACGTCGGTCAACATTTCGGGCCAGTAATAATACCGATGCAGCTGCTGCCGTGTTTTCTCTACCCCGAAATGTCCCGAGGTAACCCCGTCGTGTGCCTCTTGTAATAGTAATTCCCGTAGCAGTGTGTACCCTGGTACCCAGATGCGGTCGGTCCCGGCTTTTACGTAATAGACTCCCTTGGCTGCTGCGAACTGCTGCGAATTTCCTCCTGTGAAGAATGGGTCCGTTTGATATCCGTGGGTAAATAGTCCTGTCAGTAGCGGGCTGGTCTGGGCGAGTAGTATCGCGTGGATCTGGGCAGTGGGGCGGGTCAGTGCGTCGGCGATGTTTGAGGCTCCTTTTTTATAGGTGACTGTGTAGTGGAAGTTTGACTCGAGGAAATCGAGCCACCGAATCTGTCGTGGGTTGAGGTGGGGCTGTGCGCGGAGGTACTGTAGTGATCGGTGGTCTGTCCGTACTGTCACGCCTGCGCCGGTCAAGTAGCAGCGCCACACTTTGAACGCATGCACGATCGCGAGCATTTCGCGGTCGTGTATCGGGTAATTTCGCTCGGGCGGATGCAGTTTTCGTGACTCGTATGCGATGGGCTGTAGGTCGTTGCCGAAGTCCTGTAGCAGTACGGCTCCAATGGCGATGTCGCTTGCGTCTGTAACAACCTCGAAGGGGCGGTGTGGGTCGGCGATGCGCAGGACGGGCGGTGAACAGAGAACATTTTTCAGGGCAGAGAAGGCAGCATGCTCTTTCTCCCCCCACGTAAAAACGACCCCCTTTCGCAGTAAATCCGTCAGCGGGGCAGTCAACTGTGCCATGTCGGGGACGAACCGACGAACATAATTAACGAACCCTAAAAAACTCTGCAGTTCCGTGATGTTCGTCGGGGGACGCCGCGCTTTTACCGTATCCAGCTTCTTTGGGTCGATTTCAACTCCAGCCTCCGAAATAACGTGCCCCAAAAATTCTAGTCTGTCCCGAAAAAACTCGCACTTAGAGCCCTTGGTGAGTAACCGATGTTCCTCTAAAACTTTAAATACTGCTTCGAGATCCGCTAAGTGCTGTTGCTTGTCGCGACTGTAGACGAGGATGTCGTCGAGGTAAACTATCACGCATTTATCTAAGAGTGGCCTAAACGCCTCGTTCATGGTCATCTGAAATGTTGCGGGCGCGTTGGTCAGCCCGAAAGGCATCACCGTGTACTCAAACGACCCGTACCTAGTCCTAAATGCTGTCTTGGCGCAGTCCGATGGTTCGACCCGAATCTGATGGTAACCCCCCCGTAAGTCTATTTTCGAAAACACCGGTGCTGTTCGCAGTTGGTCGATCAGTTCGTCGGCGCGGGGAATGGGGTACCGCGACATGACTGTTACCCTGTTGAGCGCTCGGTAATCGATGCACATGCGAAACCCTCCGTCTTTTTTCGGTGTGAACAGTATCGGTGCGGCGAACAGTGACGAACTTGGTCGAATAAACTGCTTCTCTAACAAATAATCTAACTGCTTCCTCAGTTCGTCGAGCTCGGGCTGTGTCAGTCTGAACTGGCGCAGTCCGATGGTTCGACCCGAATCTGATGGTAACCCCCCCGTAAGTCTATTTTCGAAAACACCGGTGCTGTTCGCAGTTGGTCGATCAGTTCGTCGGCGCGGGGAATGGGGTACCGCGACTTGACTGTTACCCTGTTGAGCGCTCGGTAATCGATGCACATGCGAAACCCTCCGTCTTTTTTTCGGTGTGAACAGTATCGGTGCGGCGAACAGTGACGAACTTGGTCGAATAAACTGCTTCTCTAACAAATAATCTAACTGCTTCCTCAGTTCGTCGAGCTCGGGCTGTGTCAGTCTGAACTGGCGCTGTACAGTTGGCTGTGCCCCCGGTTCTAACTCGATCCTATGATCATGCGCCCGCTGAGGTGGCAGCCCTTCCGGTAAGTCGTCTGGAAAAATCCCCGGGAACCGTTTCAACAGTTCCTGTAGTTCGGGCGGTACTGCTGCCAACAGTTTCTGAAAATCGCTCGGCTGCTCCGCTTCTCCTACTAATGCTATATCTACTGCGTACACGTCAGCTCCAGCGGCGACAACCCGTTTCATTGTGATAGCGTTGACGTGTACCGTTGAAGACTCGGGTGACTGCCAGCGAGGTAGCTCGACCCAGTTACCACTACTTCGCACGGTGCAGCTACCCGTCGTCCAGTCAATTCGCGGGTTATATCGTCGCAGCCAATCACGTCTCAGTAAAATATCGTGCCCATCCAGTGTCGTTGCGAGCATTTCCTGTGTAAACCCGAAATTTCCCCCGCAGCAGACTTTGACTCTCTCTACCTTTTCCCGTATGGCCAGTGGCGTGCCGTCGACTAAGCGTGCGTCTATCTCCGGTAAGCAACGGCTAAATGTCAGCTGCAGTTTTCGTGCGGTTGCGGTATTAACTAAACTGTGGCTTGCTCCTCCGTCGATAAAAATCTTCACTACTGCTCCCTGTATTTTCCCGTAGATCAGTACTGGGCAATCCGTCGTTGTACCCTCCTTATTCATCCGAGCCCGATCGATGGCGTGAATCGGTACTGTGACTCGGTGAGGGTCGGTGCGGTTGGGCGAGCAGGCAGTCTCGTCAGTAGTTGGCCCAACTTCTACTGACTGCTGGCGTTTCCCTGCCTCTGAGACTCCCTTCCCTGCTCTGCTCCGCGGCGCCTTAGCTCCTCTGGGCATTCGCTCTTGCGATGGCCCGGCCTGTTGCAAGCAAAGCAGCGCCCCTTAAACGGTGCGGCAGCTGCATTCGTTGCAACAGCGTTTACAGTGGCGTGCTTGATCGGTCCCCGAGGACGATGTCCGTAGTAGGACCCCGGTCTCGGTCGGCGTAGAATGTCGAGTTTCTCGGCGAGCGCGAGAATCTCGTTGAAGTTTGAGAGTCCGCGCAGCATGATTTCGTGCGAGATATCCGGCTTCAGCCCTCCGACGTAACGGTCCACCCGCTCCGCTTCGTGCATGTAGCCGACCTGCTCGCAAAGTGCGAGAAAACCGCTCGTGTAATCTTGAACCGACCCGAGCTGCCGCCAAGTGCGCAATCTCTTACGCGCCGAAATAGAAGCCGCGATCGGCTCGAAGCTCGCCCGAAGCCCTGCGCACCACGCATCCCACGTGCTGTATTGGGCGGTCTCGCAGAATGAACTCCAGGTGACAGCTGGACCCGTGGGCCCTTCCTCTTGCGACGGTGGCTCGTAGGCGCGTGGCGACGTCACGATGACTCGCCACCAGTCCATGGCGGGGCCCCTTAGCAGCGAAACTGCATACCGAATCTTCGCTGCGTCCGACTCGACGTAATTCGCGTCGAAGAAGACGTTCATCGTGAAGACCCACGATTGAACCGTCGGACCTCCACGCTGGCTCGGGTCGAAACAGGGCGGGCGTTGTGGCATTAGTGCCATGATGGCCTGTTCGCCACTTGTCGCCGCGAACTCCTCGTGCCGACGGGCTTCGCGAGGCTCCCGCGGGCTTGGTGCGACCCTGTTTCCTCCCATGCCAGGCATCGGCTGGGCGGCGCCATCGCTGGCTGCGCCTGAGCGCTGTCCCATGCTGTTGTTTTGTGTTGGTGTGCCGGACGAGATGACGATCGGCTCGTCTGATTGTGCAGATGCATTTGTCGGTGCGTGTGGTGGCGCTGGAGTGTTCATCGTTGATTGCTGACGCGCGGAGTCACGTTCCGCCGTGAGCGTCGCAATTTCGAGCGCCGAATCCTCGAGTTGGCGCACCAGACGGTCGAGCTGCTCCTGCGTCAATGTGGCGAGCGTGAATTCGGCCATGGCGGGGGTGTCGGGCGAGCTCAGCGAGAGCCTCAGTCGTGGCCGTGCGTGCTTACGAGAGAGCACTACGAGCGGCGGTGCTGTGTCGCTGAGGGACGTCTACCCTCCCCAAAAATTGAGATAGTGGGGAAGCAAAGGTGTGGGTGCGGTCCGAGAAGAGGTCGTAGGCTCTGAATACCAAGTATTTAGAAAGCTTGCCTTCTTTCATGTAGCAATGGCATCGTCTCATTTCAAATGGGTTTAGTACAATTTGAAATCCAAGCAGCCTATCAGACTAATGTGCTAACACATTTCAAGGGGTGGGTGGGCGGGAAAATCGGCTAAACCGTTTGAAAATGAGAGACGTGGGTGGAGGGAAATGACCTCCAGCCCACGTTTTGTACTCCAAAACGGGCGTTTAGCGCGGTTCGTCGCTGCCCATTCCTACATTACAGACTGCTTCGCTTTCAAAATACGAAATTTTGAAAAGCGTTACACTTTTAAAAATATTCATGTTACGAGTGCAATGGAGTGAACGAACGAGAATTGCACTATCGAAGCAAGAGTACAATGAGCGAAGGCATGAGCGAAGAATATATAGCGAAACTACTGTGGTAACGGTAATGGACTGTGGTTGTCGCGCGACGGGCCTGGGACCAGGGCTCTTGCTAGGATCTGAGGGCGTCTGATTCTGTCAGACGGGTCCCCCAGGCAAAACAATTGTTTTGTCTGATCTAGATTGGAAAATCAGATGGATATAAAAAAATGAGTCTGAAAATCAGACCATCAGACCAAAATGGTCTGATAACGAGAGCCCTGCCTGGGACTGAGGTTGGGAAAAAGTGTCGAAGCGGAGGCCCGGAGCGCGGGTTACCCGCCGAGCCGTGAGGTCGGGGTGCGATGTGCGAAGGTGGCGGGCAGATTGTCGATGCGAGGGTTGCGAGTGGTAACGGTGCTGACTGTGGTGCTACAGTGATGTACGCGTTGAGCAGGGATGCGAAGTAAGGAAGAGGAATTTTTCTTACACTATGTTAGAAAATAATTACTGTCAAAATGAAGGGCAATATTTGAGTGCTGTTCTTGACATTCGCTCTCTAGAGTGTCAACCAGGCCGACGTCAGGTTGTGCACTGTACAGCTTTCTGTACGCTCACTGCGGTCAAGTAAATTTCGTCACGGTGCAGAACGGTAAACCTTGAAAACCGCTTCCCACCGTGTGGAACCGTTCTGAGCTACGATAAAGAACCGAACATGTGTGAGACATGTACAACCTAACGTCGCCCAGCAACTAAAACCGAAATCACACAAACAAGCTCACGGAAAATGCAGCAGTGTACGGAGTTGTATGTCTCGAGTTGACTACCAGCGATGAGGGCTGTAACTAGTCGATCAACCAGCACAAGTTGACGTGAGAAATTTTCAGCCGCACATACGAAGAGGCCAGAATGCCAAATCGGACTGCTGCAGCTGATGACGTCAGTAAGGGAGCGAGCGATAGGAGTGGCTCGCTCCAGACAGAAAGCTCGGCGCGCGTCCGGTGGAAGCTTCTAGCGCGCGCACTGCTTAGGGAATCCGCGGGGAAAGGGGGAATGGGGGAAGACGCGGGGGCGGAGAGGCGACAGGGGGCAGGCGGGGATGCTAGCGCGGGCGGAAGGGGAGAGGCTTCCGGGAACTGCGCGGGTGATGAGCGGGTTTCGCGCCGACCAATCAGAGGGTTCCACCTGTTCGATTGCCGACCCGCGCAGGCGTCATGCGCGGGGCCAGGCGCAGCCGCGCCACGCGCGGATGGCGGGGGAGCAGCCGCGGCTGAAGCGGATGGCGGGGGAGCAGTCCCGGGGGAGTTGCCTGGGAGAGGGGAGCGAGCCACAGGGGCGGAAATCGTGGGAGGAAAGAATCTGGGGTCGGAGAGCGGAGTAGGCATGGGAGAGTCGCTGCAGTGGGATCGTCCCTTCATCTACTGCATCCCCGTTCAACCCACCCCCTGCCACCGCTGCTGCCCCTCCTCGCCACATTCCTGTCTCTCCTCCCTCTCCTCCTCCTCCGCCGTCGCCACCAACACCACCATCACCACCACCTCCCCTTCCTCCACATCCCAACACCACCCTCCTCCTTCGTCCAGCCTGACTGATCGACTCTCCAGCCTCGTGAGGGAGATCACCATATGGTCCGTGCCAACTGCTGCTGTGCCTTTTCAATCTGTGAAATCGCTGGGTTGGAAATCAGACCCTATCATTTATAGGTTCTTTTCGTGTCTCACCCCTCCTCCCTTTAAATGATAGGGTCTGATTTTCAACCCTCCACCCCACCACCCCACCACCCTCAACCCCACCATCCCCCATCCCTCCACCCCCCATCTTTCCACCCCATGAACCCACTGTCTCTGATCACTCCGCCAGGCATCGAGTGGCAGGGCGAGTGCGTCTCACTGAGATGGCGGCTGCGACCAGAGCAGGCATCGACACCACAGGGCTGCTGGGTCAGTCAGTCTCCCTCGCACACTCCCTCGCTCTCGCTCTTCCTCTCGCACCCACTTCCTTTCTGCTCACTATCTCGCACTCAGATGGCAGCTGCGACCAGAGCAGGCATCGACACCACAGGGCTGCTGGGTCAGCCTCCCTCGCACCCTCCCTCGCTCTCTCTCTCTTCTGCTCCAACCCACTCTCTCCCTCTCACTCCTTTCTGCTCTCTATTTCGCACTCAGATGGCCCGTGTTGTCATGACACTTGTTGTCAAACAATGTACGTTGATGGTGTATAGTGCACATTTGTGTGCAAGAGTGTACGCTCTCCTTTCCTTCCACTCTCACTATCAGACACTCTCTCCATGCATCACCTTATGATGTCGTGCCTGCCTTACTCACTTCACCCGAGCCCTCCAAACATTGAGTAATGTACCCCCCCTCTCCCTTTCCTTAAGCGCCCTCGTTCTGTTTGTGTCCTATAATCCGCGATGATGTGGCATGACGTGATGATGTGGCATGAAGTGATGATGTGGCATGACGTGATGATGTGGCATGACGTGATGTTGTGGCATGACGTGATTGTGGCATGACGTGATGATGTGGCATGACGTGATGATGTGGCATGACGTGATGTTGTGGCATGACGTGATGTTGTGGCATGACGTGATACTGGTGTAATAATGCTTTCATGGCATGGTGGCATGGCGGCAGGCATGTGGCCATCGGAAGAAGCGATGGCGTGCTACCTCATTGCACATGCACAAAGATTCAGGTACTGCTGGGGCAAGGCATGCTGCATCCGCCACATTTGCCACATTGACCGCATTTGCCGTGTTCACCACACAGTATCGCATGCTTAAAAAAATGGAAAAGGAAAAGCAAAAACCACTGTTTTATGAAACGGGTTTGCTCCCCACCGTCCCCCACACACCAAGCAGGGGTCGGAGGGTGGTGGAGCTAGGGGCGGGTTATGGGCTGGCGGGCATGGCGCTGGCAGTGCAGCAGCAGGGCGTGGGGGGAGTGCTGCTCACTGATGGCAACGACACCGTGGTTGCACGTGAGCGCATGGGATGGGATGGCATGTGGTGGTGTCATGGGGGGTGGTGGTATGGGGTGGTGGTATGGGGTGGTGTTATGGGGTGGTGGTATGGGACGATTGATCTCTGTTGGCGTCGTGCTGCGATTCGCCTCTTTCCATCACCACATGTGTGCTCGCATGTGATGCAATTCCTTGTCACATACGTTGCTTCATCTCCCACTCCCCCCTCCTCCTTCCTCTCCTTCCTGCTTTTCTCTTCCTCTGCCATTCCCACTCTCATCCATGCCGCCACACCTCATGCCACCACACCGCATGCCACCACACCGCATGCCACCACACCGCATGCCACCACACTGCATGCCAACAGGTCTAAGCCGCACAGTGGAGGCCAACAGGCATCAGTTCGGGGGCACCAGAGTGGCAGTGGCAGCACTGCGCTGGGACAGCCACCCCCCGCCGCACCACTGGCCACCTGCCCTCTCTCCCCCTTTCGACGCGGTCATCGCTGCTGACTGGTGCGCTGCTTTGCTCCTCTCTCTCTCTCTTTCCCTGCTGTACTCCGCTCGTGAATCTCATTGTCATCTTCTCCCCCCACCCCGCCCCACCACTGGCCATCTGCCCACTCTCCCCCTTTCGACGCGGTCATCGCGGCTGACTGGTGCGCTCATGCGCTTCTCTCGCTCCCGCTGCCACAACACAATCCCCTCGTGGATCTCTTTCCCCTTCACATCCATTTTCCGCAAACTCCCTTCACTCCCCTTGACCTTCCTTGAGCGCCCATGACCACCTGTGTCCCTCGCTATGTGTGCTGTGCATCACCACCAGCACCTGCTATGGGGGGGTCTTTTGAGGCGCCTCGAGAACACCACCAGCACCTGTTATGGTGGCGTCTCAAACGACCCTTTTGAGGCGTCTCAAACGACCCTTTTGAGGCGTCTCAAACGACCCTTTTGAGGCGTCTCAAACGACCCTTTTGAGGCGTCTCAAACCTACTAAACCCCACTGTGTGTGCGCCCCTCCCCCCCCTCCCCCCCTCTTCCCCCATGGCAGCACGTTTTTCAAGGAGCATCACGAGCACCTGTTGCACACGATCACTGCTCTCCTCTCCCCCGCCTCCCCCCAGCCCTCCTCCGCCCCTCATTGCCCTGCTGCATGTGCCGCCGCTCTCCCCACCTCGCAGCAAGCAGCAGGTCTATCAGCAGAGGGAGCAGCAGAACCCGACGGTACATGCATAGATGCAGCCAGGGAAACACACACAGCAGCAGCAGCAGCAGCAGGGGCAGGGGCAGGAACAGCAGGGGAAGCAGGAACGGGGGGGGCAGCAACAGCAGCAGAGGGGAAAGTAGCAGGGGAGGGGGCAGCAGCAGCAGCAGCAGCGTCCCTCTTCTACCCCCCAGAGGCGTTTCTCTTTGCCCCGCATCGGGGCTCTTCCCTCGCGCTCTTCCTAGCCCGTGTGCGGCAGCAGGGCGGGTGGCGCGTGCATGTGGAGGAGCAATACCATGAGGGGGTCAGCCAGGCGTTTGGGGAGGCATGCGGGGAAGGGGAGGAGGGGGAGGAGGGGGAGGAGGAGGGGGGAGAGGGGGAGAGTGGAGAGGGTCAGGGGTTGGAAGAGGAGAAAGAGGCGGAAGAGGACGAGAGGAAAGCCGGCGGGGGTTTGAGGGGGGAGGTTGGGACTGGAGAGGGAGGAGCAGACAGGAATGGTGTGGAGGGAGCGGGGAGTGAGAGGAGGGGAGGGAGTGAGGGAGGGAGGAGGAGGGGGAAGGAGCCATGGGAGGGGTACACACGCATGCATGACTATCCTGTGATGGTGCACATGACATGGATAGGTCAACCCACGTGCACATGACATGAATAGGTCAACCCACATGCACATGACATGGATAGGTCAACCCACATGCACATGACATGAATAGGTCAACCCATATGCACATGACATGAATAGGTCAACCCACATGCACATGACATGAATAGGTCAACCCATATGCACATGACATGAATAGGTCAACCCACATGCACATTACATGAATAGGTCAACCCATATGCACATGACATGGATACGTAGCAAAGCCCACATACACATAACGCACCCGGCATGCGCTGCTGGAATGATGAGAGCAGATGGTGCGTGGTCGTGAGCACACCACATACCACCGCAGACCCCATACAACCTACTGACCACATACCACGTACCACAACCTCCTGATGCATGTCCTGTGCATTGATGCTGTCTCTTATTTGGGTACCATGATGCTTACCGGTACTTCAATTCCTGTAACGTGTTTATCCGAACCTATATTATTATATCATACATTCCGCTGCCCTCCTCCATATTCCTCTAGCCCTTCACTATATGAAGCACCACTTTTGTGTTAGCCAAAGCCATGGTGCAAATGCAAACTTCAGGCTACTTGGGCTCAGCAATGTGAACATTACATTTGGTACAGGCTTCTACGGTAAATTTCAACTGCATTCAAAATCGTATGCAAGGCATGTACACTTATGAATCGCAGAAGCTGCGCATTGTAGTCTGATGTGGAAAACGATCAATAATTAGCAAGGGCCCCCAAGGGTCAGCAGTTACATTGTAACAAATATGGTCACCAAGAAGGTAACACATTGGCATGCACCAGTCAGAAAGGTCCCTTGCTGCCCCATCTCAACCACATGCACCACATGCACCCCGCATGCACCACATGCACTGTGAACATGCCTGTGCGACCCACCCATTGCTACCACTCGCTCCCCATCACCACACCTCACCACCCCTTGTCACTCATCACTACCCATCTCCACCCAGAGTTTCTAACCTTAGGATGGCTGCACACCGCACGGCTGCCATGCCTACCCGCACCCACCACACACACACGCACACGCATACCCCTACTAATGGTTCCCCTCCACCAACGCCCCACGCCTTGCCATGGTTAACCCATTTCCCCCAGTCAATTAGCTCTGTGTTGCAATGCAACCAGTTAGCCCACATCCCTTCCAATATCAGGTGCACAGTTACAATATCCCAGTCCAACCCCTCACAACCACTCACTCATGCCATACACCGAGCTCCAGGCGCTCAGCTCCAGGCGTCCTCTGCTCTCTCTGCCTGCCACATTCAGTTCACCGGCCTGACAGTGCAAGGCGTGGCAGGATAAACGTGGGGATACTCCTCGCACTCGCATCCGACGACCCCCCCTCCCATGATCCCTGCCGCACATACTGCTCCGCTAGCGACATGCCCCCTCCCACTCCTCCTTTCACGTTCCCTCCTCCCTGCTCTCCCCCTCCCCCTCTCCTCACACCAGCCCCAACAACCACTTCACTCATGAGCTTACCGCCTGCTGCCCTGCCTTCTCTCCCCCTCTGCCTCCCAGCTCCAATGTCTGCCACCTGCTGAGTCTGCACCCCTGCCCCCTTCCTCACTCTTTCCGCTTCTGATCCAAAGCCCTCTGCATCACACCCATCCGAACCCCTCAGAGAGTCTTCAGCGCACAGCAGCAGACCCTTGGTCTCCTCGTCCCCTCTTCCTCCCCTCTTACACGCACCCTTCTCTACAAGCACGTCCTCCAACTGATCCCCAATTCTCTTTATAATGAACGACCCCCCTTTCGTCCAGCTCACCGGTTCCCCTGCTGCATCAAGTCCCCCGCTGAAACTCCCTCTCCCCCTCCTCTCCCCACTCCCTCTCTTCCCACTCTCGCTCCTATCACTCACCCACCCACCACTCCACGAATCCCGAACCGACGGCGTAGGGTACCCGTCCGAACCTAACCGCATGGATGGGGTTGGGTACCCATCCGAGCCTACACTAAGCGGGCCGCTGGACAGGAAAATGCTGCGATCGCCCGAGGAAGAGGACGAGCCGAGCCGCCCGCTGCTGCTGCGGCTGGTGGTGGTGGTGGTGCTGGGGGTGGTGAGGGTGGGAGTGAGGACGTGGGGGGTCATGTCCCCTGGTGTGCCTGTGCCAGTCAAAGCTGCAGGCATTGCCGCGTACCGACCGGAGCCGAAGCTGTAAGCGCCCGAGGAGGAGGGAGACGGGTCGATCACCAGCGATAGGTGGTGAGGGTGAGAGTGAGGGTGAGAGTGAAAGTTGGTGTGAGGGCTGTTAAGCTGGGACAATGCAGAGATTGCGGCGCCAGTAGCAGCAGCTGCTGAAACAGCAACAGCAGCAGCAGCAGTTGCAGGAGCAGGAGAGAAGATGGCCTCATCAGGAGAAGCAGAAGCCGTGGCAAGAGCAGGGGCGTCAGCACAATCACCATCGCCATCAGCAATCGCCTCAAGAGGGGCAATCGCATGCGAACGAGCATCAACACGTGCACGAGCGGGGATATCAAATGGTCCTTGGGCGTCCATGTGCTGCCACTGCAGCAGTGCCTCTGCCAGACTCACTCCCAGGTCGATGCCTGCAACACTCACGTCCTCCTCAGCCACCTGTGCCACAGTGGTGGTGGTGTGGGAAAGGGGAATGGGGAATGGGGAAGGCAGAAGGGGAAAAGTGGGAAGAAGGGAAAGTGGGAACTAGGAAACGGAAAACAGCAAGGAAAAGGGGGATGCAACAGCAAAGCTGCAACCACGAATGCGGCCCCACCCATTCCCTCACCTGATTGCTGTGCTCCTTCCGCGCCTCCTCTTCCTCCCGCTCCTGCTGCTGCAGCAGCGGCGCCAGCACGCCCACAACGCCCCCCATTGTTGGTCGCTGCCGAGGGTCCCTCGCCACACACGTCACTGCCAGGTCTGCCACCGCACACACCGACGGGAACACTCCGCCGTACCCATGCGCCGAGCCATGCGCCTCGGGCATCTCAGGCAAGAGGACCGGGTCTACGACCTGAGGCGCGGCAAGGAAGGTGGGGGAAGAAGCAAAAGAAGTAAGCGACAAACAGCCACTGCCATACGGGACACATCATTGACCATGCATGGCATACCATCGTATGGCTTCTTGAATTTGAGAATTCTCAAAAACTCCATGGTATGGCTTCTTGAATTTCCCACTGACTCCTCGTCCACTAAATACCCGCTCTCTCCCAACCGCCACATTCCCAACCCCACCTTAGTTACGATGGCCTTGGAATGACTTGACGGGCGGCTGTTCACGCAGGAAACTCAAAAGCCACCACAAAAGCCCCACCACCACCCTTTCCCCCTACAACTCCTCCCTTTCCCCTCTTCATCCACCCCCTCTCCCATTCCCCGCACCTTAGCGAGCTGGTCCCGGAGTGGCACGAGGGGAGCGAGCCACGTGGCAAGGTGCGCGGCCTCGTCCGCCTTGGAGTCATCTAGTGCACGCCGCCCCGTGATCAGCTCCATGAGCACCACGCCATAGCTGTACACATCGGATCGTGTGGTAACCCGCCCGGTCACTGCGGGGTTTTTTTGGAGGGGACAGAGGGAGTCAGGCTTGAGCCTATGCTCAGAAACCCATACCCCGTGATCAGCTTCACGAGCACCACGCCATAGCTGTACATGACGTGACCCTTCGCGTGGTAAAATCTCGCCCCGTTACTGGCGGGATACAAATGAGGGAGCAGGGAGTGCAAGTGAGTGGGTGGTCACTCTCCCGATGACTGCTGGATAAAAGGGGGGGAGAGAAAGGGTGCAAGCCGGGGAGCACCAAGGGTAACAGGTGCATGCATGAGGGGGTTAGGGAGGATGCGGGCAGTAAATCCACACCCACGTCCTCCCTATCTAATGCCCAATCTAATGCCCCTTCCCTCCCGCCCGCGCCCTTTCCCGCCTCACCCGGGCCCTCTTTCTCACCCACGTATTCCGGCGCCAGGTACCCAAACGTGCCCGCAATGTGATATGTGAGAGATATGAGTAACGCCCATTCATCTCTCCCCCTCTCCCCTCTCCCCTCTCCCCTCACCCCTTCCCCTTCCTACCCTCCCTAACTCCCTCCCCTCTTCTCACCCGCATATTCCGGCGCCAGGTACCCAAACGTGCCCGCGATGCGCGTCTCGATGCTCTGCATTCCGTCGCCCTTGCTGTGTTTCACCAGCCCGAAATCCGCCACGCGCGCGCGCATGCCCTCGTCCAGCAGAATATTACTCGCTTTCAGATCCCTGTGAATAAACGACGTGTGCGCCAGCGAGTGTAGATACTCCACACCGCGCGCCACGTCCAGCGCCACGGACACGCGCGCGCGCCACGTCAGCGGCGGCAGCGCGAGGCGGCGGTGGTCGAAGAGGTGGCGGCTGAGCGGGCCGCGCGCCATGAGCTGATACACCAGCACGCGCTCGTTACCCTCCACGGCATAGCCCAGTAGCCCTAGCAGGTGGCGATGGCGCACCGACGAGAGAACCTCGATCTCCGCCTGTGACGACCGGGCGAAGGGGGGAAGGAGGAAGAGGGGGGAGGGGAGGAGAGGAGGGTGTGATTTTATGAGGGGGCAATCACGTTCGTCATTGTCAGCTGGCCTTCCACCCATGGCGCTCGTCGCGCTCTGCGGAGGACAATGACGAATGCAGCACGCCATGGACCCATGCTGTGGATGCTCTCTTTTGCCGTGCTCTTCCGTTGTTCCTTCTGCTTTGTGTTTCTCTCAGTGTGCTGACTTCGTGCCCGTTTCTTGCCCGTTGACTGACCGTTGACTGCCCGTTGACTGCAGGCCTGGGTGCGACATACCTGGAACTCCGAGTCGCCCTTCTTGGCCAGCTGCTGCACCTCCATTCGCTTCACCGCCACCCCCGTGCCGTCCGCCAACTCGCCCTGCGCGCACACACGCGCCACACGCACACACGCACACACACAAGCGCACGCGCATGCACAACACAAACCAGTATAAAGTCAGCGACGCAGTCGGGGCAGAGATAGCCATACGAAGCAGTCGCACGGTCGCACGCAAAGCTGTGAAAAAGGTGCAGGCGCGCAGTCGGCGCTCGCAGCGGAAGCGACGAAGCGACACAAATACTCTCCTATCACACGAGACTCAGAAATTCCAATCATGAATTCCATGCCTCCACGTCCCATCATTCCATAATTCCACGGCCCCATGACCCCAGGACTCTCGTTTCCGCGTCTCCGCCATTCCCCACCTTATACACGGTACCGAAGCCCCCCTTGCCAATGATGTTCTCCGCCGCAAACCCCCCCGTCGCCGCGCGGATCACGTCCATGCGCATCACCATTCCGCTCATGCCCGCGCCCGCGCTCCCCATGTTTCCGCCCGAACCCATGCTTCCGCTCCCCATGCTCAATCCGCCACTCCCGCTCCTTCCGCCACTGCTACCCGCCCACGCGCCCAGATTCAATACCACATCCCCTCCGCCCCCTCCCATGTTCCGCCCTGATCCGCTCCCCCACCCGCTTCCTCCTCCTCCCCCACTCCCGCTTGCTGCGCCGCCTGCTCCCCCCAACGCGGCGGAATACCCTCCCCCTGCTGCGTTTTCTGTGGCGGAAGAGTAGGGAGCGGAGGAGGTGGCGGAGGTGGCGGAGAAGGCGGCGGAGGTGTGGGGGGAAGGGGCGACGGAAGGGAGGCTGGGGGGAAAGAGCAGGAGGGGAGGGGGAATGCAGGAAGGGAGTAAGGGGAGATTCGGGGTGAGGGAAGAAGAAAATACATGACGCGGCGCTCGTGCACTCACATGTGCGACACGAGTACTCACATGTGCGACACGAGTACTCACACTTGCGACGTCACAGCAGCGGCACCCTTGCGCCCACCGCTTCCCCCCTTCCCCCGCCAGTACCGCATGCCCAGCATCCCCGCGCACAGCGTCACCAGCAGCAGCAGCAGCGCCGCCGCCACCGCAATCACCGCAATCAGCGGAGTGCTCAGCGCGGGCGCGGAAGCATCGGGGGGAGGCGGGGAGGTTGGGGGGGAGGACGCGGACGCGCCAGGAGCGGAGGAGGCGGTGCGGGAGGTGTCGGAGGTGGGGGGGGGAAGGGATGGCGTGGCGGATGTGGGGGAGGGGGCGCCGGGAGAGCTGGGGGGACCGGAGAGTAGGGGGGAGAGTGAGGGGGAGGCTGGAACAGTATGGGGGGGCGATGCTGGTCTCGACTTTGTCCCAGCGCCGCTGCCGCCGTGGCCGCCGCGGCCGCCGTTGCTAGCAGCGGAATCGTTTGAGTCAGCGGGGGGTGGATTACCACGCGCGTTCCCCCCCGGATTGCTGCGGATAGACGCGGGAGGCGCAACGGGCGGGGGAAGGGCAGAAGCGGGCGCTTCGATCTCCACCGCGGGCGGGGGAGAGGCGCGCTTGGGTGAAGCGGATGGAGGAGGAGGGGAGGTCGCGTCGGAAGGAGAAGCGGGGGGAGCGGACGGCAGGGTAGGCGGAGAGGTGGAGGGGGAAGAGTTTCCGAGAGAGTCCGCGGGAGGGCCTTCGGGGGAGTTCTGGATATCGCTCATGGGCGGAGTACCGCTGCCGGACTCGTTCTTAGACGCGCTGCTTCCCCCGCCGTCGCCGCTGCTGCTGCTATTCCCGCCGTTCTTTCCCGAACCCTCCGGCGCAGCAGAAGGCGGCGACGACGGCGGACCGCTTGCCTGTCCGTTGCTTCCCTCCCCGCCACTCCCCGCATTGCTTCCGCTACTGCTGCTGTTGCCACCGCCGCTACCGCCGCTACTGGCGCCGCCGCCGCTCTCTCCGCTGCTGTTTGTCACTGGTGGCGGGGGCGACGGCGGAGGCGCGGCGGCGGAAGCGTCACCACCAGCGGAACCCCCGCCTTCCAGCTTGTTCCCCGTCGCTACCACCGTCACTTGCGGCGGGAAATCCGGCAGCGGTCCGGTGAGCTGATTGTTCGCCACGTTGACGGCTCGCAGCGCGGGCAGCTGCGCGAGCTCCGCGGGCAGCGAACCCTCGAGATTGTTGTCGGGCAGCTGAAGCATTTCCAGCGCGGGCAGCCGCGCGAGCGACACGGAAATGGTTCCGTTCAGATTCTGCGAGGGAATGGTGAGACTGGTAACTTGGCCGTCCGCGGAACACCCAACGCCAAGCCACGTGGCAGAAGACGACTGGTCACCCAACGAGTTCCCCGCAGGGCCCGAAGCGCAGGGGTCGTTAGCAACCCACGAGTCGCTAAGGGCAGGAGCATATTCGACGCCTCTTAAAAACTCCAGCAGCGCCATGGCCTCGTCGGAACACGCGTCGCCTGGACCCGCGGCGCACCACCCGTTCTCCCCCCAGCTCCCCTCCCCGAACCGCTCCATGAACGCAGGAATCGGGCCGACAAGTTTGTTCCGCTGCACCTGCAGTTCTGATAGCTGGCGCGCCTCGCCGAGCGACTCGGGTAACATACCGACAAGGCCGTTCTCGTATACTTTCACGGACTGCAGCAGAGACAACGGCCCGCCTAGCGCGTCGGGAATCGGTCCCGAGAGGTCGTTACCGTGTAGCCAGAGTTCCGACAGGAGCGGCGCGGAGGCGAGCGACGCGGGAATGGGGCCGGTCAGCCGGTTGTTGTTGAGTCGGAGAGAGAGCAGCGACGGCATGTGCGCTCCGAACATCCCCTCGGGAATCCCGCCGTCGAACGCGTTCAGACCGAGCGAGACGTTCGTGAGCGCGACGAGCGACGCGAGATACGAGGGTAATTCACCCGTGAAGGAGCAGTTGGTGAGGAGCAAGATGTTAAGATTCGTGTTTGCGGATAGATCGGGCGGAGGTTGTCCCCCAAGCGGATTACTTTGAAGATACAGCGCCTCGAGCGCCGTCATATTTGCGAACAGGTCTTGCGGCGCGCTGGTGAATCCGTTGTGGTCCAACCCTAGCTGCTCCATGCGCGCCAGCTCCCCCAGTTCCCGCGGAATCTCCCCCGCAAACCCGTTGTTCCCGATGAACAGCGCGCGCATATAGGCTAGGCGCGCGAGCTGCGTGGGGAACGGGGAGCCGCCCCCTCCGAGGTTAAGACCATCGATTAGGAGCGACGAGATGCGGTGCTCTTGCGTGATCGCGTCGCGCGTGCACGTGACGTGGCTCCAGCCGTCGATGCACGGGTCTCCGCCCGAGTCGGGCCAGCTCAGCGCAGACGGGTTTTCGACAGCGGCTTTAAACTCGTGTAGCGCATCCGTGTCACCCTGAAATGTGGCGGCAGACACGAGCGGCAGGCGGAGGGAAAGCGCGAAAGCGGCGAGGACGAGCAGCGACGAGTGGTGGAGCGAGGATCTGGAAGGGCGTTTGGAAGAGAGCGTTAGGGGGCGTCTAGCGCGCGCGATAGTAAACGTGCGAGGCAGTGTGCGGGCCATTCTTACGGGTCAGTCAGGCTCACGCACATGGAACCGCACGCTGTTGCAGCACGCGCGAGAGGGAATGGAACCGTGCACGACTAGGGGACTAGCGTTACTCGTTCGTGGCTCAAGTCGTTCTAGGCGTGTCTGGGCGTGTGGAGGGGTTGATGGTGTGGAGTGCTGATGGAACGGCAACAATATCTCGGAAGTGCGTGCTATCTTCGCGTCTGATACACCTCAGAGCTCATCGAGATTCTCTTTTCTGGAGGCTCTTCGATGGGCGTGGCTTACGTTCGTTGACAAACTAGACTGCTTTCGGAACAATGTTGAACAACTAGACTGCTTTCGAAACAATGGCAGCGAACGGTTGAGCAGCACAGGGAACTACGGGCACGGCATTACTCGTTGCTGTCGTACCGCGACCGCGTCTAGGCTTCCTGACCACTACTCGTTCCTGACCTGCTTGCTAGATCGAGGGTGATGCGCTCACGCGAGACTGGCCTCTAGATTGGCGTTCGATCAGACGTACACGAGCTGCGTTACGCTGTAATCGACGAGTCTAACGCGCCAGAGTCGCGATTCTACTGCGTTTGAGAAACGCTGTGAAGGCAGTGATGCTAGATGGAGAGGAGAGCGTGGATGGGCGCCGTCAGATGAACCGTCCACTGCGCATCATCTCACTCGCCGTCTCATCGTCCTGGGTGAGAGACTACGAGCACTGATGGGCAAATGTCGGACTGCGTCACTCAGTGAGCGTATGTGCGAGGGAACTTAAAAGTTCGAACTTGTTTGCTGGCAGAGTGCACCTGATGGGCCCGTTGTCGTGTTTTGTGGAAGGCTGCGCTGGTTTTGCTTGGTGAGACTGAGCTGTAGTAGCAGAGTGTGTCTGGCGCAGGTTAGCCAACAACCAGATCATCCCTTCCCGACTCGCACCACTCTTGGCTTTGATGCTCTTCAGCGGATTCCTTGCAGGTCTGCCTGCGCATCAGAAATTCTTACACTTGCTCCTCGTCCCTGCCAGCGGACTCCAAGGTTCAGCTTGCTGTGAGATGAAATTGATGTTGATGGATGCTTGAAATGTGTGGGGCAAAGCCGCGACTCGGGAATAGCGGTGCGGGGAAAGGTCAAGGGACATCGCAGAAGTCTCGCAGAAGCTGCTCGTGCGTTTTCGGACGAGGCTGATTGGTTCGCGAGATCGGTTCTCACCTAAACTTGATCACTTCGCAGAGATCGGACGGTCAAGACAAGACCTTTGAGAATTCTCTGAAAGATGGAGCTTGTTATGGCAGGTTTCGACGCTGCATAAAAAATACAGGATTCGGCTGACACATCTAGAACCGCACCGCATTCTTCTGAAACAAAAATCAGGTCAGCGACTCGTCAGGAATTGAGGAGGGGCCAACCGCAGTGGCAAACATAACAGATACTCTACACTTCTGCAAGCCACTAAATGCTCTGTAGGAGTACGGTAATCAAGCTGAACCACAGTACTTAGCAAACCATTATTTCTAGAACCCCAACCACTTCCAACCTCCTGAGCGTTTTGACATCCAGCAAACCTTTAAAACTCTTACTGGTTCTGGTGCCTAAATATGGCTGACATTGCTCTGACATCATTCTTGATCTTGACTTAATAAATTGCACTGTTCATTTTCATCTGGTACCATACCCACCAAACAAAAGCGTCATGATCACAACACATCAAACAAAAGCATGGAGGTTATGATAGAGGTTGCTAATCACACACCTCTACGTACCTTCCTACTTCTTCGGTTCTGATTTCACCTCCTCTTCCATTTCCCTAAGCACCTGCATAAACCCCTTGGCATCTGTGACTTCTCTTTGAAACTCAAACCTAAATTCTCGCCACTGCGGCTTCTCTGATGGGCTGGATTCTTCTGCATGCTGCTGTTGTGGTGGCTGCAGCGACTGTGAGAGGAGGTTGAAGCCTCGGCGGTCAGCAGAGAAGAGAAATGTGGTCTGGAGATTGGTGGGAGGGAGCGATAGTCAGATTGACATGGAAGGCAGCAACAATCAGGATGCTAAATGAACGAGCAGAGGGTTAAGATAGAAAGGCGGCAAGGGGATGTGAGGTGTGAACAGAAGTTAACAGGCAAAACGGGCTGAAATTAAACCGCGGCCTACGCAAGTGGGGGGGGTGGCAAAGAGCACGAGCAAGTCTGAGGTGTAAGCTTGGTTCCAATGTTTACCTGTGGGCGAGCAGGCACTTGCAGAAACGCCTCGCAGAAGGAAGCAAAGGCAGTCCGCGACGCGGCGGAGGAGTTGAGTGCGAGGAGCAGAGGGACGAGAGACGTGGCTGCGGTAACACAGGTGGACGGGTAGTGGAGAGAAGGGGAGGCCGGGTGGCAGGGCGGGAGGAGGGATGGGAGTTGTTGAAATGGATCGTTGGGAAGTATGGTGTGAGAGGTGGTGTGCATGGTGCAAAATGAAAAGAATCTTAAAGTGCAGAGCAGAACATATTCGGGAGGTTCAGAGAGTCAAAACGAAATGGAAAGGATTAGCGTGCCTGGGAGCTGATAGAATGGAAAAGGCCAGCCGATTCCGAGTGTTACAAGCAGGTTGTGGGGACAAGCATGTGTGTGAATAAGTGGGTCGGTGTATGGGTGCCTTGGTGTGTCAGGGTACGAGTGAGTTTGCTGGTGGGTGGGTGGGAGGACACGCACCTAGGGGGTCCGTGGCGGCTGGTTTGACATCTGCCACAGGCAGTGACGTTCGCTTGCCTTTGAAATCAACCAGCTGACAGGACCTGACGGAATGCATGGCACCATGGAAGAAGAAAATGGGATGGGATGGCATGATGGGAACAGAAGAGCAAGAACATGACCACATGGTGAGATATTGCAAGGAAGGAAAGCAATGGAAGCATGCATGAAGCAGGATGAGGCGTTGAAGGAACGACGCACATAGAGAACATACCGAACCCATGCACCCCATGCGATCACATTACAACAACACACTCAGCCACAAAACAGTCAATGGTGTCAGAGAATGTGGATCAGATCGCAACCACATCACATCACATCACATCACATCGCATCGCATCACATTAGAGCTTATCCCATCACATCCACTCCCCACCTAGCTTCCATGCGGAAAAAGGTCAGAGCCCCCTCCTCTCCTTTCCCACCCCCACCACCTTCCGCCACAGTTTGCAAGAGGGGTGGCGGGCAGGGGAGAGGGGAGGAGGGAGGGGAGGGCAAAGCGGCCTCCAGTCTAGCAACAGCCGCTGCAGCTGCCTCCGCCTTTGCTGTAAAGCGACGGAGGATGAAAGAGGTCTGCGACCGCACGAGGGAAGGAAGAGAGAGAGACGGACATGAATGGGGAACGCCGAAGCTCGAAGGTGGAAAGAGCGGCGGTAGTGGAGGGGAAGACAGTCGCATGGTGGAAGATTTAGAAAAAGGACAAGACGCAGGAGGAATGCAGGAGGGCGCAAGCAAGAGGGTATGGGAGGGGAGCGGTAGCAACTATTATGGATGAGACTCCAGAAATGAGCTGGCTAGGAGAGGCCAGGGACGTCTCTAAAACGACATTACTCTGCCTACCTCGGATGAGTCCACGGCCACAAGCTCGCCCAGAAGGGCAACACGGGGTGGCATCTGGTGGTGATGGTAACAGGTGGGTGGGCACACAGGGAGTGAGGGCACATGATGGTTGGGACGGCACATGATTGGGTGATGGCACATGGTAGGATGGCACTGAACGATGGTTGCAAGCAATGACAAGTGTGTCATTGTATGTGCTGACAATGGAGGAGTAGAGCAGAAGGATATGAGCAAGAGCGGGATTGCGTTTACGACAGGGTGCGGTTGAAGCAGAAACAAAACGTAACGACTATATGCGTAATTGTACAACGAGCGTAGTGGGATAAAAAGTGTGTGATTCCCCTCCCACCTGGCCGGATGTGAGGAGGGAGCGGATGAGAGCAGGGGGGTCAGTACCCCCCACCGTGAGTGAAGCCCTGTCGTCCATAAGAAGGTTCTAGAAGGACGGGAGAGGCAGAGACGGAGGATGCAACAAAAGGCAGCTGAGGATGCAAAGGAAGACAGGGGAGAAGCATTGGAGCGATACAGATGTGGCAAATATATAAATCGAAGCTCTAAGAATGAATAAAGGCACTCATCCGAAAGGTTTATGAGTGAAACAAATGGCATGCTTTGCAGTGTATTTAATTTGGTGTACTTGACTCAAAACGCACCACATGGTGGGGGTCATCTGGGAGGAGAGCAACGATGGGAGAGCCATCCACCATGATGTAGCGCACCAACGACCCATGCAGCTTCTCCCGTGCCCTGATGCATGTGCACGTGTCAGGTACGCACATGTACACATGTGCACACACGCATGGACAAGAAGAGGCAGCCAGTTTCTTTCGAATGAGTACCAACCATGCTTGGTTTCCACAGAACCTGTGGCGAGAAAACAGAAGAACCACTAAATTATGGTGCATGCGTCACCCTCCATCCGCATGCGTTTTTCTAGCACGCACATGGCAGCTGGTGAGGCATCGTCCTCCTCTGAATCGGACTGAACTCCTGCCCGCACTGTGGTGAGCTGAGCGCGCCAGTTCGCTGCTAGCAGGGACTGGAGAGGGGAGGGCGGAGAGAGAGAAAGAGAGAAGTTACACACACACATGGGGTGAGGTGGCGCAGTTCTTGCATGACAGGTGGTGCGAGATTTGCATGCGAAACATTGAATGATGAAGGCGAATTCACAAGCTGCTTCCTCCATCGAAACGGTCGCAACGATCGGCAAATACTTTAGAAGCGTCTGCTGCAGTGTCCGGAAGGTTCAAAAGAGCAAGGGACAACCTTACACCGCTCTGCTACAGGCAAGCCTGAAGGTCGCTCTTCCTGCTTCTCCCCGTCTTGATTCCCTGACGAGCAACCTCCATGGGAGCTGGTGACGGCTTCACCTGACGTCAGGCCATCCCCTGGCAAGGATCTGAGTGTGGTTCCCCCATGGTGCGACCACGCGTGGTGGAGAGAGCGGACAGACGAAAACTGAGTGCCTGTCAGGAGTGGTGGTGGTTCGAAAGAAGGGATACGGTGGAAGATAAATAGAAAACCATGACGCGGGCGTAGAGACGGGTTAGAGAAGCATTGAGACCCGCTGATAAACAATGGACGGCTTGAAACCCATCATGCCCACTACATAGGCTCTTTCCGGACTGGTTCAGGTCGCCACGTGAATCGTCTCGTTCGGTCGCTAAAGCGGGCCGCTTTACGGGTGATGTAACGACTATCAAGAAAATGGTAAGGACGAGATGAAGTCATGACTCGATGAAGAGGCCATTCCGACGCTCAGGGGGAATGGATGCAGCTACAACAGGCACAAAGGTCGAACATGTCACCTGAACAAGGATCCTGTGATGCAACGCTCAAACCAGACGAGCTCAGCTCTAGTAGCGGACGAAAAATAGTGATCGCAGGACCTGTACGGCTCATCCGACGGTCAAACGACTCGAGCACTTGACCGAGCCTTTTTAAAGGCTGGCGAATGCGTGCCATGGTTTGATAGCGGAAAGCAACTGTCCTCGTAGCTTGGGAGATTGTATGACGCACAGGCTGCTGTGATTGTTTCTGCACCTCCTGTTCTCATTTCAAGCTGCCCTTTTATTGTGACGGTAGTTCCTTCCGTTGTTTGTCATCATATACAGAATGGTAAGCCTATTGACAGAGCAGAATGGTTTCAGTCAAAGGGGTCTCCACCATAGCCATGTATGTTCTCAGTTGCAATACAAAAAATACAGTGGAATGCCCATGAACATACCGCAGCACTTTCAACTTAGGGTAGCAGAGAATACCGAACAGTTAAAACCGAAATATAAAATAGTGAAGGCCGTGCCAGCTTGAAATCGCTGCGATGATTTGGGTTGACACAACACTGTTCCAAACAAACCGATTGGCAGGTTGAACTCATCTGATTGGCTCAAACAAATCTGAAAAATTACTCCTCCCGCCAAAACGTTTTTCCAGGCCCATGTGAATCGTCGCATTTTTATACGCTGCACCCATACGACCGTTGCCCAGCGATGGTTTCCATCGCCAGGACCAACTTCCAATTCAAGTTGGGACTGGGTGAATGACTATTTGATTTTGAGTCCCAAAGTCACTAGTGCTTTGCGTAGCATTAGTAGTAAAGCCGAGAAAGCGTAGATGTTTCTGGCCTAGGCACGTAAGATCCGACTTCGCTCGCGTGCGTAATGTAGTGAACATGGCTCTGTATAGTCAATATTTTTCTCGTCGCTCGCAAGTGAAACCCGACCCTTCACCTCGTAGCCCTCGCGTTCTCGGTAAATCAGGCTCCCGTCGCTCTACATCTCTTCTTCTCACAGTAACCATCGCGTTGCTCTCGCGCTCATATTGAATCGCCTTTCCGTCGCCCTTCCTCCCCCTCCTATCACCCACTTCGTCGCCGTCACGCGCGCCTCAAATCGCCCACCCTCGCCCCTACCGTCGCCATCACCCTCGCGATCTCCTCTCACATCCCGTCGCCATTCCTCTCTTGTTGCCCTTCCTCACTCCCGTCGCCAGTTCGCTATCCCGTCGCCCTTCCTCTCTCTCGCCGCCCTTCCTGTCTCCCGTCGCCCTTCCTCCCCTGTCGCCCTTCTTCTCTCTCCTCCCGCCGCCCTCGCGTCTCATCGCGAACGCGTTCCCACCACACTCCCGTCACCCTCCGTCCCGCCTTTCGTAAATTATTACCTCCCCTCGCGTCGTTCCTCTTCTCTTCCCTCCCCTACCGTCGATCCCTCTTCAGGTCCTCGATCCCGTGGCCTCGCTCTCTCCCATCCCTTTCCGCCGCCCTCACTCTCTCCCCTGCCTTTCCGTCGCCCTCGTTCTCTCCCCTCCCTTTCCGCCGCCCTCACTCTCTCCCCTGCCTTTCCGTCGCCCTCGTTCTCTCCCCTCCCTTTCCGCCACCCTCGCTCTCTCTCATCCCTTTCCGTCGCCCTCGCTCTCTCTCATCCCTTTCTGTCGCCCTCGCTCTCTCCCCTCCCTTTCCGTCGCCCTCGCTCTCTCCCCTCCCTTTCCGTCGCCCTCGTTCTCTCCCCTCCCTTTCCGTCGCCCTCGCTCTCTCCCCTCCCTTTCCGCCGCCCTCGCTCTCTCCCCTCCCTTTCCGTCGCCCTTGCTCTCTCCCCTCCCTTTCCGTCGCCCTCGCTCTCTCCCCTCCCTTTCCGCCGCCCTCGCTCTCTCTCATCCCTTTCCGTCGCCCTCGTTCTCTCCCCTCCCTTTCCGCCGCCCTCGCTCTCTCCCCTCCCTTTCCGTCGCCCTCGTTCTCTCCCCTCCCTTTCCGCCGCCCTCGCTCTCTCCCCTCCCTTTCCGTCGCCCTCGTTCTCTCCCCTCCCTTTCCGTTGACCCTTGCTCTCTCCCCTCCCTTTCCGTCGCCCTCGCTTACTCCCCTCCCTTTCCGCCGCCCTCGCTCTCTCTCATCCCTTTCCGTCGCCCTCGCTCTCTCCCCTCCTTTCCGTCGCCCTCATTCTCTCCCCTCCCTTTCGTACTTGCTATCTCCCCTAGCATTCCGCGGATTTTTCTCACGCATCTCTCCTCTCGCGTCCTCGTTTCTATTGCTCTATTTGTCTATTCTCTGTGATACGCAGCGATGGTTTTCACATGTTATTGTCGCCCTAGCAGGCCTATGTCTAAGGGCGTGTCATGGCGAGGGAGCTTACAGCTCATGAATCACTGTTTAGGCTGGTATGTAGCGGTTCAGAGCGGTGAAGAGTACAAACCGCTTTAGAAAACACAATATCGTAGTGAACCGCTTAGAATGAACCGAAAGTTCACCAAGCATGACACGCCCTAAGGCCTTAGCTTTGCGTGAGTTGGGCTTGCTTTGCGTGAGTTGGACTTGCTTTGCGTGGGTTGGACTTGCTTTGCACGAGTTGGACATGCTTCACGATGTGAATTTGGCTCTGAATGTAATTGCGATTCGCACGTCGTTGCCTTTCAAGCGACGTATTTGCACATGCTTGCGATGATTTTTGTTTGAGAAATTTGGAGACTCGATCAGTATCATATGGGGCTGGAAAAAAAAATACACAACAGTACTTCAACTTTCAAGTGGACCCAACTAGAAGGGGGGGGTCACTATTTTAGCTGCTGGCTTTAAGGGGGAAGGTACTGGTGAAAGCACAAAGGACTAATAATATCCAAGTCAGGCCCTCTTTGTGAGTTGCTAGCTGCATCTATCTCCAAACAGCCCTCGAAATGGTGCATCTAACTGGTCCATCATGGATCGCGGTACCAACCAGGGATTACAAAGCCGATGGAATTACGCAGCATCAAACTGATCCAGTACGGATGAAGGTACAACCCCCCAGATTACAGAGCTGGAACCACGCAGCGAGAGAGCCTGCTAACAAGGCCAAGAGGAGCACACACAATATGACCCTGCAGAATGCTGAACACCTTGATCTGCCCGGCTTTTGGGGAAAACGATCGTCTTCCACCTGCAAGATGGTGAACTCTTACTGTTCCATACCATACTGTAGAGCATGCAATCATTCCCTTCAACATATTCACACAAGACTCACCTTGGCTGATGCAGCTTCCACCTGAAAGCACACGCTTATTGTCAGAAGTCAAGCAGAGCATCCTTAAGACTTATTCTTAGGGCTCCTTCCTTACCTGCTCGATGTTGTTGGTCAAGGCACTCTGAACTTCCAGTACTTGGGCTTTGAGCTTGGCCAACTGCTTCATCTCGTCGCTATTATGCATGCTGAACTCCATGAGCTCTTTCGTCAACGGTCTGGATCAAGTGGCAGGTGAGAAACAACGTGAGATGCCTTAACGCACGAATCAAGCATACCCGAATTCCTGATTGAGTGCGTTGGCTTGAAGTGAATCCAGGCTACGACCCCCGTATTTGTCAACTTCTCGAGATAAACGAAAGGTAGTCTGCGGCCGTACATGCAGTCAGCCATGACCATATAGGCTGCAGAGAGAAAAACCCAGTAAGGACATTTGCATTCGGAAGCGAACCCGAAGGCAGGATGATAACGTACTAATCCCTTGGAAAGTTAAATAGTTGAAGGTGAGCTCATCGAAAGGATACGAGTATTTCCCTTTCGTAGATGCTACCGCTTTCTTCAACCCTTTCATTGCCTCCACCCTAAAGTTCCCCCCATAAGGAGTATACTCCACCAGTACAACATCTCCTCGTGAAATGAAAGAATAGATGAGAAGGTTGCGGGATTGATTCATTGGGGGTGAAAGGTAGGAGGGCGAAGATGCGTTTACTGGAAACTGACAATCGCGGACCAGTTAGAAAAACTGGCAGTGGCTAATGTGAATTCCACCCTGACCAGGTTTGGAGCTGGTGGTGATAGCGTTGGCCTTGCTGGTTGTGGGAATTCTAGTGCGTCAGCAGGAAGCCATCCTCCCTCCCTCCGATGAGTTGGCGAACAGTCGGGTCAGGTGGTTGTACAGGGTGCTGAACCCGACAATGGTACTGTACTGGAGAAAGCGATACAACTGTGAGTGGAAAAGCACAATACAATCTGCAATATATAAGCAAAGGGCTTTAAGAGCTATATAAAATAAAAGAATTGCGGCAATAGGGAGATCCACATGTGATATTCAATGAAAAGAAAAAAAAAAGTAAGTACGAATCTTTATGAACCGTCGAATTCAAAACGCTACATGTATCCATCATACAATGTAAATCACTCAACAAAATTCCTTGCATAGGAGCATCACTGACAGCTTATAGCAGGGCACAAGTCCTTGTGCCCTTCGCCCAGGTTTCAGCATCTTCGCCCAGGTTCTTCAGTCCCCTGGTGCCCGCATACTCTTCAGCAATCCCGCCTAGCTAGTGTCTGGCCCTTACCACTGTCGCGTATCGCTGCTTATTAGCAAATCGCCCGATCTGGTACTATTCTTTCGTATCGCTCGTTGCCCTCAATGACCGCGTCTGCACCCAAGGATCCGAACCGCTTCCTCACGTCGTTCCATGCAGCACTCGTTGCATGTTCTTCTGAGGTGACACTTCTCATCACTCTCTCACGTATCGTATCTCTCTCCTGAGCCTACTAGATCCGTCGTTTTCGCTCCTTTTCCAGCACCGTTTCATCTCATATTATCCACCTTGTCCTTACCGTCGACGCGTCCGCTCTTGTATCGATCACTTCACCCTACCTCGTCGACGCGCATTTGTTCTACTGACACTAACCTGTCCTATCACGCACCAATCCCTGCGGTATTCTCGCTCGACATACCCTCCCTCTTGCTACCTTCCCCTCAACTGCCTGCTGTCTGCCCGGTGTGACCTTCCCCTCTCCCATCGCGCATCGCCATCACGCACCGCATCGCGCATCGCATCGCGTGTATCCACGCGTGCCAGGCAGCAGCGTACGGCCGTTGCGTGGCTGCCAGGGTCCCAGGCGTGGACAAGGCCGTGTGCGAGAAGGAGTTTCTCCAGCTGAAGACCTGCTTCTACGCCTCCGTGCGTCCGCTCCTCTCCCCTCTCCCCCACTCCACTCTCCTCGCCTACCTCACCTCACCTCCGCTTCCCTCTCCTCCCCTCCCTCGCGTCCCCTCCCCTCCGCTCCCCTCGCCTTCTCCCTGCGGTTCTTCAAATGTTCTCCTATCCTCGGTTCGTCCTTCTCGCTTCCCCTCCTATCCGATCTCTCTCACACAAGACCTTCTCTGCCTTTCGCTTCTGTTCTTCTGTTCTCCTTCCGCTTCTGTGCTCATTCTCTGTGTTCTAATTCCGTCGTTCCCTCGTATTCGACCCGTGCCTCTCTGCCTTCACCTCACGCCTCCCCCTCGCGGCCCTGCAGCTGCGCAAGCGCAAGTAGCAGCGACTGCTGAGTCATTCCTCGCTGCTGCCACGTCAGCCACTGTCTCCATATACCGTTGGCGCTAACGGTGGAAGCAGCAGTGCGTGATCGCAGCTTGTTCGGGCGTTCGTTTACCATGGGGTGTTGTGAGGAGGGAGTTTGGTGCGGTGGAGTAAGATTTGTTGATATGATGACCCTGTGAAGAGTTGGGGTGGGGAGGAGTGAGTGTGCGGAAGAGAGTGTGAGTTTGTGTGTGTGTGTGTGGATGTGTGCGTGTGTGCGTGTGTAAGAGAGAAAGCACGTGCGTGTTAGAAGGGGGAGGGAGGGCGAGAGAAGTGGAGGAGGTGAGAGGAGGCCAGAAGAGAGTAGGCAGGAGAGTAAAGGGTGAGAAGCGGACACGAAGCAGAGTAGACGTATATTGGGTTGTCAAGGCAGCCGTTCAGCTTATCTGATGCTCCCTAGTTAATGGGAAGAGCTTACAATCCGAATCCTGCCTCCATGGTTTCAACTAGCACGCCAGTCATGCCATCCGGCGTTTCATCTGGCATGAGAACGTCCAGGAGGTCCCCTGGCATGTCACCCGCGCAGTCACCTGCCATGTCGCCAAGAAAGGGATCGAGAACCCCCAGAGAGAGGCGAGGAGGATGGGGGTCCCAACCAGCATCACCAGCACCGTCATCAGGGACACCCACATCAGCAGCACCATCACCATCACGATCAGGACAAGCATCCCCGTTATTCGCATCCTCGGTATCTCCACAGGACGAGTCCAGCCCTGTGGTGCTGGGGCCGCGGCCTCTGCTGCGCTTTGACGTGCCGGGCGCGGCTGGTGTGATGTATGACGAGCCGCACGGCATTCTGCTGGTGTCCGCGCATGAGAAGGTGTACGCGTGGCGTGTGCCCACTCCCGCGCAGGAGCAGCAGAGCCTCGAGCAGTACATTCAGAAGCAGCAGCAGCAGCAGCAGCAGCAGCAGCAGCAGCAGCAGCAGCAGTTGAATCATTGTAATTCTCACGCCCACGCCCACACCCCTGGTCACAGTCGCACGCACAGTGTCAGTCACAGCCATCTGCAGCCCGTGCAGCAGCCAGCGCCGCAGGTATTCGCCATATCCGACCGCCCTGTGCTGGCCGTGCGCTTCTCCCTGGACGGCCGCATTCTCGCTGTGCAGCGATCCGCCCACGAGCTCGAACTGCTGCTCCGCCGCCCTTCCTCCTCTTCCTCCTCCTCCTCCTCCACCATCACCACCACCACCACCTCCACGTCCACCACACCTACGGCGGCAGCTGCTGCCTCGTCTGGTGGTTCTGGTGCGGAAGCATCTGGTCAGGCAGAAGCAGGAGCACCGGGGCATGGAGGGGACCGGGCAGGAGACGGAGGGAGCGCGAGCCAAGAAGAAGCGCTGGGAACCAGAGGCGGCAGCAGCAGTAGCGCTAGTGGCAGCAGCGTGGGTCCTAGCAGTGGCAGTGGTGGCGGGACAAGTGCTGGTGGTAGTGCAAGTGCTGGTGCTGGTGTCAGTGGCAGTGGCAGCGGTAGTGGCAGTGGCAGCGGTAGTGGCAGTGGCAGCGGTAGGAGTAGAAGTAGTTTAGTAGCAGAGGCTGCTTTGAACGCTCCTGTTACAGTGACAGCACCGGCGCTCACGTACAGGAGTAGAAGTGCTGCTGATAAGATCCTGGGCTTCTTCTGGTCTGATTGCCCGCTCTGCGACCTCGTTATAGTCACAACTGGGTGAGAGTCTCAATTAGTTGGATCATTGATAGGGTGCTGTTTTTATCCTTCCAGCCAGTCATTCATTGTCTTATTGTTCCATGTTAACGTGCCTTGTATCATTTCGGCCTTGTGATATTTCTCTTCCTGATCCGTTCCGCTCTGCTCTCTTCTCCGTCGTCCCTTCTACGCACTCCTCTGCTCCACCACCCTTCGCCCTTTCATCCAACCTCTCATTGCCAGGGGCTTGGAGCTATTTCGAGTGGCAGCAGCAGCACCATCAGGCGGAACAGGGGTGCCAGCATCACCACCACCACCAGCAGGAGCAGCAGCAGCAGGGGCAGCAGGGGCAGGGGGGAGTGGGTCAGGGCAGGTGGTGATGCGAATGGTGGAGGCGTGGCGTGTGGCGATCGGGTGGTACGTCTACACGCACGAGTCACGTGTGCTTATCCTCGCTGCTGGCCCCAGATTCTGCTCCCTCACTGCCATTCAGGTGCGCTCGCTCAGCAGTCGGGAACAGGGCTGTTTGAAGGATTCAGTGGGTTACAGACAGACAGTCTGTAAGGATCATGCATGCACGCGCCTGCGGGTGTTTCTGCGCCCTCGGTCCCTTTTTTTCTTTTTGAGTCGACTCAACGGTGTGTTCTTTTTGGTGTTGCTCTCTCTCTCTCTCTCTCTCTCGCTCTCTCACCCTGCAACGGGCAGTTCTCAGCAGCAGGGTTGGTGAAGCTGCCTAAGTTCACAGCGCAGCTGGGCACATCTGCTGCGCCCACCACCACATCCACGCACTCGCTCACTGCCAAGCCGGCCCCACCAGTGGTTCTCGCCCCACAGGACGTGCGCATTGCCAACATGTGAGTGTGCCTTGTTGAGTTGGGATTCTGAAAGCAATCCCTGCTGCTGCTGCTGCTGCTGCTGCTGCTGCTGCTCGCCGCAATCTATAGTCCAAGCTGTGCAGCACTCTGGCTTCTTCTCACTCGCTCTCTTTCCCCTCTCTCCCTCCCTTTCATTCTCGGATGGTTGCATGCATGCATGTCTCGTCCATGTGCTCAGGTACGGGCGCATATACTGTGTGCAGGTGGACCGGGTCTCCTCCCTGCTACACATCTTTCGGTTCTTTCGAGATGCCATAGTGCTGCAGGTGAGCAGGCAGCGTGCTGCAGGGTGGGTGTAACTTTGGCTCTGTCATCCCTCTCCACCGCACCACCTCCACTCTCTCCCCCCTCCACCCTTCCTCGTCGAACTAACCTAAGATGTCCACTCCTCTTCCAGCAACACGCCTGGTCGTGAGTCTACGCACCTACCAGATTCTCAAGTATCTTCGAAACCCTTCCAACCCCCCAGGTGTCCATTCCACTGCCATCAACGCGAGTGGCAGTGAGTGTGGCGGATAACCTGCTCCTCGTGCATCTACCAGCCATCCACCGCCTCCTCCTCTTCGACTCTCTCCTCAACCACTGGAAACCCATCTGCCCCGCACTCGCCCCCGCCTTCGCACCACTCTCCTCCTCGCTCCCTCCCTCACTCACTCCCTCGTTCCCTCGCACTCTCTCGCGCTCCTCCACGGGTATGAGCACGAGCACGAATGCCAGCAGCAGCGGCGACGGCTCCTCTGCTCCGTCCACCCCACGGACTGGCGCCAGCAGCAACAGCAGCACCAGCAGCAGCAGCGGCGGAGGCAGTACCCGCAGCAGCAGCAGCGGGGGCAGTGGCAGGTCACGGTCGCGGTCGAAGGTGTATGGGTCGGGGTGGGTGCTGGTGAACCCGGATCTAGTGCTGGACCATGTGAAAGGCGTGCTCTGGCGCCTGCACCTCAACCTCCAGGTATTACTTCCGAGATTTCCCAGTAAGAACTCACTGTACGTGCCATACAATTTTATCGTTGGCCATTGCTCCTCTCCATGTCCCTCCCTCCTGCTTTAACGCCTCCTTCCCTCCCCTCTTCCCTCCCCTCTTCCCTCCCCTCTTCCCTTCCCCCCGCCCCTTTGCCACCGTCCCCCAGTCTCTGGCAGTGTGTGCAGCAGATCGGTCGTCCCTCTTCCCACTGCTGCAGAGCCGGCGCTGCTCCAGGCGCCTGTCCCTCCCTCCTGCTCCATGCACCTGTCCCTCCCTCCTGCTCCATGCGCCTGTCCCTCCCTCCTGCTTTAACACCTCCTTCCCTCCCCTTCCCCCCCTCTCTCGCCATCTTCCCCCAGTCTCTGGCAGTGTGTGCAGCAGATCGGTCGTCCCTCTTCCCACTGCTCCAGCGCCGGCGCTGCAACAGGCAGCAGGTGCATGCCATCTGCCTCTCACTCTTCTCCGATCTCCTCGCCCAACACTCGCCCCTCCCCACTCTCTCCTCCGCCTTCTCCTCCCTGCTCTCCGCATACGCCACTGCTCTTGCCGCTGCTGCTCGCAAGCCCAAGCCTGTGCAAGACACACCCGGTGCGTCTTCTGCAGTTGCTGCTGGTACTGATGCCAGCAGCAGGAGAAGCAGCAGCAGCAGCGGCACAGTTGCAGCGAAGCAAGAGGCAGGGGAGGGGGAGAGCGCAGAGCAGCAGCAGCAGCAGGTGGGGGCGAATGACAGGACAGCGTCAGGAGGATTCTTCCACGTGGCTGCCGAATCAGGCGCTGTATCAGAGACTGCTGTATCAGGCGCTGATGGGGGCCTGGGGGAGGCGCTGGAGGGAAGAGGCGGAGCAGGAGCAGGAGGGGGAACGGGAGGGGAAGTGGGGGGAAGAGAACCAGCAACTTTGTCTCGTACGAGCTCTGTGGCTTCCGTGGGGGAGGGGTCGGGGGGGTCCGCTGCGACGGGTGGTGGTGTGGGTGGTGGGGGAGGGGGAGAAGCAGAGGCGGCGGATCCTGCAGTGGAGGAGGATGAGGGGGTGGTGTCGCCAGAGCACCTGCTGCACCAGGTGGGTGCTCCTGCTCTGTCACCTAGAAGCATGCCTAACATGCCAAGAAACCATATTTCTTTACATTGTATTCCCATCCCTTCCCTCCCCCATCACATGGTCTTCCCAAACAGACCTCCAGATAGAATCATGCACGCAGCGGGGCAAGATTCGTTTTCCCGGGCACCTTGGAAATAACATTTCCCACACCTCCCTGCTCCGCTCTGTGATTTCCAGATCGAGTTGCATTTGGAAGCATGCACGCAGCAGACAAGCAGACACAGAAGCACCCCTGGTGGTGCTGTCACAAGTCCCGGAGAGAGTAGCCGAGGGGACACGAGAAGGGAAGGAGAGGCAGGCGGTGACGGTGGAGGAGGAGAGAAAGGGGAGGAGGAACGGGGGGGGGATGGTGGTTGTGGCGAGAAGGAGATGGATGGTGGTGCTGCTGCGTGTGGGGCTGTATGGCATGACAGCAGCTATACTGTGGGGGTTCTGGTGGAGCTGATCCGATGGTGAGTGGGAGCCGGATCATCGCATCTCGAGTGTCTCTTTTGCTGTTGCTGATGGCTGGTGGCAGCGCTGTCATTATTCGTGGTGTTGCCAACCACATCACCCCCATCACCCCCATCAACCCCATCACCCCCATCACCCCCATCACCCCCACACCCACCAGCATGGACGATCTACGGCTGCCGCTGCCAGCCTTTCTGCGCGCACAGTCATCCCTCGTGCGCCTGCTCGCTGCGCACCACCTCTGGGCCGCACTGCTGCACCTCCTCAGTGCCAAGGTCGAGAGCACCTCCTCGCATCTCCACCTCTCCTGTCCCATCCATCTCCTGTCTTGCCTTGTAACCCTTGCTCATTTCACGACATCCTTTGTCCTCCGCTGTCTGGTTTTTTAGCATTCGTGTCACTTTTGCGCCTCGTCAGCTTCTCTGAAACCTCCTCACCCCTCTCTTTCCTCCTCCCTCCATGCCTCCGCTCGTCCCTCCTCCCCCGCTCTTTCCCTGCAGCTGCTTCGCTTCTCGCCTGCCTTCGCATGGGACCTTCTGCACCTCTCCTCCTCCCCCTCTCCCCTCTCCACCTCCTCCTCCCCCTCCCCACCTACCCTCCCCCCGGCATCGCTGAAAGCGCGGGCGCGGGTACGAAGGGAGGCAGTGCGGCTGCTGCAGGCGTGGCTGGTGGCAAGAGACGCACAGGAGCAGGGCCGAGTGGCGGCACAGAGAAGGGAGGATATGGCGGCACTGCTGCGAGGCATGGTGTTGTGCTGCGGACCGCTTGCTGCTGCGAGGTTCCTGGCTTCGACACCGCCACAGGTACATGCTGGGTTGGAGGTGTGTTTGTGAGGGCTGTTTCTTGGTGCTTCTGGAGTTGCTGGTAGGTGCTGCGCTGGTGAGGAGTATGAGAGGACTTCAAAGAAAAGGTTGTGAGGGAGGACGGTCGCAGGGGAATTCAGTCAAGAACGAAGGGTTTTCAAAAGTCACTTCCCTTGTTGTACCATCCAATGTTCCATTTTTTCAGGTGTTTTGGCAGCACGCCCCCTTGCTGCTCGCATGCCTGTCGCACCCCCGGCACCTGCACCTGGCACCTGCTGTGCTGCGATGCTTCCAGGAAGCTGTACCATCCTTCCAAGAAGCTCTGGCCAGCAGGGCAGGGATGGAGGACTGAGGGTTTTGGGGATTTGAGAGAGGGGCTGTGGGAGAGGGAAGAGAGTGGGGTGGTTGCAGAACTCGTGGCAGGGTGTGGGAAAGGGACAGGAGATGGAATATGAAGTGGGGAGAAGGGAGATGCTTACAGCCTGTGTAAAATATGCATTAAAGCCGCAGTAGGTTTGCGGAGGGTGGGAAACCATACACTAACCTAGTTCATCTTTTGTGCTGTACTGGGTAAGCAATACCAGTTGCAACTTGTATGGCAAGATATTGATCCTATCTGATAAATGAGGTTTGAATGTCACCCTGAAGATCAGTGTAGTGTGTGCATATGACTGAATCAATTAACTCTCCTATACGAATGCATATAGCAGGATTGTTATGAGTTTCCCTCGCCCATGCTCTCATTGCTCACACTACTAATGGTGGAGATTGATAGAATATGCTACATGCAGAGCTAGGCACACTCCTGGGCTTAGTTTGATTATTGCTTTTATGGAGGAATTAGAACGACGTAATGTAGACGCCAACCAGTGTGCGGTAGGGCAATCTAAGCCATCCGAAGGAATCCAGGAACGGCCCCGATGCCCGCCAGTCCTACTGCTCGATCCCCCCTCAAATCGAAAATGTTGCCTCCCAACGATCACATCGCCTCGCACGCCTCGCCTTCGTTGACGAGGAAATCGAAAATCAACATTCGGCGGCTCGGGTATTCTGACAGGTTGACGGATGGAGCCTCGAGAAGCCGACCAGGGAGGGTGTCACGTCGGGTCCATCTGGGTAATGAGGTCGAGGGCGTGTCCAAAAGCACGTTTCAATGCGGCTCAGAGAGATACCTGACATTCAACAGCTTTTCAATAGCAATTTAGAACGGTTGGCTAGTAAATTGATCGATAATGAACGTATTCGACACGTTTTGACCGCCCTGGCGATACGGTCTGCTAGTTTTCCCCACTCTTTCCCCTCCTCCCCCCCTCCTCCTTTCTTCCCTCGCACTCGCACACACACTTTTCCCCGCTTGCCCCCTCCGGACCTCCACCCGCAGTACCCACCGACACAACGGCCATCGTACAGTACATGTATACATTCCCATCGTACTCGCATGGCTTCCCATTCCCATCCCATCCCATGCCATTTCACATTCCTTTCTTCCACCTCGCATGTGAGGCATGGAAATTATGACATGCCGTTTCGAGTTGAGTTGAGTCGAGACCATTGCAACATCATGCTCTCAGGCCAAGTGACCACAAGGTCGTGCAATTGCAGACACGCGAGAATTTCTGGCTAGGGACAATTTGGTCATCGCACGTTCGGATATTACAGAGAAAAATTCGCCGTCGTTTAGGCTATTCTCGAACACCGTAGTACTGTGGCTCCTTGCGCTAGTTCTGACGCCGTCTCGTCGTCCGCTTATTACACGATTTGCTAGAGCAGGACGCCATTGTTTCAAAGCAGTTCTATATGGCGGATCGACTGCAGTCCTTTGTAGCTCCCAAATCCGCCAGATATGCGGGTGATTTAGCTGCATTTGAGTGAGCGGAAGCAAGCCGAAGACTCAAAACTAACCATGGGGAATTCTCCTTCTCAAATTCGCCCGCACCGCAGTCCCTCGCTCCGCGCGCATCGGTCCCGCAGCAACAGCCACAGTAGCAGCGCCTTACCCCCAGCCGCCCCCCAGGCCTCGGCCAAACCACCAGCCCCTCTCTCGTCCTCCACCACCGATTTCCGCCCTTCCTCTACCGCCCGCCGCCTCTTCCGCCCCTCCTTATCGTCTAATGACGCCCATACTGTTGCCGACCACGGCAAACCCACCTCCACCGGATTAAACACCGCCGTCGCCCGCTCGTCATCTACAGGCGACGCAGTCGAGGGCCCGCGGACGGCGGCGGGATCCGCGGAGAAACCGGTGCTTGGCGCGAGCGCAAGGCGGCACAACTCCGCGTGTTACCCGCGCGAGGAAACGGGGAAGACGGCTGGACGTGGCGGGACGCAGGATAGGCAGCTAAAAGAAACCGCCATTGCCGAAACGAGCTGGGAACGAACAGGAGGGTCAGGACGAGCAGACGGGGAAGGACTGTGGAGCAATAACCGCTACGAGCAGCTGCTGCCGCTCCTCGCGGGGCTTACGGAGGCGGACTGGTCGGCGCTGCAGCATTGGGCGGAAAGCGGATGGCGGTAAGACTCGCAAATTTCCGCTCGTGTGACATGATTGCGCGACTTGCCGATTGAATCATGGGCATGGCTCCTCTGATCGTTAATGCAATTGGGCGTGCATGGGTGCATTCACTTAGGAATCGAACTTTCTCCGCTCGAAACTTCCTCGCTGTCTCCTATTTGTCGGATCCCCTTCACCCTCATCCTCCCACATTGCTGTTTCTCCCCTTCCTTCTTCCCCACATCCCCCCGCCGCCCCCACCCGCCAACCCTTCCCTGTTACCCCGCCTTTCATCACAGGTGCGTCGAGTGCGGGACAAGTCGACCCGTTGACCACACATTCACTCCCCGCGTCGCCTCTCTCCTCCACCTCCTTCGCGCATTCCCCGCGCCCCCCGCCCTCGCCCCGCTGCCCGCGCCCCCGTGCGCGCACTCCCTCTCCGCCTCCCCCTGCACGTCCGCGCGCATGTCGGTCTGGGACCGCCAGGCCAGTCTAGACTCTTCTTTAATCCCCACCACGCCGCCACATGCGCTCGAGCGACAAGAAAGCCTTCCCGCCAGAAGCGGAACGGCGGGGCTGAAGTTTGTAAACGGTCAGCTGAGCCTCTGCCCGGGGCAGGTTGAAGGTTCCAGGCGGAGGGCGGAAATACCGCGCAGGCACTCTGCTTCCGCCGGGCCGTCGAGCGCGCTCCCCTCGCCCACCACTGCGGACTCTGGTGCGCGGGTTGCGGGGGTTGCGGATTTGAGCGCCGTCGTTCACCCTTGCGCCAGCGACGCCGCCGCCTCCGCCGCCGCCGCCGCCGATGGTCATTGCGGGAATCTGATCACCACCACAAGCAGCAATGCAAGCGCCATTAGCGGCGCCGCCGACGCGGCTGCTGCGGTTGCTGCTGGTGCTGCCATTACTCCTGGTGTAGGGGGCAATAATGTCGCTTCCGCGGCCGGTGCGGCAACGGTCGTTGCGGGGCGGGAATCGTGCAGCAGCAGCGCGAACCTTCACCGCAGCCGCAGTCTCACCGCGCGCAAGCGCCGCCCGCATCCCCCGTTCGTCGTCGTCCCCTCGCCGCCGCGCACGGCCACACCGCCCAGGGGGACCATTACCCCCGCGTCCGCACGCCCCGCGCCCGCTACCACTCCCGGACTGATTAATGTTTACATTAGTAGGACTAGCGGGCTTGCGCGTAACGCTCCTGCGGTCACTCCTGTTGCCTCCGCCAATGCCGCGGCCGGGTGTGCGCGGGGGCGGAGCTGGGAAGAGAGCGCGGAAGGAAGCAGGGGTGGGGAGGGGATGCGCGGAAGGGGAGCGCCAGGCGCGGAGGATGACGGCTTGCTAACGCTCCCGCTACCGCCGCTGAATGCAGCAGAATTAGAACAACTGAGCGGAAGAGCTGGTGGGGAGGGAGGACTCCGCGGGAGAGGCGGGCGGAAGGACGGGCAAGAGTGGGAAGTGAGCGCGCAGAGTGACGTCATTCCCGCCACACATTCCCTGGTTTCGACGGTAAGCCAGGGCAACAATCTCGGCGCCAGTCACGGCGCCAGTCACGGCACCACCACGCATCTCCTCCGCTGGGCTTCAATCGGCGCGCTTCACTCCGCTTTCGGCGGCGTCGGGCAATCCGCCGCCTCCGCCAGCAGCCCCGTTAAGCTGCTGCGGAGCAAGAGCCGCGGAAAGGGCAGGACGCGGAGCGGGCGGCGGAACGGGGGGTCCGCGCGGGGGGAGGAGCACAGACTGGGCGGATGCGCAGCGGGCGCGGCGCGCCGATGCCATTCTGTGGAGGAGGCGCCGACGGCAATCGACGCGGCGGCGCGGGGACGCGACGAATCGGGGGAGAAAGGTTTCGCAGGAAAAGCGGGGGTGCGTGCAGCAGCGGAATGGGCGGAGATGAAACCAGCTGCAGCGGAAGGGAGCGCAGGCGCGAGCGCGCGCGGATGGCAGGTGGAGGACTTATTCGGAAGGCTCGCGGAGCCGCTTGTGGCTGGCGCTAAAGGTTCCGCCAACGGCGCTGGCGCGACCGGCGCGGACCCCGCGCTCTTCCGCCGCCCGTCGCTTTCCCGCGCGGCACTCGCCCGCTCCGCCAGCTGCTCTCACTTCGACTCGTACCTGTCCGTCCCCCCGCCGTCCCCCGCCACCGTTGCGCCTCTCCCGCCAGCTTCCGCCGCGCAAGTCCCGCCGGTTTCAGTTGCTGCTGCCGCCGCCTTTGCCGCTGCGGCTCGAGACTACGGCATCGCGCCGGCTGCGGTTGAAAACGCCGCCGATTGCGGCGGGGGAGGCGGCGGTTACGGCGCGAGCAGCGGTGGCGGAGTGTTCCTGACCTCTTCCTCGCACTCCTCTCCGCCCTCCTCTTCCTCGTCATCCCCCGAGTTTCCCCCCAGCACCTGCCTTTCGATGCCCTCCCGCCGCGTGCTCCCCGCGTTCCTGCGCACGTGCGTCGTTCCGCGCGCCATGGGCGGAGTCCCGCTGCCCCTCCCCCTGCCCCTCGCGGAGCCGCTGGAGAGAGAATTCAGAGCCAACGAGCGCGCGTTCCTGCGCACCGTCGCCAGCGTTGAAGCCGCCGCGATCGCCGCCGCCGCCAGCGACGGCACCGCTGCAGCTGCTGACGCGTCACGTCGCGGCGGGAGCGGCGGCGACGGTGGTTTCTGCGGCGGCGGTGATGGCGGAGAGGAAGAGGAAAGGGGCCGTGAGGAGTGGCGCATGTGGCGCGCGAGCCCTCCTGTAGGCTCGTCCCCTGCCTCTCTCCCGTCCCCCGCCTCTTCCTCCTCCCGTCGACCAATCACCAGAGCCGCGTCCTCGCCCTTCCTCTCCTCCCTCCTGCTCCAACAGCGGCAGTTGGGGCGTCAGAGCAGCGGGCTGGGCTGCAGAGAGGACGGAATGGGCGGGCACGGACAGCAGCAGCAGCAGCAGCAGCAGCAGCAGCAGCAGGGTGGGGTGTGCAGCTTTGTGGAAAGGAAACCAGTTGGTATTATTCCCAGGCAGGCATCCACACAGCCCAACACACCCGTGCATCCGATGCAGGGTAACTGCACGCCAGCCCACACTGGCACGCTCGTGCATAAGCGGTCACACTCACAGGCTGCTGCTGGTGCTGCCGGTGGTGCTGTTGGTCGCTTTAGCTCCCACTCGCGCACCCCATCTCCGAGCTTTATTCGCACTGTGGGGGGCACGGACGGCAGGGGCAGCAGAGAGGCGCAGGGGGGAGGTGTGCAGGTACTGCCTCGGGGAGAAGGTGTGGGGCTACTGTCGCTACACGCACATGCATCTAATGCCGCTGACCCCACCACTCTCCCCCCTCCTCCTCCTCCTACTCCTCCTGTGGGTAGGACCAGGCCGCAGTGGCCTTGCTCCCCTCTTCCTCCTGCTCCTGCTGCCACTGCTGCTGTGCGTGGCGGTGGCGGGTTGGCAGCAGCACCTGTGCTGCCCCTCTCTGTCAAGCGCGCGCGATCGCTGAGTGTCGTCGAGATGACTCGAGAGCGCAACCGATTCTTCGCAACATCTGCTGCTGTCGCCGCCGCCACCGCTGCCGCCGCTGCTGCTGCTGCTGCTTCCGCGGACAGCAGCAGCAACAAGGCTGCGTCCCAAGCTACCACTGCCGCACCTGACAGCAAGGCGCTAACAACAGAGCCTAATCCTGGGATCTCCCAAGCACGCGTGGCATCAGCAGAGCGGGTGCAGCTGCACCGAGCAGCCAGTGACGTGCTCGCAGAGACCCTTCGCCTGCTTGGGTCCGCCGCTTCCCCCTCCTCCGCCTCTCTGCCGGGCTCCCCTGTTTGCAGCCTGCCCGCACGGGGAATGCAGCCCACGCGGCTGGGACGGATGGAGCGTGGGAGTTCGGAAGCAGCAGGGGTAGCAACAGGAGCAGCGGGAGTGGCAGCAGCAGGGGTAGAGGGAGAGGCAGTGGGACCAGGCAGCAGTGCAGTGGCAGCGGAAGAAGGGGCGGCAGCAGAGGGGAGTGCGGTGGTGGAAGGGGGGGCTGGTGGCAGGGGCGGTGTGGCACAGGAGCGACTGCTGGCACACGTGTCGGGAGCCTATGAGGCACTTCTGCGAGACACGGTATGCTGTGTGTGCAGGACTGCTTGATGGGGTTGGGTGGGTTGGGGTGGGGTGGGTTTGGTTGAAGATTGCTCGGTTTCAATCGTGTGAAAGTGCCAAGACAGCCATTGCACCCTTGCTGTTCCCCGCACTACCCAACCCTGATCTCCCGCCCCCCCCACTTCCACCCTGATTCCCCTCGGTCTCATCCTGAAATTTTCCCTCCACCTCCTCCCCACTCACCCTCCCTTCCCCTCTCCTCCTCCAACCCCCCACACGCTCACTGTCTCCCCCGGCTGGCCTATCGCAGACCCCCAACGGATCCGTGGTGGGGGAGTACCTACTCTCCGCACTGCTCTCTCTCCTCCACTCCTCCTTTGGCTTCGTTGCCAGTGTGCTGCACAACGCCGACGGCACGCCCTACATCAAGGTGAGTCAACGCTGCCCTAGCCCACGCTCCCTCTTGCCCACGTCCTTCCTCCTCCACCTTCCCTTCGTTATCCTTCCTTCTCTGTCTTCCGACGCAGTCCCGCACGGCCTAACCCATCTCCCACCTCAACGCATCCCACCTCTCCCTCAACTCCCCCCATCCCCTCCACCGAACCACCCTCCGGCCTCCACAGACCCACGCCATCTCCAACATAGCCTGGTCACCCGGCCTGCAGCAGTGGCATGCTCGGAACGCGCAGAGCGGGCTGGTGTTTGCCAACATGAACACGCTCTTTGGCGCTCCCGTCACCTCGCGCCTGCCAGTCATCTCCAACCACCCCGCCTCCGACCCTCGCTCCTCGGGGACTCCTCCTGGCCATGCTCCTGTGCACTGCTTTCTGGGAGTGCCGCTCCTTGTCGGTGCGTGCGTGTGCATGCCCTTGTGCACTGACCATGCATCCATGCATATCAACAAGCCATGCATGCATGCTTGCATGATCACCATGCCATACGTGTCGCTCCATGTTGTTATATGACCACGCCTCCGCGCCACCTCAGCTATACTTATGATCCCCCTTTCTAGAGTGTAGTATGTGCTTGTGGGTGCGTTTATTTGGTGATGCTTAACATATGTACCGTCCCACCATATCCTGTGTGCTTAACATGTGTACCGTTTCACCCCTACTTCCTCCCCACACCCCCCCCCCTCCCACGATCACCTCCCAGGCTCGAACCTTGTTGGTGTCTACGCAGTAGCAAACCGTCCTGGGGGATACTCCTCGTCACTCTTGGACGCCCTTCATCCATTCACCCAAGCAGCAGCCAACATAATTTGGACCATTCAGCAGCGCCGCGCTTCCCCCGTGCCTCTCCCACACACTCCCGTTCCAAATGCTTGCACAGCTTCTATCCCGCATTCCCTTGTTGCAAATGCACCGTCTGTGCATGTGTCAGCTGATTTTTCAGGTATTTTCGAAAGGACCGCTTGTCCACATGTTGGACAGAGTCGCACGCTGGAGCCTAGTCGTGATCGAATAGGTGATAGTCCATACATTTAGGTTGTATAACTTTCTGGTTTGCAAGATCGGCATTCAGGCCGCACTGCCAGGATCGGCTCTACTGTAAGCGAGACATACCTTGCCAAGATAATGATGAAATGGGTTGCTGACATGGATTGTAGGGAGTTTCCCACATAGTGTTGGATTGATTAATTAGCTCTCAGATTTGATGCCTCCCGGTTTCTTGACCCTCGCAGTAGTAGTATTTTATTTTTAAAAGTCGGAAATATGGTGCATTAGCTATTATGTGGCCGGGGAAAATTTATTTCGTTGTGTGATGACTAGGCTGACATTTCGCTGGCGAAAATAGCAAACGGAGAAGCGTATAGCTCGGAAAATTTGAAAGCCAAACTTTCGAAATTTGAAACCAGCCAGTCACGCACGAGGATCCGACTGACCAATTTCCAGGGACCACCAAGGCTGCAACCCAGCCAGCTCCACCAGCCGCGAAGCAAAGGTGCGCAACAAAAATTGGGGGCTTCAATGACGAATCACGAACCACGAATCCGTGTGCTGCTGCTGCTGTCGCCCCGCGGCTTCTCCTTTACGCCACAACATGAAACCTCACCCATTTTCCATAAACGTTTTCTCCCCACTTTCCGAAGCACAAATCATCAGAGTAGCGAGTCGTAGGCCTAGACATGTTCCCACGCTGCCAATAGAATCTCTTTCACGTTCGTCCTGTTCTTCATCATTCGTTTGTTGCAGCTGCACTAAAATAACTCTTACGAGCTAGCGATCATGCGCGACGATCACGGCGGGGGGTCGTCCCTCCTGAAGCGCAAGTCCAAGTCTTTCCTCACGGTAGCAGCCCACGAGCCGGGCCTATGCAGCATCCTTTTCGACCTTGACGGCCGGAACATTCTAACAGCCGGCGCCGACAATCAGGTCAAACTGTTTCCCATCAAGCCGTGCAACGCGTCGTCCGACGGCGACGGCGCGCCGAGTCTGGGCGATCCGCGGACGGTGCGCGTGGAGCATAAGGGGCAAATGACGACGCTGGCGATGAGTCCCATGGGCGATAAGTTCGCCACGGCTGCGGAGGACCACACAGTGAAACTGCACTCGTATCCTGGTAGGAAACTGTGACTGTATCGATATGTGCTCGTGTGACTGCAGCTGTATCTTCGAGTCGTTTTTGTCCCTGAGTGTCTCACACCGCATACCTTCTTTTTCGCAGCTGCGCGGTTCGAGAGCAACGTGACTCGGTTCACTCTTCCCATCCGCGCGCTCGCATTCAACGTCTCCGGCGGGCTTCTCGCGGCGGCGGGCGACGACGAGGGCATTAAAGTCATATCCACCGTCGATTCCTCTATCGTCTCCGTGCTCAAGGTGCGAAACCCCATTCAACATTCTCTATCGTCGATCCCCTGCACTCATTCAGTATGTTTTATCGAGTATGGCCAGTCGTTTCTTTGAGCTCCTCCAGTAACAAGACATTTCGTGACGTCCTTCTAGCCATGACTGCGAAGCCCCTTTAACAAGTAGTTTAGCATGTTATACCCACCATTTCCCCTGGAATGCCCGCCATATCCTCAGGGTCACGACGCTCCCGTGCTGAGCGTGGCGTTCGACCCGAAGAACGAGCTGCTTGCGTCGTGCGACGCGGACGGAACCGTCATTATCTGGAGCATATCTGAGGCTAAGGTGAGTCCACCCATGCTTACGCGAGGCAGCAGCACACTCGACGCCTAAGTACGCCCGCATGTTCTAAAACCGGCATGACTATCTCGCTGCGCGGAGCGAGGCTCCCAGAGTACGCTTCTCTGTCGCCGCCAGGAGTCCAGGCTGTCCGTGAGTACCAGCGCTTTTCCAGATTGTAACTCCGCGCTCAGTTAAGTCTCGCGTTGCATAATGATTTATGTCCTAGCACTTGATTCTAAGCGCCTGAGTTTCGACCCTTACAAAGTGGATTGTCTTTGTTTTCCCGCCCGTGTCTCACCACCAACCCCGTAACCCCATCCAGCCTCTCCACACGCTGCGCGGCGTCGCCCCCGTGATCGACGCGGTGGCGGCGGAGGAGGAGGCAGACGGCGCGGCGGCAGCGGTGGCGGGTCGGAGCGCCGTGGCATGGCACCCAGACGGCAGCTTCCTAGCGGCGCCCGGGACTGACTGCGACGTGGTCTGCTACGACCGCGACACGGCTGACGTCATGCTCACACTCAAGGTGCGACCTGGCGCGACCTGCGGCGTCGGCTTTCATCTTGATCTGAACCACACTACCTGACTGTGTTCCGCCGCTTGTCCCCAATCTTCTTCCCCTCCACAATTGTTTCATTCTCCTGTGTTTCGATTTCGGCAACTCTCGTTATTCCCCAGGGGGTGCACAAGTCTCGAGTCGCCGTTCTTGCCTGGTGCCCCAGCGGCCGTTACTTTGCAACGGCCGGCGCTTCGGACGGCACGGTGGCGGCATGGGACGTGGAGGCGGCGGACGGCGCGTTCGATCTGGACGTGTGCCGCGTCGATGCCGGCGCGCCAATCACGGGCCTGCAATGGAGCCCTGCGGATAACGCAATCGTCGCCATTGATTGCGCCGGCTGCTGCGGCGTGTGGCACGGCCCCGTGCCGCCCCACATGCCCGCGCCGAATGCGGCGCCGCAGTGGGGAGGGGCGAACATCGAGCAGCAGAAAGAGGGTGAGCGCGGGTGAAGGGGGAGGCGACAGGGGGGAAAATGGTGAAATGGTGAAATGGGGAAAGGGGAAGAGGAGGAGCGGGAAGGGGCGGCTGGTTGGAGATAGCGAAAGGGGATGGAGCTTTGTGATTGGCGCGGAAGATGAATGCAGATGGTCTGCAGTGGTGGAGCTTGAGAACTTGTGATTATGCGCTCGCATCTGTCTCATTATACAGTCTCTGTTTCCTTTCCGCCCCTACCCTTCCCCCTCCTCCCCTCGCCCCTCGCCCTTCCCCAAATCCCCCCGCGCTGTCCCCTCAGCCCGCCGTACTCGGGAGGAGCTGTTCCGCTTTGATGACGCGCCCGGCGGAAACGGAAGCGGAAATTCGGGGCAGGCGGGCGGAGAGGGCAGCGGTGGAGGGCAGGAGGTGTGGGAGGACGATCTTGGGAATGACGAGGGGCGCAGGGGGAAGGGGAAGTGGGGAAGCAGGGGCGGAGTGGGGGAGGGGGACGCGGGAGCGGAATCAGGAGGAGAGGAGGAGAGTGAGGGGGGGTTTCGCGCTCATGCGGGGAGGAGGAGAGGTGGGGGAGGGGCGCGACACGTGGTGGAAGATGGGAGTGACAGGGAGGACGAAGTGGGCGGGTGGGATGGTGAGCGGGAAGAGGAGCGGAGGGGGGGCGCGAAGAGAGATGGTGGTAAGGGGAGTGGGGGGAAGGGACACGTGAGCCGTGGGGAGAGGAAGGGTGCTGTGGCTGCTCCAGTGGTGTTCATGCAGGTGGGTTCTTAGTGCAGAACTTTCGTGTTATTTAAATCGCCTTTCTTCGTTCTGATGCTTTAATCGATTGCATCCCGTGTCTATCTGTCAGCGCAGCAGTGTTGTTGCTCCCAACAGCACTTGCTGTCGTAACATCAACCTTCTAATCAATCACAAAAGCTGCTCACCTCTGGCTACTCCTTTTCCTCCAGTTTTTCTTCGTCACCCTTCAGTCATTCCCCTTTCCTCCTAACATCGCACCCTTATACAGCATCTCAATGTCTCCTTCCCCTCCTCCCTCCCGCGGCCCATTTTTTCTTTTCCTGCCCACTCTCCGCTTCACCCTTCCCCCCTTTCCTCCAGCCGCCGTTCCAACCCGGCTCAACCACGCTCACAGCAGCAGCGGGCAGCAGCAGTGCAGAGGGGGAGGAGGGCGTGGAGGGGCCGGGGGGGGTGCGGCTGCGGTACCTGGCATACGACATGCTGGGGCGGGTTACCACTCGCATGGACGCAGAGAGCGATACAGCGCACGTGGAGGTCAGTGGTGCAATTGTTGCAGCACGGCCATGATGGAAAAGCCTACCTCTGACAGCAAGGCTTTCTTGGTATCGTTTTCACTCGGTTCTTCCCCTGCTGTCCCTTGTGTCCCGTGTCGCGCTGCCAGGTGGACTTCCATGACACGTCAGCAGCAGTGACACGTGTGCCAGCGCTGACGGACTACTACGGGTGCACCATGGGCGTGCTGGGGGAGAGGGGGTACGCGCTCGCCTCGCCTGCGCGCGCCAAGCAGCCCTCCACCATTCTCTTCCGCCCCTTCACCTCCTGGGCTCCCTCCTCCGATGTATGTTTTTGCCCACTCACTTGTGTCAGCGCTCTCACTTGCGTGCACACTCACTGCTGCTACTCGTTGCGCATTTGGCCTCTCGTATCCTCTCATCGTCTCCGCATCACGTCAATCACATCTCTCCTCATTCCACTCCCCCATCCCCTTCCTCTTCCTCTTCCTCTTCCCCTTCCTCTTCCCCTTCCCCTTCCTCCCCAACCCCCCCTCCTCCTCCCGCAGTGGTCGGTGCGCCTGCCAGCAGGGGAGGAGGTGACAGCCATTGCCGTGGGCCGCAAGTGGGTGGCGGCCGCAACATCCCGGAACTTTTTGCGCATCTTCTCGGACACGGGGCTGCAGCGTGCGATCGTGTCACTGGAGGGGCCTGTGGTGGCCATGGCGGGGCAGGGCGCGTTCCTTGCTATCGCCTTCCATGCCGCAGGGCCGTACCCTGATGGTCACCAGGTCGGTGGGGGTGGGTGTGGAAGGGTGGGTATGGGCAAAGGTGGGTGTGGGTGTGGGCGGATTTGTGGATGGGTGTGGGTGGGTGCATGTGAGCGTGCCTGCACCTCTTTCTGACTCGCTTTCTCATCTTTTTACCCCCCCTCTTCCCCCCCCCCCCCCCCCTTTATTTTTGCACTGTGGGCTACTCTGTTATGCACTGTGTTCCTTTACCCTGCTCCGCTCTCCTTTTCCCTTCTCCAGCCTCTCTGAAAGAAGCACACACTTCTCACCCCCCTCCCCTTCCCCGTTCCCCCTTTCCCCATCAGACCATGCACCTGATGCTCCTGGACATGCATTCATCCGCCCTGCGCCCTCTGGCCGAACTCTAAACTCCCCCCTTACCTCCATCCCCCACCCCTTCCCCCCGGTTCTCCACTCTCTCTACCTCTCCCCCCGTCCCCCATCAGGCCATGCATATGCTGCTCCTGGACATGCATTCATCCGCCCTGCGACTGCGCACGCCCATCGCCCTCTCCCCCGGCGCCTCCCTCGCCTGGCTCGGCTTCTCCACCATCTCTTCCGACCCCTCTGCACCGCTCCACACCACCGTGCCCACAGTTGCCACATACGATTCCCAGGTGAGTAGCGCCTGTTCCCAGGATCCTTGACTTGGCTGCTGGGAAGGGAAACTTGATGAAGGGCGGTGGTGGAAGGGGAGGGTTAGTGGGGCTCCTCTGTTTCCAGAATCAGGAACACTGTTATGTGTATCTCTGACTGTTTATGTGTATCTCTGACTGTTTATGTGTATCTCTGACTGTTTATGTGTATCTCTGACTGTTTATGCGTATCTCTGACTGTTTATGTGTATCTCTGACTGTTTATGTGTATCTTTGACTGTTTATGTGTATCTCTGACTGTTTATGTGTATCTCTGACTGTTTATGTGTATCTCTGACTGTTTATGTGTATCTCTGACTGTTTATGTGTATCTCTGACTGTTTATGTGTATCTCTGACTGTTTATGTGTATCTTTGACTGTTTATGTGTATCTCTGACTGTTTATGTGTATCTCTGACTGTTTATGTGTATCTCTGACTGTTTATGTGTATCTCTGACTGTTTATGTGTATCTCTGACTGTTTATGTGTATCTCTGACTGTTTATGTGTATCTCTGACTGTTTATGTGTATCTCTGACTGTTTATGTGTATCTCTGACTGTTTATGTGTATCTCTGACTGTTTATGTGTATCTTTGACTGTTTATGTGTATCTTTGACTGTTTATGTGTATCTCTGACTGTTTATGTGTATCTCTGACTGTTTATGTGTATCTTTGACTGTTTATGTGTATCTTTGACTGTTTATGTGTATCTCTGACTGTTTATGTGTATCTCTGACTGTTTATGTGTATCTCTGACTGTTTATGTGTATCTCTGACTGTTTATGTGTATCTCCCTATTCTTCACTGCAGTATTTTCTCTAAAACCGTAAACCCTACTTGCTGAACCCCAAGCCCAAGCCCTTGATGTCCGACTTTCGTGTCTCGACTTGTCTCAAAACGTGCCCCCCCGCTTCCATTCACGCCCAACCGTCCTCCTCCTGTCTTGTGCAGGGCGTGGTGCGCATTCTCTCTCCAGACTTTGGAGGCTGCTGGATGCCCATATTCAGGTGCGCCCCCTGCTCCTGTGCCTCCCCACTGCACTGCACACGTTCGGATATGCATGTTCCACCCTCCAACCTCCAAGGACACTTGCTTGTTACAGGCATCACTCTGCCTGCGAGAAAGTGCATGTGCGCTTGATCCTTGGCCTGCCTTCTCGAACACGCATCACGCCCACCCCATCCAAATCAACCCAACCCACCACACCCCCTTCAACCCCACCCCACCCCACCCCACAATCCGCCTGTCTACGCGTGGCGGTGTTTCCTGGCAGTGCGAGTGCATCGCCTACGAGTGAGTCGCACCGGCTCTGGATGGTGGGGCTGGACCTCAGGGAGCAAGCCATCTTCTTCATCGTCTGCACCACTGCCTGCCCGCAACCCTCGGTACGCGGGAAAGGCAGCTCCCTGCCTGGATGCCTGCCTGCCTGCCTGCTTGCTTGCTTAAGGTGGCCAGCCTTCATTGTCTGTACATCACAAGGGACGCGGCTTCTTTTTCGCTTTGCTTCAGTGCTTGTTCCGGGGACGCTCTCGCACACACGCACGCGCACATGCAGACACCCGCACAATCACTATTCCCTCTTTCTGGCGTTGTTTTCCAAACCCTTTCCCCTCCCCCTCCATCCCACCCTCCCCTCTCCCCTCCCTTTCCTCTTTCCCTTCCCCAGGTGTTCCCCCGGCCTGTGCTATCAGAGATGCCTCTGGCGCTGCCTCTGGCCCTCTCAGACCTCGCAGCAGCTGACTCCCTCCAGGCGGACCTCCTGCGCTCAGCCCTCGCCACCGCACACGTGAGTGCCTATGATTTGTTTGGTTTCAGGTGACGTCAGATTTGGCACCCTACCACTGTTCGTGTGTGTGCAATGCAATTGGGGGGCATTCAACACTCTACATAGACCCGTCTTTAGAAAACCCCTCCATCCAGGAACGAAGAAAGGGAAGATTACCATTGCAACAGATTCCACCCGTTATCGCCTTCACCAGCTTGCCATTTACACAATGAATCACGCACGCCCTGCTCACCCCCGACCCTCTGGCTCTTGATTGCTTCCCCAGGTGCGGGCAGTGGCGGACGAGGCATTGCAGATGGGGGAGCAGGGGGCGCTGGCAGCAGCAGAGGACGAGGAGGAGCTGCTGAAGCTCGAGGCAGAGAGGGACAAGACGCTTCTGCGCCTGCTCGTCGCTGCTGCCAAAGGTACCCCTCCAGTTTCCCACCGTCACTTGTTCTTCTTCCTTTGTTCCCGCTTACACATTTCCCTCTTCCTTTCCGCACACCACCATCCCTCCTCCCTCCCACACCCCCTGCTCCCTTGCTCTCATTTTCCCCCATCTTTTTTTCCTCCGTTCTTGTTTGCCTGCATGCACCAGGAGACAAGTTAGAGCGGGCGATGGAGCTGGGAACAATGCTGTCGCTGAGGAAGAGCCTGCAGGGCGCTGTCAAGCTCACCTCTGCTCTGCGTCTGCCCGTGCTCGCCGAACGCCTGCACTCGCTGCTGCAGGTGAGGAAGCGGTTGAGTGCGGTGGACGGGGGTGGGCTGAGTGGTTATGTGCTGCATGCTGCTGTTGGGCTGCAGCAGGGGGTATGGGAGGGAGAGGGTGGTCAGCGCTGGTTTTAGTTTCCTGGGGGTGAGGGGGACAGTGACTACTTGCGGAGTGATCGCAGTGAAACATATGTTTCCGTGTCTGTCCACTGCATGCGTTTTTGTTAATGTCAGGAGCGCTTGCGAGCTGAAGAAGACGAGCAGAGGCTTCAGCAACGGAAGGAGCAGCAGCAGCAGCGAATCACACAAACGCGAGTTTTCCCTGACCCACCAAGCAGTGCCAATCGTTCTCAGCCACAGCAGCCACAGCCACCGCAGCCACAACCGCACCAGCCCGTAAGTGAGCCGCCTCGAAAGGAGCGCATTTGTCCCGACCCCCCTCCCTCGACACAGAAGAGTGCAGCCGCAGCATTGGCCCCGATGTTTGTCAAGAAGGGCCCAGGGGCAAACCAGAAAGCAGCAGCAGGTGGTCAGAAGAACGCGAAAGTGAATCCCAAGGGCTCTGATGCACCTGCTGCTGCAGATTGCTCCAGCCCTCAATCGGCTGCCAAAGGCACTGCCACGGACATTGGTAGTGCTAGAGGCGAGGAGGCAGGTGCTGGTGATGAGGGTGGGGCGAAAGCACCTGCAGGAAGTGTTAAGTCGTGCAACCCGTTTGGGAAGAAACCTGGGGGTGTAGCAGCGGCCGGTGGGGCTGTGGCTGGCAGGGCGGCCGAAGGTTCTGTGTTGGATTCTGTCAGGCAAATGCAGCAGGCAGAGGGTGCGTTAAAGGATGTCAAATCATTGGATGGAGCGGGACCAAAACGAGCATCCTTGGTGTCTGCGGCCAAGGCAGGTGGAGCCAAACGATCCAAGATAAAGTAGCTCTTTGACGGAATATTTTAATATCGAGATCATGCTTACCGCGATTGTGAAAAATGACCGATGAATTCTATTGCACTCTCCTTTTGACAGCTCATTTGTCGGAAGTGCGAAGCAGAAAAGCTCAAACCTATATTGTTAGCTAGACCAGTGTAGATAAGAACATATGAAGACGGAATGTAGGGTATTGTTGCGGTCAAAGTAGCAGTACATATGCTGAAACAGTGCACTCCAAACATTCTCTGCATCGGGGTTTGCAGCATTGTCTCGTCCAATGGACTCGAAGCATCATGAACTGTGTCTCACTGTCACACTCGTCATAAGCACGCATGACCAGTTCTCCCATCATCTCTGGGGGGCCCCAGCAGCTGGCTCGCAACCATTCGGTGTGTATACAACAACGTGTGGTCCTGCAACCAATCAAACAACGCTCGGCGCTTCCTAGGGTTTGCTCCACCTCTCTCTGCTCTCCTCCGCTCCCCTCCCCTCCCTCTGCCTGCTGCGTGCGACCTTGACCTCTTACCTCCAGGTTAGCGCCGCTTAAAAACTATGGCTGCCCTTACTTGCCGTTGCAATGTCGCAATAAAGGCTAGCTCTGACGTGGAATGTCGCGGATCCGGTTGATATTTTATTGATATCTTCCGGTTTTTGGCTTCCTAGTCTGAACTCTGTCCCTCCCGTTTTATGGCAGGTTATCCTGTTGTCTCGTTTTGTGTTTCCGTAGGGGTGTTGTCATCACTGCGCGCCGTGGTTCTTGACTTACGTCTTGTTAACAGTAGCAAAATAGGGCGCTTAGCCCTGCACATCCATGGCTACACATCCAGGTACGAAGGTTATGCCGCTTTTTTTATTTCTTTTCTTTGCTAGCATCCAGTCTTCCCGTGTCTCCCATTTCGTTAAATATTTGTTGCACCTACTCAGATGTTATATATTGTTTATCTGCCGTGCACTTGATATTTCATTGTCCTCTTTCCCACTCAGTTTCTCGCTCCTGCTCTTACGTTTTCAAAACTTTCACACGGTTCGCAGGGGCTGTCATGGCTGCAGCGGCACATGAAGATCACCAAAATCAGCAAAATATTGCAGCCGCTGCGGCAGCAGCGGCAGCGGCAGCAGCTGCCGGTTCCGGAATGCCAGGCGGACACACTGAATACATTACCATACCGCATGTATCCGTTGACCTTGGCTCAGCCGCTCTTGTACGTTTCCCTGCTTACTTGTGATCTTCTAGATCAATGTTTTTTTTTCGGCCCGTCTAGCGTCTCCCTTATGACGATCTGTGTGACACCCTCCGGCGTACTTGTCTTTTGAGCTATCACGATACGATTGTGTCCAACACTAATGGCATGTTCAACTCCGTTTGTGTGTGTCGCTTTGTGCTTTGGTTGATGGGGGTTGGGGTCTGGTTGGCGTGAACGTTGTTGGGCTGTCGTTTGCGATAATCTCTTTTTCTTTTCCTTTTTTCAGGCTGCACAACACGTCGCTTATCCTTATGCGACAACGGACCCGTATTATGGAAACATAGTGACATTTGGCTCTCAGGCTCTGGTAATATCATTGTCCGCCCTTGTTAACCTGGAATCTCCCATTCCGTCCTTGTTTCGTATTAGTATCGTTTTTCCTTCAAACAAGATTCACTTTTTATATGTTGGGTTTCTGTCATAATACTTTTCAATATGGATGTTCGTTCTTTATTTTACGTATTTCCCTCGCTATCAGATGGCACCACATTTGTTAGGGATGCAACAGCAAGCACGCATGGCGTTGCCGTCAGAGATTGTGGAGGAGGAGCCAGTGTATGTCAACGCCAAGCAGTATCATGGCATTCTGCGCCGCCGCCAGGCTCGGGCTAAAGCAGAGGCAGAGAACAGGCTCGTCAAGGCGCGCAAGGTCGGTTACAACCTTACGAGTAGATGCCGGTCGCGTGCATGTGGGGGGAAGTCTTGGATGGATGGCAACTGAGTATGCTCCTTCGCTGTTGACTTATTTTTGTTACGTCTTTGTTGCTGTTTTTTGTTTATGTTTTCTTCTTCGTTTCCTTCCGTTGCAGCCTTATCTTCACGAGTCACGGCACCAGCATGCGTTGAGGCGTGCTCGTGGCTGTGGTGGTCGCTTCCTAAACACGAAACAACTGGAAGAGCTGGCGAGGAAAGAAAATGGGGAGTCAGCCGACGATCAGAACTCGGCTGGTAAAGACGAGGACAATAAAAAGCCCAAGCGCGCTCGACGCCCTCCCCAGAAACGCGTATCCGTGCAGCAAGCAATTGACAGTGGAAACGACAAGCAGGATGTGTCAGGAAGCAGCGATGACGTAAGCGATTCTCCTGGTACTGGAACGAGCAACGAGGAACTCTCTCGGCCTTCGGGCAATGCTGCTGGAGGCATCAACAGTGGCGCGATCAGTGGTTACCAGCTTTTGGACAGCGGCGCTGCCAGCGTGGCAGCAGGTGCGTCTGCCACAGCAGGGAACACCGCCACTGATGCTGCTGGGATGGCTTCCCAAGAGGCCGCAGCACAGCAGTTCATGATGAACAGCCTGCAACAGCACCAGCAGCAGATTCAGTTGCAGCAGCAGCAACAGCAGCAGCAACAGCAACAGCAGCAGCAGGAGCAGCAGCAGCAGCAGCAGCTTCAGCAGCAACAGCAGCAGCAGCAGCAGCAGCAGCAACAACAACAGCAGTCACAGCAGCAGCAGCAGCAGATTGCTGGATTCGACCTAGGCTTTGCAGGAGCAATGGGCTTCTACCCCTTCAGCGGAGTTGGCAACTTTCCTGGTGCATCCATGGCATCGGCTCAAGCGTTTCAGCAACACGCAGGCCAGCAGCATGCTTTCCACCCGACTGGCGCTCCTGCTGCGTTCCATCATGTGTCAGCGTTCCACCCAATCAATGCAGGCACTGACGCTGCCAGTGCTGCAGCAGCCGCGGCTGCAAGGAATGCTGCCGCTGCTGCAACATACCCGGGAGTTCACACGGATGGCAAGTCGTGAATGTTTCATGGCTGGCTGATGAGCTCATATGGAGTTGCATCGTGATTGTAACAATAATGGGGAGGGGGGTCCTGTGTTGCCACAGCAAATCGGTGGCTGAGCATGACAAAGGCCATGAAGGGCCAATTGGTTTGGAGGACCGTTGGGCAAGTTAAAAGTGCGGCCGAGACTAAATTGGTTCTGAAGCCAGCGGCGACATGCAGCCGTTGTGGGGTGATGCCTATGCATCATATGGTACCCTTTTTCTCCCTTATCCCTCTCTGCTCGCTATGCTTATCTAGTGCTTTGCTATGGCTGGACTACTTCCAGTTGATTGGGGTTGTAAGCTTGTGTTGGGTGGGTTGGGTTGGGTTGGGTTGGGTGTTGGGTTGGGTTGACACTGGGAATGCTGTGTTCAGGGCCTGCTGAGCTGGTTGGTAATGAAAGCAGCAGCTGGGTGGCGTGCTGGTTGCACCAGTATGTCCTTCCCTTATGTGCATAAACGGCATTGCCTCTATTTCTTTATAAGGCGTGTGCGCCTGCTTGATGTCTGTGATGGTAACGTAGCATATCTACCCTTTATGCCTTGTGGAGAGTGCAGCTGCCCGGAACAAGTAGCATCATCTGAAGACTGACAAATTGCCTCGTACTAATTGTCCGAAAGTGGATAGAGGCACTACCTAAGTTTTTAACACATCTTTAATGGACGCTGCTACAAGAAACGTTCAAACTCACTCTCCACTATGCAGCCATTGAATCTGGACTGGAACAAAGGTGATTGTATAGGTGGGAGGGGCTGAGCACAGCATTTCTCTATGCCGCTGGCGAAACTTCCGTGCCTGGGGAAGGTTGTTGCGAAACTGCAAGAAGCACGTTTCGAGGGTGTCGGTTCGGCGTAATGCTTTACATTGAAGGTGCTTGTTGGTGCAGATGTACAGTGTGCAGAGTTACCATCACAGCCCCAGACCATAGTTGAGATTCGGCAAAATTCGCCAAGCACTTCGGGCCAGTGAGAGCATGAGAGACGACGAAAGTGAGAAACTTCTGAAGGAGGATTTCGCGAGTCGTTAGCGAAATCTTGTTTTACCGCAGCAAAGCTCGTTTCGAGTTCCAAGCTTACTCACGCTTGCACCTTGGGACTAGGAGCTTTTACTATTCGTGATGGCAGACATCAATTCTTTTCTGATTAGTAAATCCATATACGGTATACTCTGACTAACCTGCGTCTCAAGGCAGCACACCGTCCCGAAGTCAGTTGTGCCGGAAAATGTCTTACCCGCGCTGGCGAATTGCCCTTCGCAAGAGCCTGATTCCACCGTAAAATCAGTCCATGTATTGTTTTTCGCCTTCTCGCTCCACGCCCGTCATCACTGATAGCGTGCGCGGTCATTCTCCCGAACTGGTAGCTTTTTCTTCTTCGGACAATTTTGAAGCTTTTTAGTTAACCGCAGTATGTCGTCGCCACCGCCGGAGCTCATCCTAGACGCGGTTCTAGTTCCCGTCGGGTTGGCAGTTCTAATACTCTACAACATAGTGCTATATATGCGAGTAACGCAGAACCCCATGAAGACCGTAATCGACGTGAATCATTTGAATCGGCGAGCATGGGTGTACAGTATTATGAAGGTGGGTGTTCGAGTAGTCGTCAAATTCTTGTGGGAAGCTGACTTTCCTTCTCGCACCACCAGTCGTTCGTCCGGTCCCATTTATGATCCATCTAGAAAGGAGATGTTGAGGAAGATGTTGGCCATGGAATGACTCTCAACTACAACCATTCCAGTTTCGACCCACTCAATTGCAACTCTATTGAATTATTCTTTCAGAGCTCTGAATTTGATTCAAGACCTGCCTTCGCTAGTTGCACGGAGCAACCCCCTCTCTTCCCTCCCTTTCCACCCCCCCTTCCTCCTCTCTGGGCGTGATCTGAAAATCTTTTTTTTTTTTTTTTTTGTTTGTTTGTTTGTTTGTTTGTTTTACGCACGTCGAACATCACCCACCTCCCTCCCCCGGCCCCCCTCAGGACGTGGACAAGAAGAGCATTCTGGCAGTGCAGACGCTGCGCAACCACATCATGGCGTCCACGCTGCTCGCCACCACGGCCATCATCCTCTCCTCGGGCATCGCCGCCTTCATCACCTCTGCGGCCACGGCGGACGTCAAGGCGTCCGTGTTTGCTGTCACTCTGGGGTCCAGAGCGCCTGCTGTTGTGGCGGTCAAGTTCATCTCCATCTTCCTCTGCTTCCTCTTCGCTTTCGTCTGCCATGTCCAGGTGATTCTATGTGTTCTGATTTCTGCACTGTTACTTGTCTACGAAGCTCGTTGTTATGCTATTGATCACGGTTACCCGGTGGGCCTACTTCATCCCAGCACACCCTTCTAGCTTGCAGAACATTTCAGCCTTCTTTTTTGAAAATCAGTGTATCCCCCACTTGATTTCCATTCCGACCTCCTCAACCCTCTCCTTTTCCCATCCCAATTTCCACCACCACACACTCCCGTCCTGCAGTCTATTCGCTACACCAACCACGTCAACTTCCTCATCAACATACCCTTAGGGCCGCAAGCCCAGGGCCTGTCCCCAGACTACGTGGCAGCAGTGCTGGCACGTGGCAGCAACTTCTACACCATCGGCACACGCGCCTTCTACTGCGCGTTCCCGCTCCTGCTCTGGCTGTTCGGCCCCATCCCCATGCTGCTCTCCTCCCTGCTGCTCGTTGTCATGCTCTACCATTTCGACACTGCCAAAGGGTTCATGATCTCGCTGGATCCTCCAGAGGGGATTGGGGTGGACGAGGGGAGCGTGGGGGGGAGCAGACCGGGGAGCAGAGTGGGGGAGAGTAGGAGGTCGGAGGAAGGAGGTAGAGGGACTGTGGTGGATATGGAGAGGGGGTTAGAAGAGTCTGAGGCAGGGGGGGTGGGGCAAGGGGCGGGGTTGGTGGGAGGGAGCGAGGGGTTGACAGGGATGGTGGTGACAGGGACAGGCAGTGTGCGCAGCAGTAGAGTGGCAGATGGCAGATTAGGAGATGATGGGGAGGGAGGTGGGGTAGCGATGGCGCAGGGAAATGGGGAGGCAGGCGTGAGAAACCGGAGAGAGGAGAGTGGTGGTGGAGTGGATGTGCGGCTTGTATTCTAAGCATCTGAGGGGATTGAGCAATGGGAGAGAGTGACCAGGAGAAAGATGGCAACACTAGGCATCATGAAGGCAACCATGCAGCACTTGCTTGCACGCGAGTACATACCGGTAAATACTGAAACGTTTCAGTTTCCAGGACTGGATGAGTGGGGGGAATAGAGTGAGTGACAAACAGCAGCTCAGCAGCAGCATCAACAGCAATAGTGATGAGAAGCGGATTCAGGCTGATGAGGCAACCTGCACTGCAGTCAACTGTGCCTGGCCTGCTGCACCATCCTCTGTGCGCATATCATTCTCGGGCAAGGCACTGAACTGAAGTTGCGTGCTGATCTGGTTAGAACCCTTCATTATTCTTTCATGTATGCATTGGACAAAACGAGGTCGCTTCTATGTACAGTGCAACAATTTTGTACAGTTCCGTTGAGTTGTGCAGCATCAAATGATGGCAGAATTCTGTCCTGCAGAATATGAGCGCAGGCTATATACAACCAACACAGTATTCTGCACATGAAAAGCTTTACCAGTGATGCTATTATCGGTACTGTACATCAGGCCATCATTGCCATCAACTCCTCATTGCACTCACTGCCGCCCTCTCGCCCGCTCGCCTTCAAGTGCCACCCACAGCGTCGCCCCAACCATCAGCGCCCCCCCAACCCACGTTGCAGCATCTGGAGCACCTGACTGGCCGATAGCCCAGCCAATGAGCGAGCCAAGCGGGGGCTCGACGGTGATTGCAATGGCGATGACGAGAGGCGTGGTGTAGCGCAGGAGAGCGTTGAGGCCTGTGTGGCCCATGTAGCCTGGGCCCAGGGCGAGGAAGAGCGTGGGTGCAAGGAACGGGGGAGAGAGCCAGGCTAGGGGCTGCCATGCGGTGCAGTGGGTGGGTGGAGGCGGAGTAGGCAGATGCAGTGGTGGGAGTGGGGGTGGGGGCAGTGGTTGCAGTGGTTGTGGAGCTATCAGTAGTCCTTCTCCTGCTCTTGCTCCTGCTTCTCCTCCCGATCTTGCTCCTGCTCTTGATGCCATCCCCACTCCAGCTCCTGCTGCAACTGCTGCCCGTGATGCCATGCCTGGTAACTGCACTCCTGCTATTGTTGCTCCTGCTACTGTTCCTGCAGCAGCAGCATGTGCTGTGCTGGCATGGGGAGGGCAGGCATGCGAGGGGTCTATGAGGGGTGTGAGGCAGGCAGCAGCAGCGAGCATGATTCCAGCAGCTGCAGTCACAGACAGGGCGTAGAGATGCAGGGGGAGGGACTTGCGCACTCTCCCTCCCACCCACACGTATACCACGAATGCTGCTGCTGCTAGCAGTGCTGCCACATCCCCTTGCACAGACACAGCATCATCGTCATCATTACCACGACCAAGGAAACCACCGTTACCAAAACCGTCACCACTACCGTTACCACCAATACCACCGCTGCTGCTTTCAGCACCAGCACCAGAAGCACTTCCCACGCCTATCAAACTCCCGCCAGCACCATTACTGCCCCCCCCAGCTCCCCCACTTCCCCCCAGCGCCATCACCGCTGCGCCCACCCCCCCCAGCTCCCCCACTTCCCCCCAGCGCCATCACCGCTGCGCCCACCCCCCCCAGCAGCGTCCCCAGCGCCTCTGCGCGCGAGAGGGGCGCGCCTGAGACGAGATGCGCGAGGGCGAGGAGGAGTGGGGGCGTGGAGACGAAGAGGAGAGAGTGCGCGAGGGAGGTGAGGCGCAGGGAGAGGATCCAGAGCGCGAAGTGGAGGGCGAGCGCGCAGGCGGAGAGGAGGAGGAGGAGGAGGAGGGTGAGCGGAGGGGGGAGTGGAGGGGAGGGGAGATGCTGCTGCTGCTCGATTTCAGGAATATCGGGATCCTCCTCGGGAAGGATTCGCGCAGATTCGGCTTCGTTAAGAGACTCTCCGATTGGATGTGCAGTGGGACCAACGACGCGCTCGCGGCGACTGCGCTGATTGCGCCACGTCAGCAGGCATTGGATGAGCTCGAATAAGAAGCCCGGAAGGAGAACGAGTGACGACGCCTGCAGTCGCCAGCTTGCAACGGCGACGGGATCGGCGTCGCGAATGGTTTTCGTGACGGCGCCGGCGGAAGAGACGGCGACGAGCGCGAGGCAGAGGAGGGGCGCGCCCCACCAAGGCATACGCGCTCGAGTTGCGCCGCTTGGGAGGGATTCCAATTGCGCTTGCGCGGATATATGCTCCGAACCCGCCACGCTCCCCGCGGAATTTCCCGTTTCTCCGTCGGGCGGTTCCGGTGCATTGAGGGCTATGCGGCTGTCGGGGATGAGAGGCTGTGAGGAATCCTCGGGTGAATCTCGTACGCGGGGCATTTAGGAACCTCGGAATAGAATCGCCTCGCGAGTCGCGCAAACTTAGTTCAGGCAGCGGGCAGCTCAGAAATACTGCAAGGAGAGTGGAAGATGAGACGCGACGCGCATGTGTCAGGGCTGGGCTGGTGTTGGTCTCCCTACACAAGAACACACCGAACACTACTGGTGGGGTAAGGTAGGAAAACTGCGCACAGCTGGATTCGAACTCGCGGCGGTGGAGGTCACAAAGGAAAGATGCCGAGTTACTGTAACGAATGCATGTACATTTACATAAAGAAACACTGTACAGAAATTAGTAGCTTCACAGAATTGTAATGTAAACATTCCACGCCAACCGCACCCAACCTTGGCTTGGGTGAAACGACGTCGCGGTCTCGAATGAGCTCAGCTGAATTGAAATGTGACAGGCGACCGAGAATTTCTGTTTTCCATTCCCCCAGGGCTTCGACTCGCCTGTGATGTGACGCTACAGCTTTTGATAGGCGACAAGCAGCTGCGACCGTGACATTGGCTGCGTGAGTACTTATAGGCTGACCGCGAACTTCCTGTCAGCCGAGTTGTTTAAACGCGCGGTACAACCTTCGCGACACGGTTTAGAGTAGTATGGGCTCGCGACTCGTCTGAAACATACTTACCTTGCGCAGGCGACCGCTGTGCGAACCTAGGTGGGGGAGGCCTGCGCGTCTTGTGCGGTCTAAGGCCTCTGCGGCCCATTCGGCGTGTGTGGCGTGTGCAGCTTGTGCGACCTGCGCGCCCTGTGCGACGTTTGCAACGTGTGCGACGTGCGGGCATGTCGGCGGGGTACGCGGCGAAGCTGTCGTACCGCGAGGACGTGGGGACCGTGGGGTCGCCGGAATACGAGGAGTCGGGGGAGGCGCTCCGCCGCAAGGTGCGCCGTGGGTGGTGGGGGGGAAGAAGAGGGGGATGGCCGAGCGAGTGAGAGAGAGTTAGGAGGTGAGGGGAGTTGCAGCGAGGCCAGCATCGTATTGCGCTAGGGTTTGGAAGAACCAGGTCCAGCATGCTGCTCTTTCTCGGCTTGTTTGCCAGGGCAATATCAGTCCAACCAAGTGCTACCGTGCATGCATGCTCGCATGTATGCATCCATCCATGGATCCATGCATGCGAGTTTTCATGCATACTTACCTTTCTTCCCCAATCCCCATGCTCGCCCCATACTTTCCCATCCCATCCCATCCCATCCCATCCCATCCCATCCCATCCCTTGCCATGTCTCGCCATCCTCACCACCGTATTCGGGCAGCTACACCAGCTGGTCGATATATTCACCTCCGTAAGACTCCTTCCTCTTGCCCTGCCTTTCCTTCCATCGACGCGCTCCTGCTGTCCTACCACGCGCTCCTGCCTGCACCCCTTCCTCGCTTCTCCATGCGCGCATACCATCACAGCCAGTTTCTCCATGTACGATCTTCTCTGAAACACTGGGAACCCGTGTCTCTCCCTCGTCTCGCCACGCGCTCATCATTCCACACCACAGCTCCCATCCCATCCCGCCCCCGCCCCGTCCATCCCTTTCCGCCCATCTTACAAATTCCCTTTCCGCTCCCTCCCTGGCCCTGCCAGAGTAAGCGCGTGGTGGCGTTCACGGGAGCAGGCATCTCCACTGCAGCAGGCGTGCCGGACTTCCGAGGGCCCTCGGGCATATGGACGCTGCAGGTGGGTGGTGGAGGGACGCTGCAGGTGGTGAGGGGACGGGGAGGTGGATATGGAGAGGGATGGGAGGGGAGGGGAGGGGAAGGGAGGGATAATGGAGGGGAAGTGCAATGAAAAGGGGAGAGGGAAACCCTGAGCAACAAGGTGAGTGGGGGTTGAACATAGGAGGAAGGGGGCGGGGTGTAGTTGCATGGGTACGTTCCATTGTGATGGATGGGTTGGGTGAATGAGTATCTTACCTTTGCTTGCCTCCCTCCCGCACCACCCTTCCCTCTCCATCCCCGTTTCCCGCTACCCTTTTCTTACGACCTCTGGCCCTCCTCTCTCTATTCGCTCCACTCCCATCTCTGGCTTCCTCTTCTTCAATCCCTTTCTTCTCGTCCCTCTGTTTGCGTGCCCCTCTGTCTGAATGTTTGTCCTCCCGTTCGTCCTTCTGTCCATCTCTCTGTCGATCTGCCACCGCCCCCGGCGTCTGTGTGCGCGGCGGGGCAACAGAGGCAGGGGCAGAGCCTGCCGAGCAGCATGAAGGCGTTTGGGGATGCAGTGCCGTCGCTCACGCACATGGCGCTGCTGCACCTGCTCAGACTCGGTCGCGTGCACTGCATCATCAGCCAGGTGCGGCATGGCTGCATGGGTATGGGAGAGTGTGTGCATTCGTATTTAAGGGAGTAAGAGGGTATGTGTGTGTGTGTGTGTGTGTGCGTGTGTGTGTGTGTGTGTGTGTTTGTGTTTGTGTGTTTGTGTTTGTGTGTGTGTGTATTTACGCGCGTGCGCGCATGTGTGTATGAGTATGTGATTTATAGGAGAGAGGGAGAGCAGGGGAGGGAGACTGTGCTAGGCGCGGCTTCCTTTGATGTGGTTTTGAGAATCATCAAATGTCATAACGTTCGTCTACGAGCACAGCTCGTTGCCTCTTGCTCTCACAACCAGTTAACCATCTCTGCCCTACCCACCTCGATTCTCGTCCCTCCCTTCTCTCCATCCACATCCCGAATCCCCTCTTCCTTGCACGCTCTTACACACTCTCCCTGACCCCCTCTGTCGTTTCTCCATCACTCGTCTCCTCTCCCCCCCACGCACCTGTACCCACCGCGCATCAGAACGTGGATGGCTTGCATGCGCGCTCGGGGGTGCCGCGCACCCATCTGGTGGAGCTGCATGGCAGCTGCTTCCGAGAGCTCTGCCACCGCTGCGGGGCCGAGTATGCTCCACTCCTGCACTCCCCTTGCACGCCTCGTGCACGCCTCTTGCACGCCTCTTGCATGACTTGTGCTCTCATGCACTCACTCACTTGCCAATTCACATTCATTCCATGGCGCCTCCTCACATGCTGTCATCACGCCTGCATGACCTATCACCGTCACGATATGTGGCTGCATTTTTGCCTTCCCTTGTTGGCTTGCGGTTTGTGGCAAGAACAAGTACTTCCCCACCGCTCGTGGGGACTTCTTTGACCCATCCTTGCGCCTTTCCACGTCCGCGCGCTTTCCACCCCCATCCGCTTGTGTCTGCACACATCGCATCCCATCGCGTGGCATCAAGCCAGGTACCAGCGGGCGTTTGAGCTGGAGAGCATTGGGCAGAAGGCGTCTCGGCGGCGCTGCACGGCAGCAGCGTGCGTGGCGCTGGGCACGGCTCCCCGCCTGCGCGACTCCGTGCTCGACTGGGAGGTGGGGGGAGGGAGGGGTTGTGTGCTATGGGGCACGGGGTGAGGGGGGGCAGTGGGGCATGAGTATTGCTGCCGCTGCTACACTCCTGTGGCGTGCGTGGCGCTGGGAGAACGACTCCTCGCCGCAGAGACTCCGTGCTCGGCTGGGAGGTGGGTGTGGGTGGCGTGTGATTTGGGGAATGGGATGGGGGGCATGGCACATGGAACATGGCACATGGAACATGGCACATGGAACATGGCACATGGAACATGGCACATGGGGCATTGTGCATGGGGCATGAGGCATGTGGCCTTGCCATCTGATATGAACCAATGCTTCCCATCTGCCCTGTTACCCGTTACCCCATTCTCCACACACCATACTCTGTAACTGTGCGTGCCCATGCCTCATGCCCTGTCGGCCTCACCTCATGCCCCCCATCGCCCCATGCCCCCCATCACCCCATACCCCCCATCACCCCATGCCCCTCAGGATGCACTGCCCCCATCGGAGCTGCAGCGTGCAGAGGACGAGTGCTCACAGGCCGACCTTGTGCTCTGCCTCGCCACCAGGTGCCACCTCCCCCGCTCCCGCATTCCCTCCCTCCGCCCCTCCTCTCCTTCTCTTTTCCGTTCCGCTTTTTCCTCTTTTGCGTCAGCGTTTGTCCGTCCACCCTCCCTGTCTCCCTTTCTTCCTTCCGTCTTAATGCATGCAAACCATGTGCGCACATACCTGCCACGTCATCCCTGCATACCACCTCATGTGCACCCCTTGACACCTCTCACATCCCCTGTCTCTCTCTTTTGCCTCTTCATCTTTTGCAATCTCCCACTCTCTCTCTCTCTCTCTCTCTCTCTCTCTCTCTCTCTCTCTCTCTCTCTCTCTCTCTCTCTCTCTCTCTCTCACCTCTACCTCTCCGTCCTCCTCCTCGCCTCGCCCGCATGCTCCTCGCACGCCCCCAGTCTGCAGATCACCCCAGCGGCCAACCTTCCCCTGCGAGCGCTGCGCAATGGAGGCCGCATCGTCATCGTCAACCTCCAGGTGATGCCCAGGTGATGCCCAGGTGATGCCCAGGTGATGCCCAGGTGATGCCCAGGTGATGCCCAGGTGATGCCCAGGTGATGCCCAGGTGATGCCCAGGTGATGCCCAGGTGATGCGCAGGTGATGCGCAGGTGATGCCCTGGTGATGCGCAGGTGATGCCCTGGTGATGCGCAGGTGATTTCGAAAGGGCTGACTGTACAGCAGTCGATTTTTGAAAGACTGGTTTCTCAGGTGGTGTCTCAGGTGGTTCTGTTTTTCTCCCATCCCTCTACCTGGTGTTCCACCAGATGCATGGCACAGCCTGATGCCTTGTTGTCTGCTTGCCTAGATGCAATGCTGCATGCTTTGTTCAGCTTGGGCATGATATGCCACGTGGTTCCTAGAATGTGTCTCTGTGTGCATGTGCATGTGGAGTGCATGTGTATGTATATGTGTCTGTGTATGTGTATGCATGTGTATGTGTATGCATGTGGATGTGTATGCATGTGGATGTGTATGTGTATGCCTATGCGTGTGCGTGTGTGCATGTGCATGTGCATGTGTTGGTGCGTGCATGCATGGGTGATAGAGCAGAAAACCCCCAAGGACAAGAAGGCATCGTTGGTCATAGCAGCGCGGGTGGACCAAGTGAGTCATACCATGCTCATTGCTCAGGCCTTGCACCAGCACCACTACTCAAAACTACACCAGCACCACTACTCAATACTACACCAGCACCACTACTCAATACTACACCAGCACCACTGCTCAAAACTACACCAGCACCACTACTCAAAACTACACCAGCACCACTACTCAAAACTACACCAGCACCACTACTCACTCACACTGAAACTCACGGGTTGTTCAGCTCAGGATTTCACGGCTGCAGCCAGCCATCCAAAAGCGCCTTCCCACTGCACCACCATGCATGCATGCTTCTCTGCATGCTTTGCATTCCACCCTTGCTCTATCCTGTGCATGCTTCATGTTTGAACTTGCGCCTGTGTGCATATGTGTATGCATGCATGCATCCATGTGTGTGTGTGTGTGTGTGTGTGTGTTTGTGTGTGTGTGTGTGTGTGTGTGTGGGTGTGGGGGGGGGGGGGAGGGGGGGGGTGCAGGTCATGGCTCACCTTATGTCAATCCTGCGTCTCACCATCCCTCCCTTCCACCGCACCTACTCTCTGCACATCCGCCACTGCTTAACGCGTGAGACCACAACCTACCTTCCCACGCACATTCCACACAATGTCTGTTTGTCTGTGACTGCCTATGGCTTTCTTCTCCCTCTCCTGTTTGTTAATAAGCTGTAGCCATGGAATCAGCCTCGACAGAGCTTTCTCAGTGGCCTTGCTGCGTCTGAACCCATCTTTCTCCTCCCCCCCGTTCACCAGCCATTCAACCCCAAGGCAAGGGCAAAGGCAAGAAGCACCACGCAGCAGCGCAGCCCTCAGTGTTCACAAATGCAAGTGCGGACAACCCAGCCCCGAAACATGTGCACGTGTCACACTGCCTGCATGCTATCACATTGCGTTTATGTAGCGTTGAGCGCATATGCTGTGCTTCCACCGAAAACGAGTGTGAAGAATGTCGTGTTTTCATATTGCTTGCATATCACCAGGTTGAATTACTAGAGGGAGGTTTTAGAACAAGGAGAATAGCCGGTGCTCTCTCTTCTCCTCTCCTCTTCTCTTCGCTTCTCCTCTCTTCTCTCCTCTCCTCTCCTCTCCTCTCCTCTCCTCTCCTCTCCTCTCCTCTCCTCTCCTCTTCTATTGTCTCCTCTTCTCTTCGCTTCTCCTCTCTCCTCTTTTCTTCTCTTCTCTCCTCTCCTCTCCTCTTCTCTTGTCTTCTCTTCTCTCTTCCTCCACCCTGACCTGCCCTGCCACACACACCATGCTCCATGCGGTCTGCAGAGGTGGAAGCTGAGCGTTGCAGTGGAGAGCACTCTGGGGGCCCTCGCACCCCTGCCATCGCTCGACTGCATTCACGTGAGACCGACTGCTGTCCTATGTGTCACTGTGTGTGACTTGTGTCACTGCTGCTACTGTCCCTCATCACTCTCCGCTGTTTCTCCAAGAACACTCCAGGAACCATTTAACTGAGATCGACTTACGCTGCTGTTTCTTGCTGTTACTGCTGTTGATTGACCAATCGTTTGTGTCCATCCATTAGTGACCCATCCAGATAGTGACCCATCCATTTAGTGACCCATCCATTTAGTGACCCATCCATTTAGTGACCCATCCATTTAGTGACCCATCCATTTAGTGACCCATCCATTTAGTGGCCCATCCATTTAGTGACCCATCCATTTAGTGACCCATCCATTAGTGACCCATCCATTTAGTGGCCCATCCATTTAGTGACCCATCCATTTAGTGACCCATCCATTTAGTGGCCCATCCATGTCACTGTCCCATCCCTATTGACCCTTTCAAATCATTCCTTGCCTTTTTTTCCTCTTCCTGGACCTCCAGGTCTCTTTCCCTGACAGCTGGCCGTTGGATGAGCTCACCCTCACATCTCCACCGTACACGTTCAACAGGTGCTGCTCCCTGTGATCCACATGGTCCGCTGCTTCACTCCCTCGATCCTGGCCTTGCTTGCACTCCTGCATTTTGTAAATTTCAAAAGAAGAAGAAAAAAAACAAATAATATGAACATTCGCACTTGTATCCAGAATTTTCAGTGCCCTCTCCTCCTATGCCTATGCTGCTCCTTGTTTCTGTTCCCGACAGGACCTTCAAACTGCAGATGCAGCAGGCGGAAGGAGCGGAGGGAGAGGGTGAGAAGCAGCAGCAGCAGCAGCAAGGCGTGACACCTTCAGGAGCCATCAGTTTCACGTTCAACTTCTCCCAGGGCTATGGATGCGAGCCTATCACCATCCATCACGCCGTCGCTCCTTGTCCTTGTCAAGTGTGCACGCACCTCAATCTCCACCTACTCTCTACCGCCTCTCTGTCTTCGCTCCACCTTTTCTCCACTTTCCTTCCACCTTCTCTCCACCTTCTCTCTTCCTTCTCTCCATTACTCCCCTCGTCACTTCCATTTATTCCGTGCTTTCACCCTCTCCTCTCCATTCCCTTGCCCCACTTCTCCGTCTCCCTCTCCTTCTGTCTCCTTTCTTGGTCGCACTCTCTCTCCGCCCCACCAGCCTTTAAGACTTGATTCATAATGAGAACGACTCACTGTTTTGTGTTCCTGAATGCTCTCAGGCACACACTCATTGCTGTGCAGTGTGCACCACTCATTGTGTCACCGTGCACCAGTCACTACCGAGCATACATCATCTGAACCACACCACACCTGCTTCCACCGCCCATGCCAGGAGCCAGCACCTGCGGCATCGCAGGGCGAAGAGCATGCATTGACATGCCATACCACGTCGCCACCACCACCGATTCCCATGCCACTTGCTGTGCCGGAGCCAACACGGGGATCCGCAGCCACCTCACCTGAAGCAAAAGCAGCGCCTGTTTCACTACTTGCAGCAGCAGCAGCAGCGGCAGCAGCAGAGGCAGGAGCAGGAGCATCAGGAGAGCCAGAACCCGCAGTACCAAGTGCAGCAAGCGGCCTGGGTGAAGCAGAATGCACTTTCTGGGAAGGACGGGCAGTGGGGAGTGTGCGAGTGCTTGAACAGGCAGCAGGGAGGGAACACGCAGGGCAACAAGGGGCACAGGGGCATAGCAGCAGCGGTAACCACATGGAGCTTGGCAGCTTGGAACCAAGCCTACATGCCTCTCCACCAGCAAGCTCCGCGCATGTACAGGCGTGCAACAGTCACTTGGACGATCCGGAGCAGGTTTCAGGATTGCAGAAAGGGACGGGTCCTACGTGGCATGTCGTGGGCTATGAGATGCTGACAGCTGTTGTTAGATACACAGTCAGCAAGGCTGCGGTTGGGATAGCGCCCAGTGGGGTGGGTGAAGGGGAGGGGCGAGGTGGTGTGGGCGAGGGCGACAAAGAGGAGGATGAGGAGAAAAGGGTTGGAAGGGCGGGCGTGAGTGGGGATCGGAAGAGGAGAGGAGTGAGGAGTGCAAGAGGGGCAAAGCGAGGGAGAGGGAGAGGAAGAGTGGGAGGTGGAGGAGTAGATTTGAATGGAGTGAAGGTAGAGGGTGATGGGATGGGGGGGGAGGGGTGCAAGGATGAGCCCGAAAATCCAGGATTGTAAGGCAAGTGTGGTGGCAGGGGGATGAATGGGACAGCAAATGTGGGGGCGCACTCTGGTGAATCTAGTCTTTGGTGGGTGCTGGCACCCAAGTCTTGGATGGCAGCACATGAATGAGTGAAGAGTGTTCTTGTTCGATACCATTTGGAGTGGGGAGTTTTACGTATTGAGATGGGCCCGAGTTGAAGCTCTGGCCCTGTTGTGCTACGCCTGTGCCTCCCACCTTTTCTGTACAACGGCAAGCATTGATTGGCCCTAGCATATCATTTGTACAAATGGCACCTGCATGTTGCCATAACTGTTCAACCAATCAACGATGCAGTAGTGCTGCTAGTATATCCACGCTTCAGAAGTTGGGTGTATTGCAACCTGCACTAGCTACACATCCGAAAGAATTTAAGAATCACAGTCAAGTATTTGCACCATTATCATTAGGAGATATTATAAAATTTAAACACACATTGTGTTTTTAAAATTGTGTATTGTGAAAGCGAAGCTGCTTGTACTGCACATTTGGCATCGTCGAAGCGCGCTAAACGCCCTTCTCCAACTACAAAAACCGTGGGTTGGAGCTCATTTCCCTCCACCCACGTTTCTCTATTTCCAACGGCTCACTCAACTTTCCCGCTCGAGTAGTTTTTTCCTCCGTCCAAACTGGCTAGAACCAAAACGCTTCCTCGAGGCGTTTCACCCTCGACTTTACTCAGCGATATTTTTAACTTCAATCGCTCAACGATGGCACCTACGCCGGCACTTAACAACGACAACTCGGCCAACCCCGCTTCCGACTCCGACCGTAACGCCCGCGATTTTGCGGGCGATCGACGTAACAAGCGTCGGGCAGAAGATGGACCTTCCGCCCCGACTGGAGTGGACGTGCTGCTGGGCGGGCTCGATGCCCAGCACCCTTCGGCGAATGTGGCGCCAGTGGCGCCTGTGGCACCAGTGGCGCCAGTGGCAGCGGCGGCTGGCGCGACACACGCGACTGACGCGGGGCACACGCCAGCACCCGCGGCTGGACCGTCGCGTCAGCGCCAGAGGCGACGACCGGCGGTCTCCTCGTCTGACGCGACGGCGACCCCTACGCTGACGCAGGCGTTGACCCCGGACCAGGTCAACGCGCTGCTGTCCCTTCTACAGCAGCAGCCCGTCAGCGTTACAGCCGCGGAAACTGCACTACCTGCTGCATCTGCGTCTGCTAAAAACGAAACTGCAAAAAAGGAAAAAGGAGTGCGAGAAGCAAGGACGAATCGGCGCAACAACGACGCAGCGACCGGCGTTTCCCCTGCTCCAGCGGTCGACAACGACACCGACGACTCCGAAGATGACGCCGGTGAGGCTCCAGTCGACAGTACTAATTTTATTGGCACGGAAAATCTCCCCCCCCCTCCCTTCTTCTAACCTCACTTTTTCGGCGACGACATTCGTCAACGACTCCGTGCGAGAGCAAGCGGAGCTGCTGGAGGAGTTGCGCGCGTACCTGCTGCACGCGGAATACAAGGCGCAGCGCGGCGACTCGGCAGGCGGACTCGAACTCATCTCACACGCCCTCAACCTCATCGCGGGGCGTTTCGAGGTGCTTCAAGTGGAGGACGCCTCCGACTTCCGCACGGTGAAGCGCTTCAAGCTGTACCAGCAGAAGAGCCTGCTGACCTCTCGACCCTTCAAGCAGGCGGTCGCGGACATGGCTGCGATGGACCGCGCCGCAAGCGCATACGCTCGCGTCAACCGCGGCGGAAGCAACGCGCCGATGCCGTTCATTCCCAAGCGGGGTCCCCCACCCACGGCCAATTGTCGTGGGTTTCGGGGCTCGTGCTTCCGCTGCGGCCAGCCGGGCCATGTGGCAAGTGCCTGCCCTAGGAACGGGCATGGTGGCCAAGGTCCCGCTCCGGTAGTGTAGGAGCGGACCATGGGAAATGCGCTCGGAGCGCAAGGCACGGTGCACTCTAGAGTGCGGAAACCGTGGGCAGCCCTAGGGGTTTGCGATGGCAAGAGGCCAGCCCTAGACAAGGGTAGAGTAGGCCTTGGGCCTAGGTTAGGGAAGGGGAATATCAACCCCTCGGTCCCATGTATTGGCCACTAGGTGGCGTATGCATGCTAGGAAAGCATTGCTATGTGTGTCGGGTCGATTTAATAAAACATTATTCCTAAAGGCCCTCTGATTTTGGCAAGTGACACTCTAAGAAACAAAGAAGTGGTGCAGAGCAAGAGAGAAAGAGAATCAGAGAGAAAGAAAGAGAGAGAGAGAGAGAGAGAGAGATAGAGAGAGAGAGAGAGAGAGAGAGAGAGAGAGAGAGAGAGAGAGAGAGAGAGAGAGAGAGAGAGAGAGAGAGAGAGGGAGAGAGGGCATGGACAGCCGCATCCAATCGTGTGTGGACCGTGGGGCGAGCCGGTCGGTGCTCGGCACACTCGTTGACATAGCAATTCATTATCAATTCTGTCCACACCGTTTACAAGTGATCTCAAGCACGTGCACACATGCAACACACGTATTTTTAAATAAAAAGTGCAACCCTTGTCCCATGCCACGAACACACAGGAGCGTGGCAATACGAGGCGGCATGCGGCGACGACCCATACGAATTTGCCATAACGGACAAAACCGTTACACATATGCGCGGCCGGCTTCGCGCGACCTTTGCATGGTGGAGCTCATGGTGCTCGAGTAGCCTTGTCCTCTCCGTCATAGCCAAAGGCTATTGGTTGCCATGGAGCCACGGCCCACCGCAACCCTTCCACGATCGCAACCATGTCGGGGCGAACACGCATGCCACATTCACACGTACTGCCGTACAAGAACTCACAGAGACCGGAGCGGCAGTTCCGATGGCCGCAAAGGAGCTTACTTGCATAAGTCCGCTCAACGTGGTCGAGCAAAAAGACAAATGCAGGCTCATTCTTGATCTGAGGAAAGTCAACGCCCACTTAATTGTCCCCAAGTTCAAGTACGAGGGACTTAACCGGGTGGCCGACCTGGCACGCGCTGGGGACTGGATGTTCTCCATCGACCTCAAATCCGGCTATCACCACATCGACATCCACCCCTCGTGCTGGAAGTTCCTTGGATTCGAATTTGGTGGACACACATACGCATTTCGATCCCTGCCATTCGGACTCGCCACAGCTCCATTCGTCTTCACGCAACTCATCAAGCAACTTGCTCGGCGTTGGCGAGAACAGGGCATCCGAGTAGTGCCATACGTGGATGACATTTTATTTCTCTGCGGCCCATGCGCAAGCTACCTGTCAGCGCGTAATATTGGACCTCAAAGCAGTGGGGCTGGTGATAAACGCGAAGAAATCGCAGCTCTCACCATCGCAACACCTTCGATTTTTGGGTGTAGAGTTGGACACCGACACCGGCCGATTCTCCATCGGTCCCGAACGACGAGTCGCGCTACATGCAACCATCCAGAACCTCCTAAGTGCAAGCAAGGCAAGCACACCAGTCCCCGTCCGTCATGTGGCCAGAGTCACAGGCATGCTCGCCTCAATGAGTGTCGCACTAGGCGCGACAGCTCGCGCATTCAGCCACGCCATGTTACAAGTGATCAACGACGCGCCGTCATGGAAAAGCAGTGTGATCGTCTCCCCATCTGTAGCTGAGGAGCTCAACTTCTGGCGCGAAGAGTTTGATCGGTTTAACGGTGCACCATTCCACGTCCGAAACAGTTACGACGCTGTAATCCATGTGGACGCCAGCTCTCACGGTTGGGGCGCCACCCTGACCACGTTCCCGGGCGGCCTCGAAGAAGCTAGTGCAACCATGCCAGAGCCGCTACGAGCAACGTCCAGCACGAGACGGGAGATTGAAGGCGTCTTTTGGGCAATCCAAACGTATGCCAACAAGATCCAGAAAAAACACGTTCTCGTGCGTGTGGACAACCAAGGTGTATTCTTCATCCTTCGCAAAGGCGGCTCTCGCAGCCCCGACCTCACCATGGCCTGCAAGGGCATCATACGAACATGCATGGAGCTCGGCACGCGCTTAATCATCGAATGGATTCCCCGCGAACTCAACTCACACGCTGACGAGCTTTCCAAAATAGTCGATCACGACGACTACTCGTTGAAGACGCCATGGTTCCGCATCTTGGAACGTCGTTGGGGTCCCCATTCCATCGACCTTTTTGCAAACTCCCGCAACACCCAGCTATCGCGCTTCTGCACAAAGATCCCTCACCCAGACGCCTTCGCAATTGATGCATTTTCGCTCGCATGGACAGGCGAAAATGGTTTCGCGTTCCCCCCGCCCCAATTGGTCCCCGCCGTCCTCCACCACGCACAACGCACCCACGCATCACTCACACTGATAGTTCCGCACTGGCCGGGCACAAGCTGGTGGCCACTACTACAACCCTCCCCATGCACGTGGGCGTCACACATCCATGCACACATCCCTCTGACACACGGAAGCCAATGCTTAGCTGCAGGGACACATTCCACTGCCTTCTCAGGCTCAGGATTACCGCACAGCCCAATCATAGCACTCCGAGTGGTATTTGACTAATTCATAACTTCTCCGCCTTGTGTTCAGAATTGCTCCCAAAGCTACACGACCAGCTGATTAACATGATCGCACAGTCTCGTGCAAACTCGACGATCCGGACATACGAACCATACTGGACTAAGTTTCGAGCCTTTTGTACAAAGGTGAACCTTGCATTTCTCCCCGCATCCGACATGACCCTCGCGCTATACCTGGTCCACGCAATCCAACGTAAAGCTACCCTGTCCTTAGTACAGCTCACGTGCTCAGCAGTCAGCTTCGCCCATCGCATGACTGGGAGCACATGCCCGACGGATGGGCCATTCACCACACAAGTCCGCGACTTTGCGAAACGCCATTGCCCTCGCCCTACTCGTCTGAAGGAGCCCGTATCGATCCAACAAGTTCGAGACATGGCGGCGAGCTACCTGCTGTCTGACAATCCGGCGGAATTCCAGAAAGGGCTGATCCCTATCCTCATGTACTCGGGATTTCTGCGATACTCCGACCTCGTGGCTATCAAATGGCAAGAGATCCAATTCGACGACGATGTCATGTGGATCCTCATACCACACTCCAAGACGGATCAGGCCGGTCACGGAACATGGATACCCATTGCGGCAACGGCGGACCCTTGCTGCCCCGTGCGCTGCACCAGACGCTTCATTCAACGTGCTGGCTACGGCCCGCACTCGGAGGGGTCGTTGATCCGCGTCTTCGGCCATGCCTCAACCAGCGTGGGCCAGGCCAGGCCACCTTCATACACGACGATCCGGAACTGGTGCAAGGAAGCCTTCGCAAAGGTTGGGCTTGGAGAGCAGCAGCTCGGCACTCATTCCTTCCGAAAAGGCGCGGCCACAGTGGCAGCCAACACCGGTGTACCAGACAGAATCTTCAAAAGACTGGGCAGGTGGCGAAGTGACACAGCCAAGGAAATGTACGTCACGCCATACGTCGAACCTCTCATCAAGGCATCGCGCATCCTGCAGAACCCGACACTTGCATTGTCCTCGGAGCAACACGCAGAGGCACTCGTACGCAACCGGAAACCCCCGCTGCCCATGTCTCAGAGGCCCCATTTGCAATGAGAACGATGCCAAATGATAAAAACAAGAAAGCAAGCTTTCTCAATATTATAAATTTTAAACACACATTGTGTTTTTAAAATTGTGTATTGTGAAAGCGAAGCTGCTTGTACTGCACATTTGGCATCGTCGAAGCGCGCTAAACGCCCTTCTCCAACTACAAAAACCGTGGGTTGGAGCTCATTTCCCTCCACCCACGTTTCTCTATTTCCAACGGCTCACTCAACTTTCCCACCACCCACCCCAGCATCGACTGCCTACTAAGGCCGTTTGGACACGGTACATTTTAGCTAGTATTCTCTGCATGTACTAGCTTGTGTTAGAACTCGATGGATATGTTGTAATATGCCATTTGCAATGAGAACGATGCCCATTTGCAATGAGAACGATGCCAAATGATAAAAACAAGAAAGCAAGCTTTCTCAATGCATCAATAGGCAATTAGCCTTGAATGTGTTGCAATTCGTAAAACCTTCCTGTCAGCAACACAACCATTCCCAACCAACCACCTGCATGTTTCAACATTGTCAAACTCCTCTGCCTTCTCTCTTTCTCTCTCGCTCCAAAGCTTTGTTGTCCACATCTTCCCTCTGCCTCCTTTCAACCTTAACCCAGTCCAGTTCATTCAAAGACAGCTGCATTGAAGATTCACAATGGATACGATAAGACTCCCTCAGTACGCCCCAGCTCATCTGCCCCTCTGCTGCCAACCCTCTGTTGCTGTCAAACAGCATGCTCCTGTTGACTTGCTTAGCATGGCTGTGCCATCACTATTGCCCTGACTCACTAGTGTCCGGCCACAGGTGGAGCACCTGCTGCCATGCCTCCCCCTGTCACTGGCCCACTGCTCGGCCCCACCACTGACCCCCCTCCCCCTCCTCCCCCCCCTGCGCCATCATACCCCCCTCTCCCGCCCCTCCGCCCTCCCCTGCTGCGTCCCCCACCCCTTCGCCCTCCCCCACCTGCACCTCCCCCGCCATACATTGATCCCATCGCCGCACCCTGGGGTGCTACTCCAGCATTCAGGCCAGGTGTCATGCCAGGTGTCATACCAGGTGTCATGCCATGTGTCATGCCAGGTGTCATGCCAGGTGTCATGCCAGGCGCCATTCCAGGTGCCGTACCAGGTGCGCCCACCACGCCTCCCATCATGCCAGCGTTCACCAGCACAGGGTCATACACCACGTACCCTCCCCCAATCATGCGCCCGCCCCCTCCCCCCCTTCCCCCCCGGCCCCCTCCCCCACGGTACCCCCCCCTCGAGCCCCGTCCGCCCATGTACCCCGGACCTGCGCCCATGATTCCGCCCCTCCCCCCACTGCCACCGCCGCTGCAGGAAGTGACAACTGGAGTGTGCTGCGCGTGTGGGTGCTGGTGCCCTGCATGTGCCGCTGGGGCCGTACCGGCCTGCAGGGGAAAGGAATGGGGGAACGGTTGGTGGGTCACCGGAGAGGGAGCGTTGAGCTGTGAGCAGTGGCCATTTTGAGGTTGAATTGCAGTGTAATTTTGGAGCGTTTGCAGGTGTGTAGTAGGCAGCGCTTGAAGGGTGACAACAGAAACTCAGAGCTTAGTGGAAACCCTCAACACACAATAAAAGACAGGGACAAAACCCACCAAACTAATTCCTTCTGCACCCAAATGGCAAAATTACGCCCCAAAGATTCTCACCTGAGTCGCGGCCTGCCCCTGTTGCACCTGCGCCTGCTTCGCCTGATCTGGACCCCCCACACCCGGCCTTGCCACCTGCTGCCCCACCACTGCACCAGGCTGACCAGCAGGAGCAGGCACCTGAGGCACCTGAGAAGCATGTCCCGCACCCACCGTGCCCTGCCCCGGCCCCACCACACCCTGATTGCCTACCACCGGCGCTCCCTGCTGCCCAACCACTGCTGCCCCTGCTGCCTGCGCTGCTGCCTGCGCCTGTTCCACCTGTGCCTGTGGCGACGGCTCAAGCGCCGGCGGAATAACAGCGCCTACAGGCGCAGCCGGGGGCACTGGCGCGCCCTGCACCAGCGGAACGGTCACAGGGGCTGCGGAGACGGCAGAAAGCGCGTCCGGGCGCACGGATCCGAACACAACTCCGTTCACGGGCAACGGCCCCCCTGGGGAAGGCACGGCGGTAGTCGCGGCGGCTGGGGCTGACGCAAGGGGCGCAGGCGCAGAAGGCGCAAGAGAATCCGCAGGAGCTGGCGCGGAGGGCGGGGGGGGTGCGGCGGCAGCAGGGGCGGCAGCAGATGGGGATGCGGCGTAGGAGGAAGCGGGGTCGGCGGAGGGGAAGTGACCCTGGGCGGCCATGGCCGCAGCGGCAACGACCTCGGATGAAACGACCTCGGCCCATTTGGTGAAAAAGCCAGAGGCGATTATGCGGTCCAGGCGATCGCGCAATTGCGCATCTGAAATGACAGCAGTGGTAGGCGGACAACCGAGAGGTGGTACGGGTTGGCACAGGTGGCGTGAAGAGGGAGGTGCGTTTATTTTTTTTTAGATATGAGAACAAAAAGCAAGTAAGGAGGAAGTCAAGCCATGAAGACGACAGGAATCTGCTTCTTAATGAAACGACGGCTCAATCAAAAGCACAGACAATTAATGATTCGTGTGACGCACAGACCGCCGTGAAGGCTGCACCGACGTACACGTAAGGTGGATGGTCGGGTCGATGGCGGTTTGAGAGCGCGACGCCAACGCCACGGCATGCGCCACGCACCGATCCACAGCCTCCTTGTGATTCGCCGCGCTCGCGTCGCGCGTCGTCAACAGCCGCGCCGCATTCGCGACGGCATCAAGATCCGCGTCGCATAAGAAAGCCGCAGCGTTGTCGTCGGTGATAGGGTCGTAGGAAAGGCACGACGTGCGCTCCTGCGTGTTGCGCCAGCTGAGCAGCGGCGACGCCCCGGCGGAGTCCATCCGCAGATCGAAGAGCGAGCCGAAGTAAAGCACCTCGACAACGCTTCTCACGGCCCGATCCACGTCATCAGACTTATCCGCTGCAGATTCCGCCGCTCCTCCTTCCCCGCGGCCTGAAACTTCCTTCGTTGACTGGCCCGCCTCCCCTGCTGTGGAATCCGTTTGCTCATCGGCCTTCTCCGCTGTTCCGTCAGCAGCAACTGCCTCTGCAGCTTCGACTGAAGATTCTTCAGCAGCAGCAGCCGCCGCAGCTGCAGCTGCAGCCGCGGCCGCGGCCGCCGCCGCCGCTGCTGCCTCTGCAGCCTCCTTCTCAGCCTTCTGCTGAATTGCGGCGGCAACGGCCTTCTCGCAGTCCGACACCTGCTCGTGCACGGCTGCCTGCAACGGCGTGTAGAGCTTCTCGTACTCCTCGATCAGCAGCGTCACCGTCAGCTTTTGCTTCAGAACCTCTTCCTGTTCCGGCTGAAGCTTCTTCCCCGCAGCCTTCGCCTCCTCGATGTCTGCAATCCGCTTTTTCTTCTTACGGAGCGCGCGGAGCCGCTTCGACATCATGACCATGACCGCACCCTCTGGCCGCAAATACCCGCCATCCTCGATCCCTACGCCGGCTCCCGCAACGAGTTGCCCGGGCGTAGCACTTGAAGTGGTAAGATCTTCGGCAATTCCGCCAGTCGTCGTGGGTTCCCCCGTGGAAGCCATGATTCTCCTACGACTGATCCGAGTCGCTTGGACGTAAAACTAGTTAGCGCTTACTCAGATCTAACGCAAGTAAACGCTTAAGGGTTTCGAGAAGGATCGAAAACACGGGACCAGACGGTACTCGATCGCACGCGGGATCGGACAAATCTGACGTCGCTACTGACCTGAACCACAACGCGACCTACCTTGAATTGGGCATAGGTTGCTGAACACCAGCTGAACAGACCAAGAAGGATGGGAGCCGAACATACGAATCTGATGCGGGAGGTGTGCTGCAAGCAGATTCCGAGTTTCCAACTTCAAATCCAAATCCAATCCAGCAGAGAGACCCTGCCTGCACTCAACTAGGTCTCGCACAGCGAAACCCGTTACGGCTTACAAGTGACAACGCCAGCAGCTTGTCGAAATTGATGAGGGGAATTGATCGCTACCTGGAGCATGTCGCAGGTATGTACAAACGTTTCCCGAGGCTGAAAAGTGATCTGGCGGCTGCTGGTAGCTAAGGGCGTGTCTTCCAGGGTGATCTTGGGCTTTTACACCTTTTTTACGTAGTTGCGATTTTTTCCCAAATGTGCTGCCCGCACGTACAGAAAATGGTTTGTGTCTGCCTGACGCGAACCTATTTTTTTGAACGCGGACACACAGTCCCGCCCGAACACAAACCGTGTGGCATATCAGAAGTCGCGAGCGGTACTCCTGTCGCTCTGCGAATTTCATTACTTCATTCGGCGGGATTTTCTCACGCCCGTGCCATGGGAAAAATCGCCCTGGGCCTTCGTTTGTTTTCGTTAGACCTGTATTGGCGAATTTCGCATGCCTGAAAACAACTTGGCAAACCCGAAATATGTGTGTACATGTTCTGTACTCGAGTGCATGGCACGTGCTGCACACGAACTAGGACACGTAAAAAAATCGCTGCCAGAAACGAAATCAGAAGTGACTGTCTGCTCGGCTCGTAAAATGCATATGTTACAGAATGTTATCGGGTAACAGAACCCCAAAGGGAATGTACTTCCGGAAAGCAGACACGCCCTGAAGCCGAAGCGATAGGCACAGACCTTTACGAACCAAAACGCCTTGATGGTGGCCTGGTCACAAGGGTAGTTTCTGCCACACCTCCTCGAGGCTCGGCAGCAGGAAACCGAACGTCAAGGAACGTTGGTGCGGCGGGATGGCATGAGCATGGGAGGTTGTGCAGGGAAGCGATGTTGCTTTTATGTGCGTGCGAAGTCCTACGGGCTAGGGGGATCACATCGCAGCCCTCGAATTTGCCACTCTGCTAGCAGATGCGGCGCGTTCGAGAATTCACATCACATCACGAGGAACGGCCCCCTTCCAATCAAACTTCGAGAACTTCATCGGGGTCATATGAGCCGGGGTCTTCACAAGCCGAGGTCAAAACAGAGGGAGTCAGTGTTACGAGTGCAATTGAGTGAACGAACGAGAATTGCACTATCGGAGCAAGAGTACAATGAGCGAAGGCATGAGCGAAGAATATATAGCGAAACTACAGTGGTAACGGTAATGGACTGTGGTTGTCGCGCGACGGGCCTGTGACTAAGGTTGGGAAAAGTGTCGAAGCGGAGGCCCGGAGCGTGGGTTACCCGCCGAGCCGTGAAGTCGGGGTGCGATGTGCGAAGGTGGCGGGCGGATTTTCGATGCGAGGGTTGCGAGTGGTAACGGTGCTGACTGTGGTGCTACAGTGATGTACGCGTTGAGCAGGGATGCGAAGTAAGGAAAAGGAATTTTCCTTACACTACCCCCCCCCCCTAAGGAGGTCCTCCTTATGAAAGTGCGTGTACATCCCTGAAATTTCGGCTGCGCAGATACTCGGTGAGGACGGGGTGATTTTCGATTTTGTCCAGGGGAACCCAATTGTCGTCGGTGGGTGTACGGTCCTTCCAGCGGAGTAAGAACTCGATCCTTCGGGCTCCTCGAGGGTCGCGAACTCTGTGACTCAGGATTTTCTCGGGGGTGATGATTGGTTCAGTTGGTGGTCTTGTCATGCCGGCTGGGCGATTGCGTGGCAGTTGGCTCGTGGACGGGACGTAAGGGCGAAGCAGGCTGATGTGGAATGAGGGGCTGACATACCAGTCAGCAGGGAGGAGGAGGTGGGCGGTGACGGGTGTAAGCATGTGGCTTATGCGAAATGGCCCGCGGTATCGGGGGCGGAGTTTCGGGGTGATGGGCAGTCGGAGGTTCTGAGTGTCAAGTAAGACTAAGTCGTCGGGCTGGTAAGTGACAGGTCTGCGGTGGCGGTCGGCGTTGCGTTTAGCGATGATGTTCGATTTTTTTATTGCGTCGGCTGCCCGGGTCCGTGCTGCTTGTAATATTTCGGCGAACTGTTGTGCTCGTGGTACTGGGTTGTCGGGATTCGGGGTCATGGGTACTGTCGGGTCTTGTCCGTAGTTTAGGTAAAATGGTGACTGTTGGGTCGTGGCGGATGGCGAGTTGTTGTACGCGAATTCGATTAGTGGCAGTTGCTGTTCCCACGTGGTCGGGTCGTCACACGTGGCCCTGATGAGCTGTTCCATGGTCTGATTTGTCCGTTCTGTCTGTCCGTCGGTTTCGGGGTGGTATGATGAACTGAACTGCACTCGTGTGCCGAACTGCTGCCACAGGTTCCGCCAGAAGTTGCTGGTGAATTTCGTGTCGCGGTCGCTGATGATCGCGGCTGGTATCCCGTGCAGTCGAACGACGGTGGAGATGAAGAGGCGTGCTGTTTCTTCGGCTGTGATTGAGTTTTTGCAGGCTGCAAAATGTGCCATTTTCGTCAGTCGATCGACGACGACTAGGATCGCGTCGTTCCCACTCGCCCCGGCTGGTAACCCCGTGACGAAGTCCATCGTCACCTGCTGCGAAGCACGCTCTGGGGGTGGTATTGGCTTCAACTGTCCCGCCGGCCGCTGTCGTGATGATTTCATGAGCTGACAAGTGGGACACGATGCCACGTGTCGTTGTACGTCGGTCAACATTTCGGGCCAGTAATAATACCGCTGCAGCTGCTGCCGTGTTTTTTCTACTCCGAAATGCCCCGAGGTAACTCCGTCGTGTGCCTCCTGTAACAGTAATTCCCGTAGCAGTGTATACCCAGGCACCCAAATGCGGTCAGTCCCGGTTTTTACGTAATAGACTCCCTTTGCTGCTGCGAACTGCTGCGAATCTCCTCCTGTGAAGAATGGATCCGTTTGGTACCCGTGGGTGAATAGGCCTGTCAGTAGCGGGTTTGTCTGGGCGAGTAGTATTGCGTGGATCTGGGCAGTGGGGCGGGTCAGTGCGTCGGCGATGTTCGAGGCTCCCTTTTTGTAAGTGACCGTATAGTGAAAGTTGGACTCGAGGAAATTGAGCCAGCGAATCTGTCGTGGGTTGAGGTGTGGCTGTGTGCGAAGGTACTGTATTGATTTATGGTCTGTCCGTACTGTCACGTCCGCGCCAGTCAAGTAACAGCGCCATACTTTGAACGCGTGCACGATCGCAAGCATTTCGTGGTCGTGTATCGGGTAATTTTTCTCGTGCAGTTTTCGTGACTCGTAGACGATAGGCTGTAGGCCATTGCCGAAATCCTGTAGCAGTACGGCTCCGATGGCGATATCGCTTGCGTCGGTAACTACTTCGAATGGGCGGTGTGGGTCGGCGATGCGCAGGACGGGCGGTGAACAGAGAACATTTTTCAGGGCAGAGAAGGCAGCATGCTCTTTCTCCCCCCACGTAAAAGCGACCCCTTTCCGCAGTAAATCCGTCAGTGGGGCAGTTAACCGTGCCATATCGGGGACGAACCGACGCACATAATTAACGAACCCTAAAAAGCTCTGCAGCTCCGTGATGTTCGTCGGGGGATGCCACGCTTTTACCGTATCCAACTTCTTTGGGTCGATTTCAACTCCAGCCTCCGAAATAACGTGCCCAAAAAATTCTAACCTATCCTGGAAGAACTCGCACTTGGAACCCTTGGTCAGTAATCTGTGCTCGTCTAAAACCTTAAACACTGCTTCCAGATCTGCTAAGTGCTGCTGCTTATCCCGACTGTACACTAGGATGTCGTCGAGGTAAACTATTACACATTTATCTAAGAGCGGCCTAAATGCCTCGTTCATGGTCATCTGAAAATTCGCCGGTGCGTTGGTCAGCCCGAATGGCATCACCGTGTACTCGAACGACCCGTACCTAGTCCTGAAAGCTGTTTTGGCGCAGTCCGATGGTTCGACCCTAATCTGATGGTAACCTCCCCGTAAATCTATTTTCGAAAAAACCCGTGCTGTTCGCAGTTGGTCGATCAGTTCGTCGGCGCGGGGAATGGGGTACCGCGACTTGACTGTTACCCTATTCAGTGCTCTGTAGTCGATACACATGCGAAAACCCCCGTCTTTTTTCGGCGTGAATAGTATCGGTGCGGCGAACGGTGACGAGCTCGGTCTGATGAATTTTTTTTTCTAATAGGTAATCTAACTGCTTCCTTAGTTCGTCGAGCTCGGGCTGTGTCAGTCTGAACTGGCGCTGTATGGTTGGCTGTGCCCCCGGTTCTAATTCGATTCGGTGGTCATGTGCTCGCTGAGGTGGCAGTCCTTCCGGTAAGTCGTCGGGGAAAATCCCGGGGTATCGTTTCAACAGTTCCTGTAATTCGGGCGGTATGGCTGCCAGCAGTTTCTTGAAATCACTCGGCTGCTCTGCTTCCTCTACTGCTGCGATGTCTACAGCGTACACGTCAGCTCCAGCAGCGACAGCCCGTTTCATTGTGATGGCGTTGACGTGTACCGTTGAAGACTCGGGCGACTGCCAGCGAGGTAGCTCGACCCAGTTACCACTACTTCGCACGGTGCAGCTACCCGTCGTCCAGTCGATTCGCGGGTTATACCGTCGCAGCCAATCACGTCCCAGTAAAATATCGTGCCCATCCAGTGTCGTTGCGAGCATTTCCTGTGTAAATCCGAAATTCCCCCCGCAGCGGACTTTGACTCTTTCTACCTTTTCCCGTATGGCCAGTGGCGTGCCGTCGACTAAGCGTGCGTCTATCTCCGGTAAGCAACGGCTAAGTGTCAGCTGCAGTTTTCGTGCGGTTGCGGTATTAACTAAACTGTGGCTTGCTCCTCCGTCGATAAAAATCTTCACTGCTGCTCCCTGTATTTTCCCGTGGATCAGTACTGGGCAATCCGTCGCTGTACCCTCCTTATTCGTCCGAGTCCGATCGATAGCATGAATCGGTACTGTGACTCAGAGAGGGTCGGTGGGGTTGGGCGAGCAGGCAATCTCGTCAGTAGTTGGCCCGATTCCTACTGACTGCTGGCGTTTCCCTGCCTTGGAGACTCCCTCCCCTGCTCTGCTCCGCGGCGCTTTAGTTCCTCTGGGCATTCGCTCTTGCGATGGCCCGGCCTGTTGCAAGCAAAGCAGCGCCCCTTAAACGGCGCGGCAGCTGCATTCGTCGCAACGGCGTGTACAGTGGCGTGCTCGATCGGTCCCCGAGGACGATGTCCATAGTAGGACCCCGGTCTCGGACGGCGTAGAATGTCGATTTTCTCGGCGAGCGCGAGAATCTCGTTGAAGTTCGAGAGCCCGCGTAGCATGATTTCGTGCGAGATGTCCGGCTTCAGCCCTCCGACGTAACGGTCCACCCGCTCCGCTTCGTGCATGTAGCCGACTTGCTCGCATAATGCGAGAAAACCACTCGTATAGTCTTGAACCGATCCAAGCTGCCGCCAAGTGCGCAATCTCTGACGCGCCGAAATAGAAGCCGCGATCGGCTCGAAGCGCGCCCGAAGCCCTGCGCACCACGCATCCCACGTGCTGTATTGGGCGGTCTCGCAGAATGAACTCCAGGTGACAGCTGGGCCCGTGGGCCCTTCCTCTTGCGACGGTGGCTCGTAGGCGCGTGGCGACGTCACGATGACTCGCCACCAGTCCATGGCGGGGCCCCTTAGCAGCGAAACGACATACCAAATCTTCGCTGCGTCCGACTCGACGTAATTCGCGTCGAAGAAGACGTTCATCGTGAAGACCCACGATTGAACCGTCGGACCTCCACGCTGGCTCGGGTCGAAGCAGGGCGGGCGTTGCGGCTTGAGTGGCATTGGTGCCATAATGGTCTGTTCGCCACTTGTCGCCGCGAACTCCACGTGCCGACGGGCTTCGCGAGGCTCCCGCGGGCTTGGTGCGACCCTGTTTCCTCCCATGCCAGGCATCGGCTGGGCGGCACCATCGCTGGCTGCGCCTGAGCGCTGTCCCACGCTGTTGTTTTGTGTTGGTGTGCCGGACGAGATGACGATCGGCTCGTCTGATTGTGCAGATGCATTTGTCGGTGCGTGTGGTGGCGCTGGGGTGTTCATCGTTGATTGCTGACGCGCGGAGTCACGTTCCGCCGTGAGCGTCGCAATTTCGAGCGCCGAATCTTCAAGTTGGCGCACCAGACGGTCGAGCTGCTCCTGCGTCAATGTGGCGAGCGTGAATTCGGCCATGGCGGGGGTGTCGGGCGAGCTCAGCGAGAGCCTCGGTCGTGGCCGTGCGTGCTTACGAGAGAGCACTACGAGCGGCGGTGCTGTGTCGCTGAGGGACGTCTACCCCCCCCAAAAATTGAGATAGTGGGGAAGCGAAGGTGTGGGTGCGGTCCGAGAGGAGATCGTAGGCTCTGAATACCAAGTGTTACGAGTGCAATTGAGTGAACGAACGAGAATTGCACTATCGGAGCAAGAGTACAATGAGCGAAGAATATATAGCGAAACTACAGTGGTAACGGTAATGGACTGTGGTTGTCGCGCGACGGGCCTGGGACTGAGGTTGGGAAAAGTGTCGAAGCGGAGGCCCGGAGCGCGGGTTACCCGCCGAGCCGTGAAGTCGGGGTGCGATGTGCGAAGGTGGCGGGCGGATTGTCGATGCGAGGGTTGCGAGTGGTAACGGTGCTGACTGTGGTGCTACAGTGATGTACGCGTTGAGCAGGGATGCGAAGTAAGGAAAAGGAATTTTCCTTTCAGTCAGTAACTGCAATAAAATACCTTGTACCGTATGTTGCAGGTAGTTCTAGTAAATGATTGTGCTAACACTGCTATTGGTTTATTGATTCTGGTTTAGCGTCTAGTGAAGTCTGATAGCCTCACTACTCTTTATTAAGGGAATCAAGAAGTCCCCCACAAGCATCATCCAGCAAGTCCAATACCTGCATACCAAGAAAGGCGAAAAGTTAGCTACAAGTTCTCCTGGTTTCACAAGGCTCTGAATTCATTGGCGAACACACATCAGATACTTACTGTTTCGAATCCCTGTGCGCCACCATAGTAAGGGTCGGGGACCTCGTCATAATTAAGTTTGCGGCAATAGGAACACATGAGCTTAACCTGGATGGAATAGCATATGAAGACACGAGTGATTGTGGAAACTCATGGAAAAACACGAGTGATTGTGCCGAGAAAGTCCAAATGCATGACGTCAGAAAGTCCACAATGGCATGCCAGCGACCAGATCAAAACCTGATTCTGATACCTTATCGAGGCCATCTCTTGGGAGATCATGAGCGCGCTGCCACTGGCGGAAGGCACGGCCTATGTCATCTGCACATGTGATGGCAGCCGCAAGTCAAGCAGATAAAAAACCACTACCAGGAAGAATCAATGAGAAGAAAAAAAGACATGGGGAGGTTGGGGAGGGAGCAGGAGGGATGGTAGAGGACGAGTACAAGGATCCCAACAACCATGAAAAAACCCATTCCCCCTGGCCGACTCTGATTTTCCCTATACAGGTTACGTGCCCTATACAGGTTACATGCCCCTCCCTTTCCAGCCCACCCTCCCATGCCGTGCGACATCACGCACCTTGGTTGCTGCGATCCATCGCAAGGATGATGTCGAAGGTCGAGAAGTCCGACGGCCGGATGGGCCGCGACAGCGACGTCAGGGGAATGCCGCGCCGCTCTGCCGCCTTGCGCATGCGCGGATCCGCGGGGTTGCCCTGTGGGGTAACGGGTGACATGCGAGGCGCGAACACATGGGGGAAACCAAAGAATCTGGGGCAGGGCAGCGGAGGATTGGAGCTGAGTTGGGCTGCTTTGCTTGACAACGAAGTGTAGACAAGAGCGAGCGGAGCGCGTCGCGTGTGCTGGTGACGTGGCGTACCTCGTGGTAGTCGATGGTTCCGGCAGAGTCGACGTGGAAGCGGTCCGCGAGGCCGCGCTGCTTCACCATGTGCGTGAACACGCCCTCCGCGGACGGACTGCGACAGATGTTGCCTGGCGCGGGGAGGGACGGGCAAGGTTTGGATGACAGATGGACATGGTCTTGGGGAGGACAAGGAGGCCACCTCGACGCTTAGGAATTGGCGCATATCGGAATGACGTGGCACTGGGAAGAAGGACACTGGACGGGAATACTGTGGGTTGGAAGAAGGGTGGATGACGATAGAAGCACGCGTCGACAGAACAATGCGCCGCGAGTTACCAATGCATCGATGCCAGCGAGCAATGCTCGGTCGGATTCCCGTGCCACGTGGCAGGCATAACATTCTCACCCAGACACACGAACAGCACGGAGATCTTCGATCCATCCGCGGAATTGCCGGCGTCAGCAGCGGCCATTGCGACTGCTCGGCGACTAGGATTGGACAGCGAACGCGCTGCAATGCTGAGGTGATTAGAATCTACTACCGCGCGGGGATGATGACTGAAGAGAACGGTGCGCTTGGGGAGAAGCGATGAGGTCAGCAGGAGGCCTGCAGAGGCCGGAGCTACATTCCGCGAGGGACAGGAGCGGGTGGAGGAAGCGCGCCGAGATGGCGCGACTGCGAGCGGCGACGAGGCGAGGGGGAGAGCAGCGACCCGCATTGGATGCGACGGGGAGCCGACCGCAAATGCCGCTAGCGAGCAGTGGTGTCAGCGGGAGCTAGGCGAGTACGGTGGAAGAAAGGTTGGGAGGAGGGTTGAAGTGGTGGTGACTTTTGGACCCCATGTTGAGAACCTCGCTCTTGCAAGGGGGATTTCTGGATGGACTTTTGTGCTTTATAAAAGCAATATTGAGGTTTAAGTTTAAGTTTAAGTTTTATTAAGGTCGTAACCCAGACAACACAGAGGCTAAGCAAGGAGTAGCCCAAGCCAGGGGACTAACCCTTTATAAATACAATATTGAGGAACTTCAGGGCACCTGTTTTCTGAACCCTGTGTTGTAGGTTTTAGAGGCTGACATCATTCCTTCGCAGTCTGTTGCAGTCCGTTACATTTGGTCGCATTCCGTCATATTTTCTTGCCTGCCTTTGGATTTTCATCGCATTCTCGTCGCAGGCCCCGTGGGGCTTCTCGTCGCGCGTCGTTCAACTCCCATGCACACCACGGCCGCCATCAGTCCGTCCCTGCGTGCTCTCCCTCGACTACGCCATGGCTCCGCGCGATTCCCGTCAATCCGCCTTGCTGCTCCGTCCCACGTACCACCTCGTACCCAGTGCCACTTGCAATCCTCGTCGTTAACGACACGTGTCGCTCCCGCCGTGCGCAGCGGGGAGCTCAAGGAACGGGACGCGTTGCGCGAATGGCGCGTGAGTGCCGGCGGCGTGGCTGCCTTGCGGTCGCTCTCTCCTTGTACCCTGATTCATGCTGCTTCTCTGGCGCGTGTGCTTGTAAAGGGAGGCTGGAGAACGCACGCGGTGAGGGAGCCGGCAGTCGCGGGGGAGAGAAGGGGAGAGAGCGGCGAAGGCGAGGAGGAGGAGGAGGAGGAGGAGGAGGAGGAGGAGGAGGAGGAGGAGGAGGAGGAGGAGGAGGAGGAGGAGGAGGAGGAGGAGGAGGAGGAGGAGGAGGAGGAGGAGGAGGAGGAGACAGAGCATAGGGAGTTACGCGGAGATCCGGATGGGCTGGCGGCGGGCGGCGAAGGGGATGGCGCGGCTGGGGGAAGGGCGGATGCGGAGGATGGGGGAGAGACGTTGGAGGATGTGGTGGGGGATATGCTGCCACGATGGCTGCTGGACAGGTGCGATGATGGATGGCTTGGCGCGGAATGGTATCACGTGGCATAGTGTGGCAAGTTCATGGTGTGGTCTGGTATGGTATGGTGTGGTATGGTGTGAGTGGTGTGGTGTGGTGTGGTGTGGTATGGTGTGGTAGTGGTATGATGTGGTGTGGTGTGGTGTGGTATGGTATGGTATGGTATGGTACGGTACGGTATGGTATGGTATGGACGATCGGGCCACGGAATGCAGCCAGAAAGAAACCTAGCCCTTCTCCATCTGCCCCTGCTACGATCTCCCACAGAGACGCCTCCAAACTCAGTCTCCCTGATTTCATCTCCCTCCCTTCACACTCACACCTCCTCCTCGTTCGCATCTTTCCCTTCCTCCGCGCCCTGTCGTGGTGTGATGCACCGTGGGTGCATGCAGGGCGTGCGAGTTAGGGTTCGAGCGCCCCACGGAGACCCAAAGGCACGCCCTGCCAGTGCTGCTCAGCGGCCAGGACGCCATCCTTCACGCACAGGTGCTTATAACGAGGCTTTCCTTCCGTTGGGGCTCAACGTGTGGGTGGGAGGGATGTGCGCCTGTCCTTGCTTTATTGTGTCTGCGGGGAGACACAGGCACAGGCGCAGGCACAGGCAGAGGCACAGCTCCTCCTGTCCACTGTACTTCTCGTCCTTCACACTCACGGCTCAATCCTTGTTACTGTCTAATTCCTCAGAATATTTGCCTTTCCTCTTCCTCTGCTGCACATCTCCCTTTTGTTCTCTCTCTCCCTCCTCTCCCTCTCCCTTCTCCGACCCCTCCCTGCCTCCTCCTCCCTCCCTCGCGCGCCCTGCGATGTGCACCAGACGGGGTCGGGCAAGACGGTGGCGTTTCTGCTGCCGCTGCTAGCAAGCATCGACCCCTCACGCAGGGCGCTGCAGGCCATGGTGCTGCTGCCCACGCGCGAGCTCGCCATGCAGGTGCCATGCCATGCAGGTGCCATGTCATGCAGGTGCCATGCCATGCAGGTGTCATGCCATGCAGGTGTCATGCCATGCAGGTGTCATGCCATGCAGGTGTCATGCCATGCACGTGTCATGCCATGCAGGTGTCATGCCATGCAGGTGTCATGCCATGCAGGTGTCATGCCATGCAGGTGTCATGCCATGCAGGTGCCATGCCATGCAGGTGCCATGCCATGCAGGTGTCATGCCATGCAGGTGCCATGCCATGCAGGTGTCATGCCATGCAGGTGTCATGCCATGCAGGTGTGATGTGCACGCGGCAGTGAGGGGAAGGGTTTCGGAGGCGCCTGAACGGGTGTTGCAGTAGCTCGTAGTGCTGGTGTTGACGCACACATGGGCTGCTGCTGGTTTGGCGGGTGGGTGGGTGCGTGCAGATGGCAGCAGGGGTTCGGGTTTCGGGTTTAGGGTTGGAGAGTAATAACTTCTGCATGCCTGGGGAATGGTTGAAGTTTCTAGCAATCGGTTGAGTGCGCATTTTCCTTTCCCTCCCACTCCCTCCCCATGTTCCTCTCACTCCACATCTTTTCCCTCCCCGCTTCCTTCTCACTCATTACCTGCCTGCTATCCCCCGTTCTTCCCTCTACACTTGTCTTATCTCAGGTGGGGCGGCTGGCGCGCAGGCTGGGGGTGGTGAAGGGGCGAATGGGGGAGGAGGCGGAGGGGAGTGAGGACGAAGAGGAGGAGGGTGTGGATGGGGGTAGTGGTGAGGAAGTTATGGAGGGGAGGGGAGAGGAGGGGCAGCAGGAGCGGAGAGGGAAGAAGGGGCGGATGGGCAGGCAAGAGGGGAAGGGAAAGGGTGCTGAATGGAAAGGGGCGAGTGGGAGGGGAGGAGGCAAGGGGGGCCGAGAGAGGGTGGGTGTGATGGTTGTGGGCGGGGATGGGGAGTCCAACAAGCCAACGAGGAGACAAAGTGTCTGGCTCAAGGTAGACTGGTTGCTCACATGCTTGCATGCTGGCATGCTGGCATCCCAGGGTCCTGCATTACATCTCCTCAAATGGAACTCTCTTCCCCTCCTTTCCCATGCATCCTCCCTCGTCATCTCCTTCCGCCCCCCTTCTCTCTCCTTCTCGTATTCCACCCCCCTCATTCAGCCCCTCTCTCCCTCCACTCCGCCCGGTCCCTCCCCCCTCTTCTCCCCTCAAGGCGGAGCCCCCCCACGTGCTGGTGGGCACACCGGACGCCATTCTGGCGCTGCACCGCCACCACCCCCTCGCCCTGCACTCCCTGCGCTTCCTCGTCGTCGACGAGGTGAGGAAGGGGGAAGGGGAGGGGGCGGAGTGGGGGGGAAGAGGACGGGGGGAGAGGAGAAGGGGGGAAAGGTGATGGATTCAGGGGTTGGCGAGGGAGCTGGAGTGGGGCTGAGATGAGCAGTAGATGGGATGGGGTGTATCGCCGTTTTTTGGGGTTTCCCAAACCAAACCTTGCAGTGTGTGTGGGTGCATGGGCGTGGGTGGGTGTGGGTGGGTGTGGTTTTGGTCATGGTGCGTCTGCTCCACTGTCAGTTGCAACGTTTCCACCCCCCTCTCATGACTATCCCCGCACAAGGCAGAGATAAGGGCAGCACAGGCCGCCCCGCGCTAACTAGTGCTGGTGGCCGCTGCAATTTTGCCTCTCTCAGTCTACCTTACCTACCTCTCCTTCTTTCTCTCCTTTCCTCTCCTCCCTCTTGCCTCTCCTCCCCTCACTCTTTCCCCTCTTTCCCCTCTTTTCCCTCGCCCTTCGCCCCTCGCCAGGTGGATGCAGTGTCGGTGTCGTCCAAGCTCTCCGGATCCCAGTCCCTCCATAAGCTCATCTCGCTCTGCCCGCCGCCCCGCCAACACGCACTCACAGGGCAAGCAGCAGCTGGTGGTGGCGAGAGGAAGGGGGAGCGGAAGGGCAGTGGAGGGGAGAGACAGACAGTGCTGGCCACGGCTACGGTGCCTCAGGCAAAGAGATTCATACGCGATGTGATTCACTGCAAGTGGGTCAACGTGAGTCAATCGGGGTCAATGTGAGTCAATGGGGGTCATTGGAAGTCAAAGAATGTTGAATCAGGGTTGATAGTGGGTGCGAGGGTTCAGGGCAAACAGATGACAACAAACCATTTCTGTCCTTTCCCTGTCCCACTTTTTTTTCTCTCTGGTGGCTTCATGGTTATAACGTGTCAACGTGAGCATGTATCAGTGCACTCACCAGTATTCTGTTGCTTGCACAGGCACAGATTACTCACATCACCCATGCATCACTCAACGCCTGCTTGCCTATGTGTGCCCCTCGCCCCTCACTCCTCACCCCTCGCTGCTACGAGCATGGCAGGAGGCGGTGGTGTATCTGCACGTGCACTCCACCATGCCAGCAGGTCTCATTCATCGATACGCTGTGAGTGCTCTCATCTCATCTCTTGCCCCACCGACATCCACCTCCTTGTCAATCCTTGCATTCGTTGGCTGACTTATCTGCCTACCCTATTTGCTAAGCTGCTGACCTCTCTGTTGTTTTTTCCCCTTTATCCATCAATATCTGCCTGCATACTTCAGACGTGCTCCTCCCCTTCCAAGAAGCTTCCTCTGCTGTTGGATCTGCTACAGGCGGACCGTCCTACTGCTGCAATGGTGTTTGTCAGGCAACTGGTGAGCCACGGCGTGCCATGCTGTGCTTTGTTGTGCTATGCCATGCCGTGCCATGTTATGCTATGCCAGGCCGTGACATGCCATTACGTGCCATGACATGTTATGCTATAATCATGCCATGGCGCATTTTCTCCTGCAAGCGCGCATGCCACCAATCGACCGCTAATACCCTAGCCTCTTCTCATTGTCCTTCTCCTCAACCCCCCCCCCCCCCCCCCCCCCCCCACACCCCATTACCCCTTCCTCCCCGCTCCCTGGGCGCTCAGAGTGACAAGGAGCGCAGTGCAGGGAAGGAGGGTCCGTGTCGTGTCGTTGCATCCTTCCTCTCCTCTCACCTCACTGCCAGTGTCAACCAGCCTTTCACCAATGGCGCTGCAGTTGGAGATGGCACTAAGGTGGAGGGGGACAGCAGAGAGGAGGTTACCAAGGCAGGTCATGACACAAAGGCTGCGAGTGCTCAAGGGCATGGCAGCAGTGGGGTAGGGCCTCTGGTGTGGTGTTTGGAGGCAGAGGGCAATGTGCATGCTCGCACCAATGCTCTAGAGGTGAGACATGGGGGCGACTCTTGGATCATGGGGTTGTGAATACGGTAGAAACACATACGGTTTTTAATTTTCTTTTCGGTTAATCCAGTTGCCGGCGAATGCCGAGTACGAATTGTGCAGATTCGAAGTCTCAACAGTGTGTTCTTCTCCGCTGCCTGCTCTCCGCTACCATCACTCGCTTTGATGACCATGCAGGAGTTCCGGTCATCGTCAGCTCCTCATCGCATCATGGTAACCACCGACTTTGCATCGCGGGGCCTTGATATTCCCGCTGTCTCGCACGTGTACAGCGTTGACTTGCCTGGGGACACTGTGGTTTACACGCACCGTGCTGGCCGCACAGGAAGGGACCCGTTTGGGGGCCAAGGAGGGGTTGTCACATCGCTCGTAGGGAAGTCGGAAGCGTTTGTTGTGGAACGGATTGCCAATGAGCTCAACCTTTGCTTTGATGTGGTCTGTGATTCTTGAGAGGGTATGGAGGTGGTTCTGTTCGAGAAAGTGCTCAAGGTTATGCTTCCACTGGGATATTTCCATACAATGTCCAGAGGCCTCTGTACAGGTGACAGGACGTAGAGGCAAGTTGTTGTTGCACTGGAGACACAGAGCATGTGTTTTGGGTGCCTCTACAGGGCCCTGCCTACACTCTTGCCCAAGTCTACTTGCATTGCAACCCAGATCTGTACAGTCCTCCTTTATCGGGGCTAAGTTGGCTTGGATGCAATTACGGGGTCCTTGTGCCTTGACTCCCCCCTATATGGTTAATCCATTTGGGGAAATGCTTTTACAGAATTTTAACTTCATTTTGGGAAAATGTTTTGGGAACTGCTCTCTTTTCCACTCCCATACCTAGCTCCACAATGTAGATGTACCCTGGACGAGTGAGGGTAGTGCGAGGACCCTGTACTGTATTGGGAATCTGTCCCCGTTCAGTCGCTTTGTTTGTGCCGACAGTCACAAAGACTGTGACGCGTACCGCACCGGCCTACGAGTGAGGGTGCTGTACGCAGGCTGTGGGTTATAAAACGACAAGTATGTACAGAAAAGCAGTTACACTTTTCAATGCGTACAAGCAGTTTGACCCTCACCGCAAGGGGCGTGCTTGCCATACTACCAAAGCCTCCCCTTTCGTTCTTAGGCACCCTGCTAGTAGAGTTTAGGGAAGCTAGTTTCCCCAATTGAGAAGTGTACAATATCCATCTGGGCAAGGGTTTGCTGTGCACGGCTGATTCCCACCACACTTGTGCTCTATGAATATCCGGCTACCTAACAAAGTGCAGGAATTGAACAATGTCAGTGTGAAACGATCGGCAAAGACCATTCGAGTTGGAGTTTCTTCCCGAAAGCAACGTGGGCAGGGTGCTTCGTGGGTCTTGAGTCGCTCCAGATTGTGAAACATGACATAGCCCCATACAAACTCATGGAAAAAACGTGTTACCCGTTTGAACTAAAGTTACAGTAGTACGTAACCGTACTTGCAAGGTACAGTAATGTGGTTAGAGCAATTTTCAAAGGTGTGGGCAGGGAAGGCCACAAACCCCCCACGATACTGTAGCATCAAGCAGTTTCCGGAAACATCAGCAAAGGAAGCAGCGGCGCAAGACTCCAACAATGCCGACTTCGGTCTGTCACCAGATCTTCCAGGCTACCGTATGAACATTAGACACTTGCCCGAGATTGAAGAAGGGGCCAGCATCCCAATTAAGCGCTATTAAGGGGTCGCACTCGCTATATGCTGGTGTGGAAAAAACCACACAGCTGCTTTATCACTGCGTGGAGCAGAGGATGATTCAGTATGTCCTTGTTCGACAGAAATGTATCGACCACATGTACAGATGCACTCAAGAATGCAGAATGAACACACATTGCAGGTGTGAAAAATCAAGTGCGGGTTTTAGCAACCCCTCCCCCCCCACACCTCCAGCGACACCCTGGTTCGCAGAAGATAAACTCGTGGAAGTTGAACACAGGAGACACAACCCGGCCCAGCGTGTATTTCCCCCACACAATCCAGCAATTTTGGAGGCCCGTGATCAGGGGAATGCTGCACCAGTTGATAGCTGCTGCTGACACAAATGTACATTGCGCAGACGCGACGCGACGACGACCCACTCACGTGAGGGGTGGGCTACCTACACCACGCTGTACACCACGCTACACCAGTGCACCACGAACCTAGGCTCCACCATTCACAAGGAAAAGAGTTGCAAGGAATTTCCGCGCGCCAATTGTTTGCGCCTCCCTCAACAGGTCGTCCAATGCTGCTGCAAATGCCGATGCACACCCACCCAGCTTCTTGCGCAGATTTGCCCAACCCAACCCAACCTCATTTCTGGAATGTCGTACACCGACATCAATTTGCATGGGTCGCCTCTTGCTGGCTTGTTTGTCATGTATTTTTGGTCCCCGCGAGGTTCATCTGTTGCTTTCGTCCTTTCCCAGACAGATGCAAACGGTCTCTCGTTCTTGTGCTAGTAGCCCAGCATCGACTCACATGAGGTTTCTGGGAGTCCTCGTTTTCCGTCGAGAGTTCTTCACATTTCGCGATTTAGTTCCTACTCTCCACCTCACATAGCCACCACCATGATACCGCAAACCGCACTATCAGACATGCGATCTCAAATTTGGCAATCCCGCTGTCTCGCCCCTCGTCACCATAAACTGCGCATATCAATGTCTCCTGTGTTACCAGCGCTCATGCTACTATCAGCGCTGCTGATGTGCCATTTGGAACTGTCTTCGGGCCTACTCTTCGATTTTTTCCGACGTGAGCTCTTTCCCTCCTTCGCACACTCTCATTCTTCCTGCGTGTCAACTCTTTCCCCACTCTGATCATCACCCTCAGACATCTCCACATCCCCCGTTTTCTCGTCTGCTCGCCCCGTCTGCCATGCCTTTAGGCAAAAAGCCCAAGAAGCAGCACCCACCTCCGTACAAGTTCGGCGCAAATGCCGCAACGGCTCCCCTCGCTCCGCCGCATCTCAACGACCGCCGATTCCGCTTCGCGTCGATAGGCTTCAGCCTGGCGCTATCGCTGTGGCAGCTTCCAGCGAGCAAGGACTGGTCGCAGGACTCGAGCGTCGCGTCGCTGCGCGGTGTCGTGGACCAGGGCAACTGTGGTGAGCGCGCGCGCACATCCCGTTCCGCGAGCGCTGATGCTCTTGCGCACAAGTGCCAACATTTTGCGCCGCTGCCTGCCAACCCTTGCGGGCTGCCACGAAGAAACAATATCTCCCTGTTCCACCCCCCCGTTCCCCTACCGCCCATCCGCGCACCCTTCCGCAATCCCCGCAGCATCCTCCTGGGCCGTCGCGTCCGCGCAGGCCGTGGAGATGGCGTACGCGATACAGAACCCGTCGAGCAGCAGCATAGCTAACGTGTCGGTGCAGCAGGTTGTGGACTGTGCGGGCGTGGCGACCTCGTGCTCCGCGGGCGGGTGGCCGTCGCTTGCGCTGGACTATATGGCGGGCGCGACGGACGACAACGGCGGGGTGGTGGCGGACGACGATTACCAGTACACGGCCGCGCAGGGCACGTGCGACAACAGCAAGGTGAGCGAAAGCGGGCGACGCCGGTCGCATGCGGCGCGTGGCTAGGGGAGGGCGGACGAGGCGGTGGGAGGCGTAGGAGTGAAACTTAAGGGACGTAGGCGGCACGCGGCCTTCCTCTCCCCCGTTGTTCTACGCGACGTAGCCGACGTAACCCTCACTTCCCCACCCCCGTCTCCCCCGCGCGACCGCGGCGCGAGCAGGTGACGGGCGACGCGTCGAGCATCGGCGTGGTGGCGTTGGAGCAAGCGGACTTCCAGGGGTGGCTGGGGCTCGTGCTCGCCGTGCAGGCGCAACCCGTCGTTGCCTTCGTGCACGCCTCGCACGACTCCTTTCTCCTCTACAAATCGGTACTGCGCGCCTCTATCATCCCGCACCGCGCTGCTGCCGCCGCCGTTATAGCCACTTCCCGCTCATTTCGCTGCCCGCTGTCGTCTCCCACCTGCCATCATCCGCGCCCGCTGCCCTCTCAATTCGCGCCGCGAATTGCCTCTTCCGCCAACTCGGCAGTTTCCGCCTCTGCCCGCTCCCCTCCTGATCCGCGCGTCTCCGCATTCCCTTCCCCCTCTTCCCCCACCGCGCGCGCGCGTGCGTGCGCGGCAGGGCGTGTACGAGGACAAGGCGTGCGCGAGCGAGATCGTGGACCACAGCGTGCTGGTGGTGGGGTTCTCGCTCAAGCTCCCGCAGCCGTACCTCATCATCCGCAACTCCTGGGGCACCCACTGGGGCATGCAGGTGCGGGCACCGCCGCGCGGATAGGGGAGGGAGGAAGGGGGTATTCCGATGGGATGAAAGCTAGCAGGCGGAGCGGGGAGGCAGGCTGCTGCCGTGCCTGTATGCATCATGCGCGCGGCTTAGTCTTTAACTCCGCCGTCCTGCGCCACCTCTTGCTGCTTCGCCTCTTCCCCTGCCGCCGTGCCCTGCACTCTCTCTGCGCCGCCACTGTGCTTTACCGCTTGGTTTTTGTCTGCGCGCATCTCAACCGCTGCTTCCCCGCATTCCCCGCGCCCCCGCCCCTCCCCATGCGAATCCGCGCTGGCAGGGCTACATGCGGCTGGCCATTGCGGGCGGGCCGGGCATCTGCAACATCAACACAGTGCCGCCCGTTTACCCCATCCTCAAGAGTAGGCTTCTCTTTCTCTCTGATGCCGTAGAGATCGATACCATCGAACGCTGAATCGCTTTTTGGGAGTTCTCATCTCAACAGCATGTGCTTCTGATGGGCAGTGAGCAGAAGTACATTAGCGCTGCCCTATGCCCCGTACCGCCGCCCACGCTCATCCTCCTCTCAATGCGTCCACCACCCCCCTGCCCGTATCTTCTCCCGTCCACCGTCTCATATCCCCTCTCTCCACCCCCCTTCACCCCCCGCTATCGATCGCTCGCTCGCCCGTGCAGCATCCAGCCCGTGCAGCGGAGCCATCAACCCGTGTGGGTCAGGGACGTGCAATGCGGGGTCAGGGGCGGCGTACACGTGCACGTGCCCCAACAACTTTGTGTCCGTGCCCGGTTTCAACAGCCTCCCCTCATGCGTGCCCAGTAAGCCTCCCCTTGCCACCGCTGCCTCTGCCACACACACCCCGCACACTGCACACGCCGCACTCTGCACACGCTGCATACAACGCACGCCACGCACTCCTGTCTCCATGGGCCTCCTTCTCCTGCTCACCCTACTTGCTCGTCTCTGCAATTGCTGCTTGCCGGACTTATGCCGCCCGTGTCCACCTGTCCGGCTGCTTCTGTAAATCGCACCAACTCACCTCCGTGTATCACTTGCTGTTCTCCTCCCCGTTCTTTCCCTCCTGCATCGCCGGGCAGAGAAGCAGTGCACACTGGGGCCGTTCAACCCGTGTGGCACGGGCACGTGCATAGACGACAACGCAGGCAGCTACTTCTGCATCTGCCCGCCGCTCTTCGTCTCCGGTGACAAAGCCAATGGCAACCCCACCTGCGTGCCTGGTGCGTCCTCCCCTCCCCTCCCCCACACCCCTCTCCCGCCACCCTTTCCTCTCGCTCCCTGCCCCATCGAAAGCCCATTATCCCAAACGCCTCTCTTGTACTCCACTGGTCTTAATCCCTCCGTTCAACCCCTACCACTCCCCCCTCACTCCCCTCCCGCCGCCTCCACACCCCACGTGTCCTGTGCACGCGTGTGCTGCAGACCCGAGCCCATCAGGCGCAGTGTACTTTACCCCGCCCAAGAGCGTGGCGTGCGAGCTCGTGTACGGCATCAATGGGCTCACCCGCGCGCAGTTCCTCTCCCTCAACCCCTCCCTGCGCAACAACATCAATGTAACCCGCTCTTGCTCTGCCTGCCTGCCAACCAACCTGTGCTCCTCCTCACCATGCCCTCATTCACCGCCCCAACACGCGCCATCCATGCTCGCCCTGTCCTCAGCCGCCTCTCACGGCCTCCCGCGTCTCTGTGCGTGCGTCCTTTACCCCCCATGCGGCAGCCGGCGGTGTGTGACGACATTCCTGCCAACACGCAGGTGGAGGTCACCCGCCCGTCTTCAGGCGCCATCAACTGCGCGCTCTTCTACTCCTGGGACACGGTGCGCTGGGAGGGGAGGAAGCCAGATGGGGAGAGAGAGCGCGAGAGGGAGAGGGGCAGGGAGAGGGTGAAGGAGAGGGAGAGGGAGAGGAGAGGCAATAAATGGATCGTGGCAGTTGCTGTTGGGGCAGTCTGGCTTTGGGGGTTTGGGTCCGGACACCCTTTGCCAATTGCTTGAGGCGCTTATCAGGGTAGCGTGGGCGTGTCGGCAAGTGTTGCTGTTCGAGTGAAGTCCGAGTACCAGTCAACCGTTGGAAACTAACTCCCACGCTTGTTCTTCCTCCCCTCCTCATCTTGCTCCTCCCTGCGTGGTGTGGCGTGCAGCTGGACACATGTGTGGAGGTGGGAGCACTGTTTGGCATCACCCCTGGCACGTTGGACAACCTCAACCCGGGCGTAGACTGTGTGCTCAACCACCCGCAGCTCACCCAGCAGGTCGACCCCACACACCCTGCATGCTCGCATTCCCTTGTCACTACAGTTAACCCTACTTCACCCCTCTTCACCCCATTGTACTCATTAGAATTGACTGATTTCTCATTTCACCACTTCTCTGCCTCCCTCTCTCGCACCTGCCACCCACCCCTCATCTGTCCCCTCCCCCCCCCCCCTCCCGCTTGTCTCCCTCGAAAACATCCTCCCCCGTCCTTGTTTCCCGTGAGCCAGGTGTGTGTGCGGCAGGGCACGGCGTCAATAACGCGGTGGTGCACGCAGTGGCACACGCTGCGAGACAAGGACTCGTGCAGGCGCATCGTCATCACGTATAGGAAGAAGCTCTCCCTGCGCCTGCTCTACGAGCTCAACCCTGGGCTGCGCTGCCGCCACCTCTTCCCTCTCACCTCGCTGCTACCCGGCGCCAGCATGAAGGCCACGGGGCAGCAGCTGTGCGTCGCAGGCACAGCGCCGCAGTCGTACACCGCTGCCACACCGGCATCGCTCACTCCCGCAAGGATAACCAGGGAGGAGCAGGAGGAGGAGCAAGCACCTTTGGTACGCACTTCCACACCCGCACGCTCGTGGCTTGCCGGCCGCCTCTACCACCGCAGCGCATCGCCGCGGCGGCAGCTGGCAACGTCGTGCAGGAAGGCGTACACGGTGGTGCGGGGGGACACGTGTGCGCGCATCATCTCCCTCTACTTCCAGAACAGCTCGCGCAAACTGGCGGACCTGAATAACGGCTATGTGTGCACCAATGACCGCCTGTATGACGGGCTCAGGCTGTGCACGCAGAGGTAGTTGGGGTGGAGCCATGCTCCTGTTGGAATAGGCGTGTTTCGCAGGGTACCGTAGGGGTAGGTAAATGTTGTTGCTGTAACTGCTTAGGCCTAATAAGCCTCTATTTATGTTCTTGTAATATATTACACATGTTGTGATATTACACCATTTTTTCCATGGTATGTGAAACATTGTTTTCAATAGAGAATGAAGTAACCTTGCAATTTGCAATATATTCTTAATACTTCCCTTCTCATCACTAAGACACAGTGCATGGCAGGCAGTTGACAAATGAGCACATGGCTGGCATGGCAAATACAGTATCATGTGGGATCTACAAATACGGTAGCTGCCTGCACTGCACTGCACCATCTCACATGGTACATCCACAATTTGCCAGTGCACTGCACTCCACCAGCTCACCTGCGCACAGCCTCACCAGCCCGGCCCTGACTCCTCAAGCGCCGCAGCACCTCCCAGTGGCGCCTACATGATGGATCCACATGCACCGCCGCCTGCACCATCCCCAGAGGGTTCTTTCCCCCACGCACTCCTCCTCCACTCCCTTCCCTCCCCCTCTCTGTTCCTCCCTCACTCTTCTCTTTTGATTCACCTCCCCTGTCTCCTCCACCCTCCCCTGCTGCCCCACCTTTCCCTCCCGCGCCCCCACCCCTACCTGCTCCTCCCCTCCCTCCTCCCCCTCCTGCTCCCGCCCTGCCTTCCCCAATTCCAGCAGCAGATGCGCCTTTCTCAGATGTACCTTTCTCAGGCGCACCTGCCCCTGCCTCCAGCCCTGCTAGAGCTTCTCCTAGTGCAGCTAGCACACGGGCTGGGCGGCAGACAGAAGGCCATGCCGCCCAATCCTGCTGTAGGTGGGCGGCGCGCTTGCGAGGGGCGGCAGAGCGAGAGGCGGCAAGGGAGTCAGCAGAGGAGAGCAGGAGGTGAAGGTGGGGGAAGAGAGAGGAGGAGGGAGAGGAGACAGAGAGGAGGGAGCGACGTGCGGCGAGAGGGAGAGAGGAGTCGGAGGAATTGACTTGGTGGAGGGAGAGGAGGACAGAACCTGTTGGGTAGGAGGATGAGGGGGCAGGGGAGGAAGTTGATTGTTCATGAATCCAAAAGCGATGGAAGAGGGAAGGCGTTGGGAGGCAGCAACAAGCAACAGGAATAGGAAAGTGACAAATGCAGCACGCAGTCACACAGGCATGTCAACTGTACCTAGAAGCACATGAGCTACGTCGAGCAACGGTTGCACAGCTGCCCCTGACATTCCACCTGCCCCTGCTGCCTCCTTGAGCGACCCCACCACCCCCTCCAACACACTCCTAGCCTCACTCATCTCGCCCTTCTCTGCACCAATCACAGCCTGCCACATCTGCACCACTGACATTAACAGCAACTTGTTTTCGCCTTGCCCCTGCAGTCCTTGTGCTTGCAGTGCTGCCACCACTGCTTCAGCCTCTTGGTAGAAACCAGAGGAGAAGAGAGACGAGGCAGAGGCAAGTGATGGGAGCAGAGAGGCAGGGAAGCTGGGGGTGACTGGAGGCGGGGCACGAGATTCTGTTGCAGGCTGCTGCAGCGAATGGCACCGCGCCACCTGGCATTCAGCACAGGCGCGCAGCGCTGCTTTCTGATTGGCTGATGAGGGTGAATCGGGGAGGAGGAGGCACTCTGAAAGGGCGTGGGAGGCGAGGGAGAGCGAGAGGGGGGCGAGGGAGAGTGGGGGCTTTAAGCTGTCAAGGGTAGAGGTTGGAGAGTAACAGCAGCGCGCAGCACACTCAGACGCAGACAAAAGAGAGTGCACCCAGAGCTCGCGCACCAATGGCGGTGTGCCAGCTGGCGCCTTGGCAGAAGAAAGGTGGAGGAGAGAAAGAGAGGGAGATGGAGCGGAGGGAGAGGAAGGTGAGGGTGGTGGGGAAGGGAAGGTGGTGTGAATGAGGGAGAGGAGGGAGTGGGAGAAGCGGAGCAGGGAGATGGAGAGGGACGAGGGAGGGGGCAAGGGAGCACCGAAGGGAGACACGTGGGAGGAAGGCGAAAGGGAGAGGCGGAGGAGGAGGAGGCGGAGGGTGGGATCGGTGGGGCGAGTGTGAATAGCCCTGCACACGAAGGGGAGGGAGGGGGGAAAGTGGAGGAGGGGGGCGAAAGCGAGAGAGATGGGTGAACGATGGGGCAATGCAAAATGTGGAAGAGCACGTGACCCCGGCCCAAAAGCGCTCGTGCTATGCGGCATAAGTCGCTACACAAGCAATGTGACCTGCCTGCCTGCCTCCTAGTGACCTGCCCATGCCTCTCCCACGAGCACACACCCCCCCTCCCCCCCCCCCCCTCTTCTCCCCCAACGTGCCTGGCCAGCAGCCGCAGCTGACTGCGTCCCGACAGGTGGCTCTCCCTCGCACCACCCTCTTCCACACTGCCCCCGCTGCTGCTGCTACCACTGCTTCCAGGCACAGCAGCAGGCGTGGCAAGCGGGGCCTGGGAGTGTAAGCAGGCCCCTGCGCCATGCGCCGTGCCTCCCGCACACGCACTGCACGCCAGCCGTGTGCTCGCCTGCACGCGCACCACACTCTCCTCCACTGTCCCCGCCGCACTGCCTCCGGTGGTGCGGTCAGGGGGGGCGGGGGTGGTGAGGAGAGAGGGGTGCGGAGGAGGGGGGTGCGAGGAGAGGGCTTGGGGCGCCAGGCCGATGATGCGCGCAGCTCGAGCCGGGTGCGAGGGAGAGAGAAGGTCCGCCAGACAGGCCCTGGTGTGGGGGGGGGGGGGGTTGAGAGGAGGAGAAGGGGGGAGGGGGGGGGGGGGAGAGATGCTGAATTCCACAGTATGTTGTGTTGAGGTAGTGTTGGGAGAGAGGGGGAGAGGATGGAGAGAGAGAGCGGCGGTAAGGAGAGAGATGGATGGGAGAAAGGGAGAGGATGGGGAAAAGGGGGGAAGGGAAAAGGGAAACGGAGCAAGGTTGATGGGGTTTAGACTGTGAGTGTGAAGCAGGCAGCAGAGAGGGTGGAGGGGCGTGACGTACCTGAGCAGGAGGCTATCGGGAAAGTGATGCAGCGAGCGGATGAGATACTTGAGGGCACGTGGCAGTTGACCCTGCCAGGCCCACACGGGTGGACAAAACAGATGGGGAGTCGATACAACAAACGAGGTGGTGAGGTGAGGTCGGTTGGAGGCGGGAAATGAGGCAGAAGTTATTTACATACTGGAGAGCCTAAGAAGGAGAGAGATGGTGAGGGAAAAAGCATGCCACGAGTGCATGGATTGCAAGTGCTCCCAGCAGCACAGCAAGGTAGAACTGGCAGCACTGGCAGACAGCACCTTGGCAGCGAGTGAGACCCCGAGCAAGGCATGTGCTCTGGGCGCCATGAGAGGGTCGCTGAAGACAGGCCGGTACTGCTGCACCGCACGCCCTATCTCCCCCTCGTCCAACGACGCTGCTGCTGCTGCCAGCGCCGTCAGCGACACGTCAACACGCGTCAGCGCCAGGTCACGCGCGAGAGAGGGCGAGAGGAAGAGAGAGGGGGCGAGTGATGCAGGCGGTGCTGGGGAGGATGGGAGAGCGGGGGGGGAGGCAAGGAGAGCAGCGTGGAGCTTCACTGCTGCCGCTGAGAGGAGGGAGTGAGAGGAGGACGAGGAGGAGGAGGATGGAGATGGGGATGGGGACGGTGCAAGGTGTGTGGCTTGGGTGGTGGCGAGGGCGACAACAGCAAGGGCGTCGTCGTGGAGCGAGCAGTGGTGCAGCGCGAGGGCGAGCGCGAGCAGTGGGCGCACCGGCCACTTGGAACGGTCTGGAGAGACGGTGGACGGGGAAAGAAGGAACGAGGGAAAGGGTGTTGAACTGACCAGGGAGGCTTGGGAAGGTAAGGAGACGCAGGAAAAGGATGGAGAGGAGGCAGGCAGGCGGGTAATGAGGAGAAGAATGTAGAATGGAGAATGGTGAAGAGGAGTGTGGGTTGGAGGCAGCTTGGAACGAGGCTGGGTTCACACCTCGAAGGGAGTGAGCAGAGTTAAACTCCACTAGTGCCTCGCTGAACCGCCGCGCCTGTCATACCATGGCATAGCAACCCTAAAGACATGCATGAGGGGTAACGTGGAGATGGTTGCATGATGAACAACATGCCTGTCACAGCAGCACGCCACACTGCCGGAACCCTTTCACCCACTCATCCACCATACGCATGCGCACGTGGGGGCATGCACCCATACTTTTCCCAGCAGCAGGGCACATACACAGAGCAGGCACTAGGGGACACGAGGCACACTCTGGCCTTGAGGATCAAGGTGACTGCACAGGGATCAGCAGTCGCCTCCGCTGCAGGAAGGCACATCGTAGCACACACATACCGCTGTGAGGGCCATGCCCACTTGCACATACGCCAGCCACACTCGCTCTGCAGGTCCTTCCTGCTGCAGCAGTAGCTGCTTGGCGGATTGGAAGGCGTGCAGGGTGACCGAGGGCAGGCCGCGCGCACAGGCAGAGAGGCCGAGGAGGAAGAGCGCCTCGGGAGATGCGGGGCTGCTGCTCGCCAGGTGGGCCAGCGCACAGAAGACCTAGTGGCACAGGTTGACACGAGTGGAAAGGGTGGCGTGTGGGTGTGGAAGGTAGTAGGGAGGCTGTGCGAGTGTGCAGTCAATGGTGGCATGTCTGGTGGCTCGCTACACGGCACAGGTGCACTCCCACACAAGCCATCCCATCCCTCCCCAGACCAGTTCATCCCATCCCATCCCATTTCATCCCAGACCATCCCATCCCTGTTCATCCCATTCCACCGCAAAGCACCTCTGCCTGGCCCAGCCTGCCGCAGCGAGCTGACAGCTGTCCGAGCACATGTTGGGCGCATGGCGGCTGGACACAGAGAGTGGGGAGAGACAGCGAGGGGGGAGCGAGAGAGGGAGGGACAGAAGAGGGAGAATGGAAATGGAGAAAGGGGGAGAAGATGGATACTTGGAAATTAATCAACAGCCAGGACATTGTTTACAATTCTAAACTAGAAATTCCTGGAAAGAGGGGGATGAAAGACAGACAGGAAGTGTGTGGGTGGGGGGGCAATGGACAACACAAGAGGACACAGAAGCGCCTCCTGCCAACCCTGCGTGCAGCCACCCTCTCAACTCAGGAGTCAGCATCCCCACCTCTCAGTGCTGACCTCTTCTCTGGCCCTTCCTTACCCCTTCCCCCTCTTCCTTCCACACCCGTGCAAGCACTGACCGGGTTGGAGCATGCAGTGGCAGCAAAGAGCGCATCGGCCATGGCCGCATGCAGCGATGGCCTGGCATGTGGGTGGGGGGTTGGCAGCAGGAGACGGGGTGGGGAATGGGGGCAGGAGGTGGATGACCCATGATCATAGGCAGGCTGAAGGGAGGAACAGACGAGATTGCAGAGCAGAGGGGCTAGATGGAGTGATGGTGGAGAGGAGAGGCAGGACATGTACAAGGGCAGAAAAACAGGACGCGAGGGTGCACTTTACCTGCTTTCACCATCATCATCACCAGCAGAATCAGCAGCAGCATCACCATCGTTGCGAGTGCTGCTAAGACCAGCAGTAGCAGCAGCATCGGGGGGATTGGTGTGTGGCGCATTAGCTGCCGGTGCAGCAGCGAGAGCGCCCAGCTGGCAGGCTGCAGAGGCAACCCAGGGGGCGGCAATGAACGGGTCTGCCACACGCGCACGGGCGAACGCCTGTGTGGCAAGCTTTGACTGCTTCTGGTGAAGGTACACCTGAAGAGAAAGCAAGAGGAGCGATGGGACGGGGGAAGAATAACAGAAAGTGTGAGGTACACGGGCACGTGTCTGACAGACGAGTATACAGCTCGTGTTGCTGTGTTTGTGATTACAATGTGCGCAGCATGTGGTCTCAACAACACACGGTGAGTGGTATCAACAAGACTCTGCCAGGCATGCATGCAGGAAGGCAGGCGGCAGCGGCGGCGTCAGCAGCAGCAGCACGCACCTCCCCCAGCAGCACCCAGGCGAGGGCATGCAGCGGGTCAAGCATGAGGGCATGCACGAGTGCATGCTGCTGCACCTCTGGCCACTGCCACCCCACCACGGCTGCCAGCACCACCCATGCATGCGCCCCCGCCACGCCCTGCTGCCCCTGCAGCGCTGGCAGCAGCAGGCGAGGGGGCAGCGCACTGGGGTGGGGGGGTCAAAAGTGCGGGAAGGGGAGGAGGGGGAGTTGAGGGAGGTTTTGGATGGAGGGACAGAGATGTGGAGAGAAACGCTGAGTGCGTGGAGCTGGCATGGGTTGCATGGGTAGCTCAAGTGCCACTGGCATCAGTCAAAGCTAGCACATGACGCCACACTTGTGTTGCTTGATAAAGGCACGTAAAGGCGTGCTTAATTCATTCCATTCAAGACTGACAGATGAACGCTGACGCTCACAGTAACACAACACGTCCCATGCCACACACGACCATGCCATTGCCATACCGTAGCTCATCCACACATGCAGCGTCTAGAACCTCTGCCTTGGCCTGCCCATCACCACCCGCATTCCCACACTCCACCTCCTTCTCCTCTCCCCCGCCACCTGCTTCCACCAGCTCCGCCCATGCCCTCCCCTTGGCCGCCGCTGCCAGTGCCAAATCCGCCCACAGCCTTCCCCCAACCTGCCCCCCTGCGCCCTTCACTTCCCCCCCGCCCATCCCCCCTGCTTCAGGTACCCCCAAGCTGAGGAAAGAGGAGAGGTGGGGGGAGTCAGGGGGAGGGGGCGCGGAGGGCGAGGGGGAGAGGTGCAGCGCGTGCGCGTAGGAGCGCAGGGCGGAGGACGCCAGGCGGAAGCGGTGGCGGCGCCATGTGAGGAGGGAGAAGGGGGCAGGGGATGCAGGCGCGGTGGTGGAGGAGGCATGGGCAGGGGAAGGTGCGGCGAGAAGCACGGCTGAGTGACGGAGCTGATTGGGGTGGGGGTGGGGGTGGGGAGAGAACAGGGTGGAGGGGGAGTGAGGAGCAGAGGAGAGTACTTGTTCAGGTGAAGCGAATAATCAAGCAGACATGACCCTCGCATGAACCACTGAGAAGGTGCTTCGTAACGCATCAGTTACCTGTACCCTCCTCCAGCAACTCTCGCCCCCCTCCCCACGGCTCAAGTGCAGTCCCTGAGAGTGCTGCTGACCTGCTCCTCATGGTATCAGAGACACACCTCGATGTCACCAAGAAGCTTCCAGGTTGTTGCGGATGTGGGATGGTGGGATATGGACGCACGGGCACTGGCAGCTGCAGCCTGGGAGCAGGGATGGGATGCATGCAGTGTGGGCAAGACGAGAGGCAAGGGGGGATGGTGTCAATGGTCATGGGCATGGGCATGGGCATGGGCATGGGTATGGGCACAGAAAATGGGCAGTATGGGAATATCGTTGAACCCAGTGGGCCTCTGTTGGCAGGCCAGGCAGCGCAGGCTGTATGGCCGGCAAGACATGCGCCTATGCTGACATGAGGCATGTGGGAGGCGCATGGGAGGCACATGGGAGGCACATGGGAGGCACATGGGAGGCACATGGGAGGCACATGGGAGGCACATGGGAGGCACGTGGGAGGCACGTGGGAGGCACGTGGGAGGCACGTGGGAGGCACGTGGGAGGAATGTGGGAGGCATGTGGGAGGCACATGGAAGGAATGTGGGAGGCACATGCAGCATGTGAAGAGAGGCTGCACATGTGGATGGCAAGGAGACATTCAAGCAGGTAGGCACGCGGCATAGGTGCAAATCAGGGGAGGCGGGGTCACCAGCAGCAGGTCGTTGGCCCATGCAGCAGCGCCAAAGGAGGCCACGTGGCATGCGAGGCCGTAGCGCGCTGCTGCCAGCCCCCACTGCACCGTGGCACTGCCTGCCCGCTGCGCCTCCGCGTACGAGAACAACTCCAATGCCTGATGGGGCGTGGCGTGCCGTGGCACGGGAGATAAGTGGCATGTGGCGGAGGGGGAGAAGGGGGGGAAAGGGGGTTGGTGGTGTGGAGATGGGTGGTGGTGGTGAAGGGTGGAAGGGGAATGGCAGGGAGTGCGCGATGAAAGAGCATGAAGAGGAAGGGTGGGCATGCAGGGGATGGACTTGGGGCGAGGCGACATGTCAAGCTGCATGAGGGAGAACCCCACAGAGATACCGGTGGGTGCCACGAGAGGAAACGAAGACACATAGTTACATTATCACATGGTTACATGGTTACATGGTTACATGATTCCATGGTTACATATTTACACAATCACATATGGTCTCATGGCTACATGGATACATGGCTACATGGCTACAGGAAGAGGAGGGAAAAGAGAGTCGAAGTGAGAGAGAGAGAGGGTTTGGGGCAGGCGGAAGGGAGGCTGGAGTGTAAGGAGAGCGAGACACGGTAGTGGAGTGGGCGCAGGCAGGGAGTGGGCAATGTAGTGGGCGAGCGGTGGAGGGCGTACCTGGGAGTAGTTGCTGCGCTCCAGCTCAATGTGCCCACTCTGCTCCAGTGCAAACACTGCACATGCCACGTCACTGCTGCTCACACCGCCACGCGACTCAGCAGGGGGAGAGGCAGTGGCGAGTGCAACAGAGGCAGGGACGAGGGCCTCCAGGGCGCTTGCCACGTGCGGCAATCCCAAGGTGATCACCCGGCCATAGGCCTGCAGGGAGGAACGCGGGTGGCGAGGGGTGTGGGGTGGTGGAGAGCGTTCGGAGGGGGAGATGGGGATGTTGGAGGCAACAGAGTGGCATTGAGTTGAAGGTAAAAGGGGGGGGGAGGGAGAGAGGCGAGGAATGAAAGACACAAGACACGTGGTGCAAACAGAGGGATTATAGACACGTGCAGGGAGGTGAATGGACACGTGGTAGGGAGGGCACCTTGAGAGCAGCGGAGTGTCGACCGAGCCGCTGGTAGCACAGGGCAAGGGCCTGACAGGACGAGGGGGGCGTGTGCAGGAGAAGGAAGTGCACGGGAGAGTGGAGTGGCATGAGCAGTGTGTGGCGGTGGTGGTTAAGTGCAGACAGGCAACAGACAGTGAGCATGGTGCATGGTGCCATCAACAAGGCACTACTGCTGCGGTGCCGCATGCATGAGTGAGTGTGCAATACAGGGCACGGAGTGTGCGTGTGGATATGGAAGTGCGTGTGCGTGTGTGTGTATACCCGCCAGCACGCGGCATCTCGCACGAAGCCCTTGATGGCGGACTGCAGGCACGGCACAGCAGACTGCCACGCGGCCTCCTCCGCATGCAGCAGCCCCAGCAGCCGCCACGCCCAGAAAGCCCGCGTGCTGCCCTCTACTGCCCCGCGGCACAGCGCCACCTGCAGCGACCGCTGCCGCACCGCCCCCCGTCCCCCCGCCAGCAGGTGGAAGGCCGCCTCCTGGGGGGAGAGAGAGGCAGGGAAGGGAAAGGGGGAGACAGAGGGGCAGACAGGGGGAGAGGAAGAAGATGGATGCGAGGAGGAGGCGATTCGGAGAAGAGAAAAGGCCAGGAGAGGGTTTAAGTGCGAGTGCATGCGTGTAATGCGAGTGTGGCTAGGTGTGTGCACTGGGGCAGCGCATCTCACCCCAGCGTCTTGGTCTTCGGGATTCACGCTCACAGCCTTCTGAAAGCACTTCACCGCTCGCCCCACGTCCCGCACCACCTCCTCCCCAACCCCCCCCTTCCGCGCCCTTTTCCGCTCCCCCGCCGCCCACCACGCCTCCGCGTGTCGCCCGTCCCCGTGTTGCGTTCCGCACGCGCCTGCGCGCGGGATAATCCCCTGGAAGCCCGCAAAGAAATAGCCCAGGCAGCGGAAGGCGTCCGCGCTGCCAGGGCTCAGCTTGCCCGCCTGAAGCCACTCTGTGTACGCTGCCGCGCGCACTGTCGCCCGTGCTTCATTTCCCCCCGGCTCTCCGCCTCCGCCTGCCGACGTGGCGGTTACCGCTGCCCTTTCCTCCGCGGAATTCCACAAGGTCTCGCCCTGATCGCGGGGAACGCGGACACGATGCGGAGGAGAATAAGGTATGCGTGGACGGGTGCGACACGGACGTCACGTCAAACTTCAGAACGAGCAGCACAAATCGACGTGAGGAGATAGAGTAAGCAGCTTGGAATGTTAGGAATGGGTCATTACCAGCAGAAGATGGTACTCGCTCTCGTCGGGCCGCGCGGATACGGCCGTGCGAAGAAGATCGGCGGCTTCGGACCACCCGCGGCGAGCCAGCGCGAGGCGCGCGAGGCCTGCGAGAGCCGCATCGTCCGCAGGGTTGGCCTGCAGGGCTGCACGAAGCGACGCCTCGTCTGGCGTCGCGCCCTCCATTTAGATCGTGTTTCCGAGAAACACGCTGACAGAGACGCCAAGAAGGTTCTATACGGCGATGCTCATGCTCTTGTACACCAAGGCCCAGGCCCGCATGTGACGCAAGTACACTAACGCGGTATTTAGTCCCCAACTAGGTAGACATGGCAAGCACACTAGCAGATTTTAGTGTTTCCACCAGGCCCCCAGATAAAAGCTGATTTCGGAGGAAATGACAAATCGCCCTAGTTTCTAGTTTCCAATTCCAATGGGCGGTGGTTTTGACAGCTCATCACTCCCAATCCCCACGGGCAGTATAATTTGCCTTTCCCAATTCCCGTGACCAGCCGACGTCTACAACTTCTTGTATGCCCACTGCGGTTAACTTCTTTTCAACACGGTGAAGAGCGGTAAACGTAGAGAACCGCTTTTCACCGTGTTGGACCGTCCTGAACCACGATACAAGAACTGTTAACACATGAGAAAATGTTTAACCTAAAGTCGCCCTAAAAGGGCGAGTAAGGAGTTTTACCTGATTTCAGTCTATTGCCAAGTGGCAAAAATAAAGGGGTTTTATATAGCCATCATAAAACTTTTCGGAGTTATCACGACCAGTCACGGCGCTATCACAAACGGTCACAAAACCCGCCAAATCTATCACGAACCATCACACGGGTATCACCCGCCGTCACTCAAAGGCACTAAAATCTATCACGGGTAGTCACACTCGAAAGTTTGATCTCACAGATGAACCCTGTCATCATTTCGTTGACCCGCGCTGAAACACTGTACAGATTTAGGGACTATATTTCGGGTTGGGGGATTTTTTTTTTTTTTCGTTCAACAAATAATGTACCGTAGCAGATATAACCAAGCACTCATCCAACCGTTGAACGAACTACAGCGGCCACACTCCAAGCACATCGTTTGCCCGTGTTGCGAGTCCGAGCGACACAGCACAAAACAGGACCTGTACTCTAGGCTTGAACATATGGACCTAGACAGAAAAAGGAAAAGAAGGGAAAGAAAGATCCAACGAGGAGAAGGGAAATGAAGAAAGAAAGGGAGAAGGAAAGTGAAACTGCCACAAAGAAACCAAATGCAACACACATAAAAACCCCCCTCAAGATACCCAATCAAAACCCCCAATCAAGACACCCCATCAAGACGTCCCATCCCACACCCCATTCCCCCCCCCCAATCACAACAGCGTATCCACCATGTACGGGGCCTCCACCCAAAGAGCCCCGCCTTCCACATCGACGTCGTCCCTCTCCCGATCGACCAAGTCTACGTTAATTCCTCCCATGGAAGATGCCGCCCGAAGCAGGATGACTCGGGCCTGCGCACGTTGTAACGCCACCCCGATGAGCGCCTTCAGTGACCTAAAAGATAAGCCGAAAACACAGAGTCGTCCTCCCGACAAGCCCCCCGCGACACAGCTAACCCCATGTGCGCCGAAGCCACCGCCGAAAACGACCGCCGAGACACCCCCACGTCTCTACTATCAGAGGGGTGAACTGCACGCCCCGGTTGCGTGCAAGCAGAGGCGCGTAATCACTCGTTTTGCAACGCTCCCACTCTCTTGCCGCCACACCTATTTGACGCCCGCACTGTCCTAGCAGAGATGGAGACATCGATAGCGGGTCCGCGACGCTGATCTCTAGGGCGTGAGCCTCTCCAGCCATTGGTCGTCGCACCGCCACATCAACCCGCTTCCCTTGCAGCACCACACTATCCTCCATTGTCACCACCCCCCCCGACGCCTTAGAGATCTTCGCCACCGCAAACTTCACCTCATCATGCACCCGAGATGGACCATGCTGGTGCTTGCATCTCAGGGCATGATGCGGGTCTGCTGGGTCAACATACACTGTACCACAAACACACCTCCCCGCCACCTGCAGCTGCTGAATTTGGAGCCCGAGCCGTATAGCAGCAGCAATGCCCCACTCGGCCGCAGTGAATGTGAGATCTGAGTGAGCCGGAACCGCCGAGACCCATGCACCTGCCCCCGGGCCCTGAAGGGATGTGAAACGGGCCAAGGTAGCATCGTCACAAGCCAAACGGCGCAGTGCCTGGAGCTCCTCTACAGCTAACTGCCGCTGCCGCGCCTGGAAAAGCCGAACAGGAGGGGCCGCTACACACAGAGGTAAGCCCGGTATCTCCTGGCGGATAGTCGCTGGCAGCTGCTCAAGAGCCTTGGCAAACCACGGGTCAAGAAACTCTGCCCCTGTCGAAGTGGTGAGGTACTCTGCAAACATCGCCTCCTCGCCCGCCACCCCTAACTGTGCAATGTCACGCGCGGCCTGCGCCCACCCACAAACATAGGACAATGTGCTCAAAGAGGCCGCCGCCCGGATCCCGAACCCTCCGAGTCGCACAGGGAGATGCAGCTGCATGCGTGCGCGCCTAGACCGGTCGGGGTCCTGCTCCCAAGTGCCAGGTGGGAAAAGCTGCTCAAAACAATCCTCTAAACAGCTGTCCCAATCCCTAAAAGCCTCAACCACCTCCGGGCGCGGCGGCATAGTCCGTGCGCGGTACATCGGCCGCGCTGAAACTGCAATGGCGAGGAGGTGTGAAGCCATCTGGGGGTGGTCGAGCAAGGGGAGCCATGGCAGTGGCGCCTGCAACTGTCGAAGCCGCTCCCGTAGCCGGACCACCTCCCAAACCTCCTCCCCAATAGGCACGCCCACCACAGTAAGACCCTCATCCACCCGCTGCATCCCCAATGGCAGTGCCCGCTCCACCTCCCTGCCCTCGCGCTCCAAAAACCGGCACTTGTGCGCCTGCACCTCCAGCCCCACCCACTCCAACCGCTCCCGCAGCACCCCAAAAGCCTCCAAAATCCTAGCCGCTGGCCCCAAAATACGTGTATCCAAGTCATATAAATATAATTTTTAACGAAATATAAATTGTGCGTTCCAAGTCATGGATGCGCTATTATCTTGATAAACATTTAGGCAGATTCAATGAATTGTGAAATCTAGCAATGTATATATGCGTTAGAATCATTCATTGTTTTCATTTTATTAATGTGTGTTACGTCGAACCGAACGTAACCAGGTATCTTTGCGACCAAAATGGTCGCGTATACAGGACAAAATCACCTAGCCCGAAATATAGTCCCTCAATCTGTACAGTGTTTCAGCGCGGGTCAATGAAATGATGACGGGGTTCATCTGTGAGAGCAAACTTTCGAGTGTGACTACCCGTGATAGATTTTAGTGCCTTTGAGTGACGGCGGGTAATACCCGTCTGATGGTTCGTGATAGATTTGGCGGGTTTTGTGACCGTTCGTGATAGCGCCGTGACTGGTCGTGATAACTCCGAAAAGTTTTATGATGGCCCATATAAAAACCCAAAAATATACCCTTCTCGGACGACGAGCCATTTGAGAGGCATCAACCCTAGACACCTTGCCTCATGTGTTTATGGATGCCTTCTACTTACTTCCTTTTCCTTACTTCGCGTCCCCGTTCAGCGCGTACACCACTATAGCACCACAGTCAGCACCGTTACCACTCGCAACCCTCGCATCGACAATCCTCCCGCCACCTTCGCACGTCGCACCCCGACCTCACGGCTCGGCGGGTAACCCGCGCTCCGGACCTCCGCTTCGACATTTCCCCAAACCTTAGTCCCAGGCCCGTTGCGCGACAACCACAGTCCATTACCGTTACCACGGTAGTTTCGCTATATATTCTTCGCTCATGCCTTCGCTCATTGTACTCTTGCTTCGATAGTGCAATTCTCGCTCGACCACTCAATTGCACCCGTAACACTTGGTATTCAGAGCCTACGATCTCTTCTCGGACCGCACCCACACCTTCGCTTCCCCACTATCTCATTTTTTTGGGGGGGTAGACGTCTCTCAGCGACACAGCACCGCCGCTCGTAGTGCTCTCTCGTAAGCACGCACGGCCACGACAGAGGCTCTCGCTGAGCTTGCCCGACACCCCCACCATGGCCGAATTTACTCTCGCGACACTGACGCAGGAGCAACTCGACCGTCTCGTGCGCCAAGTTGAAGAATCGGCGCTCGAAATTGCGACGCTTACGGCGGAACGTGACTCCGTGCGTCAGCAATCCACGGTGAATACTCCGGCGCCACCACACGCACCTGCAAATGCACCTGCACAATCGGAGGAGCCGATCGTCATTTCATCAGGCACACCAACACAGATTGACAGTGTCGGACAGCGCTCAGGCGCAGCCAGTGATGGCGCCACCCAACCGATGCCGGGCATGGGGAGAATCAGGGTCGCGCTAAGCCCGCGGGAGCCTCATGAAGCCCGTCGTCATGTGGAGTTCGCGGCGACAAGTGGCGACCAAGCCATCATGGCACCAATGCCACTCAAGCCGCAGCGCCCGCCCTGTTTCGACCCAAGCCAGCGTAGAGGTCCGACGGTTCAATCGTGGGTCTTCACGATGAACGTATTTTTCGACGCAAACTACGTCGAGTCGGACGCAGCGAAGATCCGATATGTCGTCTCGCTGCTGAGGGGCCCCGCCATGGACTGGTGGCGAGTCATCGTGACGTCGCCACGCGCCTACGAGCCAACGTCACAAGAGGAAGGGCCCACGGGCCCAGCTGTCACTTGGAGTTAATTCTGCGAAACCGCCCAGTACAACACGTGGGATGCGTGGTGCGCAGGGCTTCGGGCGCGCTTCGTGTCAGTAGATCTGCACTGTGGATGCCCGATTGATCCTGGAGAGGGTTACAGGCGCGTTCGCCTGGGGGGTTATGGGCGCACTGACCCGCTACTGAAACAAGCCCTTTTATCCCAATGGTCTAGTGGTTGGGATTCTGACATGGTATCAGAGCGGTCTCGGGTTCGATTCCCGGTGTATGCACATGTAGGCCGTTGCCGCTGTGCTTAGTCCTGGGCCTCCCAGTGTGGGGGGGTGTCAGTAGATCTGCACTGTGGATGCCCGATTGATCCTGGAGAGGGTTACAGGCGCGTTCGCCTGGGGGGTTATGGGCGCACTGACCCGCTACTGAAACAAGCCCTTTTATC